GATGTACTTACATCAGCCCTTTTGACTTGTCTTCCTGTTCTTGTCAGCTTTGATAAGGAGGTTTTTCTTTTAAAAATGAAGTAACACAAAATGATACTTCTTGCTTGAATGTCTCTGATCAAAAAGTTTACTTCTGCGGTATTAATCTTCAAGCATACTAAATCTTAGGCAGAGAAGAAGCAACACAGGAGTATCAAATTGTGGTTCAGAGCAGACAGACTACAGACTTCTTTTTTCAGCTGTCTATCTGGTAATGAAGGGCATTCAGTGACAGTGACTTGGAAAGCTAAAAATTGACATGGAAAAGGGGGGGTATATGAAACTCATTAGACAAGGAAGATGCTAAAGGAAGGCTTGTGGCCAGCACTGGAAAAAGCCATCTGAATAGGTGCATGAATAGCCAGTGTTGGTAAGCTGGTCACTAAGCCCTCATGCTTCAGACTTTGAGGGGGGATGACAAGAACTCTCAGGATCTGTAAAATTGTTGGAAATGCTGAGATAGTGGGACCCCAAGTTTCATCTCCATCATGTACTGAGGTAGGCACTTCAGTGCAATCCTTGACAAACTGTTTGCTATAGCTTTAGTCAAGCTCATTATAGGCTCTTTGTATTTCTTATAGATAATACGCGAAGGATAAACAGCACCGCCATGGGAGAACACACTGCCTCTTCAGTCATGCTGATGTGAGCCGGTGCTGAGTTTCAATAGATCAGCCTGTTTATTCAAACAGTTTACTCAGACTTCTAATTCATGTTGAATATCCGTGGGAAATTTAGTGTCTGACTCTCCCAGTGCAATCCTAGAGAACTGCTTAATAGATGAGAAAGGTACAAAAGTAAAATGAAGAGATGGGAATACATAGCTAGTTTTCAGCGCAGGAGCATGTATAAAGGAACTGGAAGTCAATAGCAATAAGTAATCCAGGACTTACAGCATTTATGTACTGACATTTGTACTGCTGCCCTTCAAGGTTTTGAACCAACAGGATGTGAGCAGCTGCAATAATTTCTTCCTAAATCGCATGACAACATTGTGCTCAGGCAGCTCTACCTGTCAGCTTGGAATTGGACCGTTGCATGTGTGAGAGAGAGAGATAAACAGACTATTTGCTATGTGACCCTTCCCGTTTTTTGCTTTTATCAGCAAACTTTTAAATTCCTGTTCATTCCAACTTGCCAAGAGGAAAAAAAAAAAAAAAAAAAGTTGAGTTGTTCTAGCCTCTGCACCAAGACTCTCAGGGGTGTGTTCATTATGGTACAGCTGGCCTTTGTCCTACACAGAAGCACTTCTGGCTTGGTCTGCTTAATCCTTTGCTAGTACCTCTTCAGACTGACAACCTTCTTACACACTTATTCAGAGTGAAGAGACTTTATATTCTTTCTCAGCTTTCCCACAAGAGTGGAACGAAAGTCCGTTTCTCTCTGTGGATGTAACTAAATGGCCAGCTCCCACAGAAGCTGTGTCACAAAGTAGACTGGATGGTAAATCAGTTGTCTTGGCACTAATTTCTGTAAAGATTGCTGAAACAAAAGATTTCAATAGCAGGAAATTGCCCAAGCAAGCCAGGGCTGCACGCACTACAGAGAAAGGCTGGTGACCCAGCATTTTAAAATGCGGCATGTGACACTGGCAGGGAGGCTGGAAGGGTTTGTAGCTATATCCTTTGCCTTTAACCAGGCAACTTTTTTTTTTTTTTTTTTCCCATGGAACAGGTTGAGTAGTTTTCGCCAGCAGTTTCTCAACTCTGAATGTTAATGTGTTCACAGAAAAAGATGCCAGGCCTTAGATAAGTAATTGAGAGGACCCAACCTCTCATCAGTGTATAAAGCAAAAAGATGTGAGTGAGGGAAAAATCCTGAGCACTGCTGCTAGCCAACAATCTGCTGATGATTCGGGAGACTGAGACCACAAGGTAAATTATTAGTGTTTTGTAAAGATTGTCTGTGTTGGGGCCAGAAATTGAAGATGATGCTTGAGAGACCCATGTCTGTGACTTCAACTGCTAAACCAGCCACCTTCTGCTGTGTGGTCAGGAGACACTTGACTGATAAGTCAACCTCCATGCTTTCCAAAACAAACAGAAGCCCATGTGCTAAACCTCACAAATAAACACACTGGCAGACAGCTGACAACCCCTACTGTGTGTTTTAAAATTGGATTTGCACAATCATGTTTCAATCAAACTTTAACTAGTTCATGAATGAAATCCTTCTACCCTGTCTGCACAGGGCTATTTGTCATCACATCCTTACAAGCCTTGCCTGTAAGCTTTCCTGTCTCGCATATTCCTTTAATTGCTACTGACATAGCAAGTCCCGTGGCTTAATTCTTAGTGCACTACTGGCTATTTCCTATGTAAATTCTAGACCATTTAGAAGGAATCAGATGCTGAGCGCTCTGACAGATCTCAGGATCTTGCTTTGTGAAAATTTGGGTGATTTAAATGCTTTGTGCAGACACCTATGTATGGACTGAACTCATAGAAATGAGTGAGGGAACTGGGTTTTTTAATTTATTGACAGTTTTGAAAGGTGTTGGACAAAACAGTGAAATAAAAAAATTGATCCAATGCATTTTGTCTCTAAGGCATAAGCTTTTTATTGATGTCATCCATAAGAAAATCCAGCTCTCTGCCTAGGAGGCATACATCTATCAGAAGAGAAGAGGAACATTGTAAGCAGAGCTGTAATTTGTGTTTATTTCACCCCATTTTGCTGCCTGTGTCATATCAGTGCTGGTGTTGCTGTCTTTGGTGATACCACCAACTGGACTGCCACTGCGAGCACGTTGGTATCTTTCCACTGTGCACTGAGCATTACTAATGGCTCTTGGCCACCCATTAATTTGGAGGCAGTTGGTGGTTCACCTTCTTACTAATTCCCAGAATCACACAGATCCAAAGTTGCTGCATGTTTTTGGTGCTCCAGATCCAACAGCAATGATCAGCAAAGTTTCTATTTTCTCAGAGCAGTTCATATGCAGCGACTGAAACATACTGTCTATGCCACTTGATAAGGAAAGCAGCATCTAAGGACAGGTGACCTTTTGATTTTTCAGTTTATGCTCTGCTGCTGTACAATGGCACTACCCCGAGTTTGCATTTAGCCTGTGTATTGCTGTTGTATTGCTTGCCTTTAAGTGAGGTATGGTCAGTTAAGAAAGCTGGCTGTGAACCTTTTGATGTTGCTGGGAATATGATTTATTTAATTCAGACAGGAGTTTCACCAAGCCTTTCTCTCCCTTCCCTTCCTAGTTTCTTTGCAGTAGGTCAGATACAGTGATGATGAACAGCAGTAGAAAGCCTTGGAATCAGTTTTTGTGTGTGTCCTTTTTTGCCTGTACTGTTTTCAGTGTTGAGCCATTTAGAAAATGGTCTGAAGATTAATTAAAAGATGCCCATGCCTCTTCAAGTGCTTCAGGGTTAGTTATTTTCACCTTAAAAGCTTATCAGTTATCTGTGGATGCTCAGTACTAACAACTTAATCCCTATGTCATATAGTCAGCTCTTGGAAAACCCATCAACGAGCCATCAGCATCCTTCTAGGCTGCCTGTTTTAGCTGTGTATGTCTAACAGGTAGCATGGGGCAGAGAAGCAGCCTCATTCTTCTGTTTACATGGCCAGCCTAGTACCGTGACCGTAGGTAAAGAAAGCATTGTACAGATCCCATACTAATGTCCCCCTTACAAGAATGCCCCCACTGTCCATTTGCAACTTTGCCATCCCACCAGAACTGGTCTGAGCTGTGTTACCTCTTCCTCTTTTCACAGATCTGCAGGGTACCCAATGGTTTCCAGAGCTGTGTGAACCCTCTGACCTTGGCAGAGTGGCCGTCTGCCGGGCAGCAGTGGTCCCAGGGCTGCGGTTGTCCTGTAACAGGACAAGTGGGCTGAGTCGTCAGATTGAGCTGTGGGCTGGTACTTCTCACATGGGTTGCGGTGGATGGTTGTGTGCCTTATCTGCTTCCTGTTAGTGCAGGATATATAATAGTGCTGGCTGTTCATCATGCTGGCTGTCTCTGTAGGATGGTGGAAGAGGTAAAGCACAATTAACAGCGCTAGTAAGTACAGCAGTTCTTATATACTTTACTTGTTAGCATATGTAACTTTGTGTATGCAGGGGACAAAAAAAACACTAATGCTCTCAATTATTTATGTAAACACAAAAATAGCTTCCTATCCTGGTTTCTTTTAGGCACCTTCATGTAATATTAATGGCTCAAAAATTAAAAGATCCCTCATTGCTCAGTAGGATTTGTTACTAACAGAAACAGTCCTTAGACTGCTCAGTACAGTGGGTTCTCTTGGTAATGTAGGGAGACAAAGTGCATGTAAAATCTGTTGATAATCAATTCTTGGTTGGTTGCAATGTTCAAAAGAAAACAAATTGCAGACCATACCTCAGGCTAGCATGTATTTTTTTAGTCCCATTTTGGGACTTTCCTATGCTGAGTGCTATGGAAGTGCTTCTTGGATTCATCAAGCTGTCAGCAGAGTGGAAAATTGCGTATTTTCCAATTGCTGCCATAGCACCTGTAAAATGTAATGCTTTTCTTGCTGAGAAACTAAAATATTTTACATAAGTATCAAGGCCTACCCAAATTGCTTGATTGATTGATACAATGTGCTTATATTGTTGCACTGAAGGTGGCACAGAACTCTCATTTCTTTGTTCATGCATGCTTTGGGATAGACAGTGGTCGGTTCTACCTTCTGTTCGAGGCATTGTGGACATATTAACATCAGTGGTAAAAGGAAATGAACTTAACCTGCATGAATTCATGGTGTTTAAGTTTGCCTATTGGATTTGCCTTCAGTTAAGCATACAGTTAACCTCTTTTCATTCCAATTAGTTGAAAACTAAGGATTTCCTTCCTTCTGTTTTGAACTGATATGTAAGAGGAAATCCGTAGACGTTCCTGTTTTCAGTAAACCTTTTACTAAGGAGTTCTGCTTGTGCATTTAAAAAAAGAATAAAAAGAAAGAAAAAGCTGGTATTGGTTCAGACGTAATGCTAGAAGTAGCAGATCTACTTCTGAAGGCTTTGCAGCCAAAGAGCACAGTGCAAAAATGCTCTCTCCCTGTTTACTTTTAACCTCTGGTTTGTCTTGGATCTGATTCTTAGTAGGCGGTCTTATCTTACAGAAATTGCAGCCTCTATCGCCACCCCTTTTGTGGAAAGGGTCCTGCTTGTAAAAGCATGAAAATGCATCCTCCTGGGTTGCTGTTTTTCTTCTTAGCAGCATGCTTCACTCTCACAGCTGACTGCCAGAGTCAGAAGGTAAGTCTCTGAGTCTTTGTTTAAATGTTCATTGAACAGTTCGTCATAATTGTTCAGTTGCATGTTATGAAATAGTCCTCCCCCAAAACTCCTTTTCTCATTTACATTTAGTTAGGTGCAGAATAACATCCATAGTTAAACTTTAGGACTCTAAGGTATCTTCTCTGCTTATGTGGGTAGTCTAAACTGAGGAACTAAAAATAAGGTTAAAGGGAGCTGCTTGAGTTTTAGATCAGATTAAATTTGTATTTATGTTCAGCATTGAGCATGAAAGTAGCAATATGGAAGGAATATACTCAGCATCTTTGTCTTCCTCTATTTTCAGTATGTGTTACGGGAGCTTAGCATCTGGCAGGATGGGTCCATAAGTTTCCCAGGAGAATTTTATAAAAGTTCTTTTTAAAATCTCATCAAACTGTTGCTTTGCAACAGAGTAAATACCTTTGTTTCAAGTACATTTCCCAGCAGCTCCACAGTGAGGAGTGCAGAATACTTTACCTTTTGTTTCAATCTTCTTTCAAGTTTGTTGATTTTCTTTTGATTCCTTTATCTCCAATCTTGTATTTAGCAGCAGCCTCTAGAAGAATGTTTGTAGATCTGTTCTCTAGGCTCCATGGTGAGCCATCCCATTTTCTGTAGGCTAGAATTCACACTGTTTGTCTTCTGCCATCTCCCTTCTTATGTCCCGCTGTTGGAGGAATGAACTGTCCTACAAAGTTGGAAGCTGTGTGTGGCATTTGGAAGTCTTATTCCCTGGGGATCTGAGCTATGGAAGGATTGTCTTGTCTTGAATGACAAAGAGGAGCCTTGCAGGGAGTGGACAGATGCTGTGATAGGGAAGGTGCATGCAAGTATGAAAGGCTTAATTTAGAAAAAGCCGGAGCACTGAAGAGATGCTTCAGTGTCAGAACTCTGCATGGAAGCTTTTGTATAGACCCTTTCATAAAAGGGCCATAAATGACTAATAAGCATACAGATAATGTAAAAACATCATGAACCTTTAGGTTTGTAGAATCATTAAGGTGACTTGAGCACAAACATGAAGAGACGTTTCTACTGGTGGCTTTTGTTTGTCTGGAGGCATGGGTTCTAGGCAGATGGGTTCCATATAGTAGTGTATTCCGAAGCATGAGCTCACATCTTCAGCTGGTGTAAGTGGAAATTTAGGTCTCTTCACTTTGAGACACTGTGTTGATTTCTATCATCGCTGGGGTGACCTGCTTGGCATGAAGCAGTTAGAGCATCAGGTAATGAGTACCCACTCCCAGAGAAGTGAGATGTTTTGAATCATCTCTGGAACTGTTCGTTTAATCCAGGAAAAATAACTCCCTTTTAGATTTTTTTCCCCACAAGGTTCCCTCTTTTTGGAGAAAGAGAAGAAACATTTGAAAAGTTATAATGGGAGGTAAGGAAAAATAAGGGTCTAATGAAATCTTCTGTGATAGGTTAGGATGGCCATTGGATCTGACTGCAGTAGAAGTGCTGTGATTCCACAAGAGGCCTCCGTTGACTTGCAAGAGCCTTGCAGGGGCCATCAAGAGAGAAAAAGAGATTTTGTGCTAGCTGTTTTTCAGTGATGTTACCTCAGGGCTCTGATTTGATGGCTCAAAGATGACAGCAAAACTGTTAGCCTGATTTGGTTTTCTGTATATCTCTTGGTATGGGCTGGGGAAGATGTGAGAACCATGGAAGTTTTTCTGCTGGGATCAGGCCAGTCCCAGGCTGTGCTGGAGGAGGAATGGAGGCAGGTGGGAAATGAGGGGGGGTGCTCTCTGCATCCCTGTGCTTCCAGTGCTCTGCAGCTGAGATGGCGGGAAACACCTAGGGCAACAGTAGGTGTTGTGTTATGTGATCTCTGAGCTTGATTGTTCATCCTCATGCTGAAAAGTGTCTTCCTTGGACAAATGCAAAAGGTTTGTGTGCCACTGGTCTGTTCAGCTAAAGTGTTATTGATAACTTCTTGGAGAGGTACATGATTATAATGACTCAAGCATGTGTCTACAGCTCTGTTTTGTAAAGGGCAAATGAACTGGAAACTTGGTGATTCATTAGATAATGACTGTTTCCAGAACTGGCTCCCAGGATTGTTGGAGCTGAACACTGGCATCCAAATGTGTTTTTCTTTCTTCCTTGAGATTTTGTCATGAAGAAGGATTTGTGTTACAGTTTGGGAGGAAAAGATAAAGGGCAAAATGAGGGGAATGAAGCTAGCCCTTAAAAAACCTCCCCGGCATATTCTCTTGAGGTGGAATAAGAAACATGAGCACTTGAAAAGCAGGGGACATCTGTGTCAGAATTAGAGGAGGGAAGGAAACATTGCAGCATCCAGAAGCTTAGATGTGTCTCAGCTAAGCACAGAAGGCAGTGGCTGCTCATGCACCTACATGTGTTTGACTGCAGGGAGAGAGCACAGTCCCTCCCTGGCAAGACAGAGCTTAGTGTGGACAGAGGCACACTGGCTCTTGACTTCTTTCAGCTACAGCTAGATGTCTTGTGCTGTAAAAGCCTGCTATAATTTCGGAGCTGTTTGAGAGCATCAGTCTTCCTTTTCTGTTGCTTTGTGCCCAAAGTGTGACGCAGTGTAGGCTCACAAAATCACCTGTTCAGAACAGTGACTGTTTTCACCTCCTCTCCCTGGCATAGCCACCATGCATCTCATTGACTCAGGGCCCACCAGGCAGCATTGCTGTATCACAGGGGCCGACATTCTCTCTCGCTGCTTCCTCTCCAGTGTCTTCAAACTTAGAAACAGTAGTCACAGATGAGCCCAAGGGAGCAGTGCATCATGGTTTTCCATGAGGCTGTATTCCAGGAGCATCCTCTGACTCAAACTCCTGCCTATCTTTCATCCTTTCCAAAATTCAAGTGTCCAAACTGTTGCATTTATGTCACTTGATTCCCTCTTCTGCTTTCCTAAGAAACAAAACACACCAGAAAATGACTGTTTCATCAGTTCTGTCACTCAAATAAGAAGGGAAATTTTTTTTTATTATTTTCCACACAGTTGTTTTCTTCCTCTTTCCTCCTGCCTGTTGCTGCTGACACAAGCATATTTCCTTATAAAAAGGGGAAGATCTTCCTGGAAAGCTGCCTAAAGCTCATGAAGTGTCCCAGGAAGGTAGGGGTAGAGGAGATTCCACAATAACTGTCTTGTCTTAGAGGTCTGCAAGTAATTAAAGACGCCAACAAGGAGTGACAGCCCTTCTCCTCTCCCAGTGTCCATCTCCATTTAGAAATGGAGTCGCACTGATGAAGAAAAGAGAAGGAAAATGGAATAATGTGTGAATAATGGTGTCTTCCTCCACCATCATGACAGAGAACACATTTAGTGGGCCAACTGTGTCTTCCTGGTGCCTGGAAGTAAGGATGAAATAGAAGACTGGAGAGTTTTGATTTAGTGTTTTGTGCTCTACTGTTTGTGTGATCTTTTACATACAGATAGAGTGTCTCAGACAACTGATAAAGATTTGTGGAGTTATTATGACAACTTCATAATTCATGGGAAGACATCCACCTCTGTGTTTCTTTCTCGGTCCTCTTCCCATTCCTCTTTCTAAGGCATTGTCTCAGTGAAGGTTAAAGCTGGGATTTGGTGGGATTAGAAAGGCAGGAGATACACCATTCTGTTAGAACTGTGCCTGGCTTCATCTGGTTCCTTTCAGAAACCCAGCTTTGATCTGGAGTCCTAATTTGTACTTGAATCAGCTAGCTGGATGGTCTTCTTCCCTACTCCATTAATGGCACTGCTGAGCTTTGGAGACAGAGTGCTCCAGAAGTAGCACCTCATTTATCCATCCATATAGGCTGTCTTCTCTGTTTTGCTCTATGAAAAAGGGGAATTCTACTCTGGCTGCAATGTGTGCCAGTGACATGGAAATGTAAGGAACAGCAAAGCTGATGAGCTCTGTCCTGCTGAATAAAATTAGTAAAACTGGTGTCCGCAGGATGTGGGTAGGTGGATTTGGTGGATCTCAGATTGATTTTGAGCAGTTTATAATCTAAGGTAGTCCTTGACATAACAGGTTCCTTGGGGATTCTGCCACCAAAGTGGAGGTTACTGTACAATAAGAAAAGCCCCAGATGCACAACTAGAAATTAATATCCATGTGAAGGGCAACCACAGTCACAGAAATCACTTTCTTCATTGGGTTGCATTCTTACGTGGATGGCTGCAGAAGATGGATCCATGAAGATGAGAAAAAAAGCTCAACAGCTCCAGGCAAAGGGAACATGGGTGTGAGTCAGGAAACTGTGCTAGGGTGATATTCCTGGGGACCTGGGACTTGAAGGTTATCTCTCAGGAGGTTTTTCTGACAGAGTCTGCTGGCTATCATCTGGGAGGGCCTTCCTGAGCTGTTGATAACTGATGGGAAGCCATGGGCTTCCTCCCTTGCCTTGAGGCAAATGTATGCATTTAGGCTTAAGTTCAGAGGAAGCAAAGCTGAGGTTGCTGATGGGATTCCAAAACAAGGAGTTACGGGCACAGGAGAGCTGCTACATTAGCAGCATTGTTCAGGATTGGCTTAAAAAGTCCCAGATCAAGGCCTCCTCCCAAAATTTGATCTAATGTTTTTATTTTTAGAAAATACAGTGCCTGTAGAGGCACAGTTGAGGTGAGCTGTTTGTTTTTTTTCAGTCAGTGACCTTTTGAGGCAAACACAGCTCGTACCTCCCAGCTTTTCTCTGCCCTTGTCAGTGGCAAACATTGTCTTTTTTTTAAAATAAGCAATGAGGTGTCCATGCAGTTTCTTGACTCTAGAAATTCAAAGAAATGTTTTTGGGGTAAAATCAGGAGCTTTAATGAGAATTTGGCATATGATGATGATGATTTGCTCTGATGCTGCACTTTTTTCATCTGCTCTGGCTGTGTTTCATTTGGAGAAGCAGGGTTGGTGGGTATAGGGGTACAGCAAAGCCCTGTGAGGAAACTGGAACCCCTGAAGTTATTCAGGTTGTGTGGAAGGACTTGTGCTGAATTTATCACAATTTAGAATGTGAATTACCCAAGTCTGCTACCTGGTCTTGCCAATGTTTACACAGTCCTCCTCACTTAGGGTCAAAGCATGAAGAGGTGGTCAGAGAGGTGCAGAGCACCTTTTCTTTTAATCCAGCCCCACCACACCTTCTCAAAGACAATTGCTATGACAAATACTTGTGTAGGCAGCTCATGGGCTCTGGGAAATAGACTGAACTAACATGTTCAGTTCTTCAGACCCGTGGAACAGCAATGAAACCACCAGTGAACTGTATCATATCAATGGCACAGACAAGAGAAATGCTGTGTTCTGGCAAGAATTATTAATTAAGGGCTTGTCCTCACATACCACTACCATGTATTTGTAAAAGATCAGCTTAAATTAACAGTGCACAGTTATGATTATTTTAGGAATGGTTAGAATTTTTGCTGTGAGGCGTAGGGGAAAGATAAGATAGCTGTGATCTGCCCTATTGCCTTCTAGCTGAGATCCAAGCAGAGTAGCATGCAGCAGCATGACACGATGGTTTAGCCTGTATGAGTGTGTAGTGTACCTCCCAGCAGCTGCACTGGTCACTGCCTTCCCCAGTGGTATCTAAAGAATGGTGCAACATTGATAAAGATACTAAAGGTTAGCAAGATGAGTGGCTAGGGTAACAATTTAATTTTGGGCTTAATTCCATTCTGTTTTTTCTTTTTAAGTTAAAGTCCATGCGATGCAATATCAAGACAATGTTTACCTTGAATACAGCGTGTGCTGCTTGTGCTGCAGCGCCTAAAATGTTCTGTCCAAGAGGCTGGTTAAAGACCACCCAAGGATTAGGAGTGAGGGACTGCAGGTAAGGCCTGTTTTCCTAACCGTGTTAAGCTTTTGGTGCAGCCCTGCTGTGCAAGGAGTACTGTGTATGCCTTCAGGAGAACACATGTTTTTTGAGCTCTAAAGATCCAAGGAGTTTTGTTTTCAGGTGCATAAAAATGGATTTATGGCCCCTAATATTGTTGCTTTTGTCTCCTTGCAAATTCTGCAGACTTTCTGCTGGACATCAGGTTCTATATACACAGATCAAATTACATAATTACCTCTAACTTGCTCTAAACAACCTGAATTTGCTAATCCTGCTGCAACAGTTTAACAGAGGTCTGTCTAGCATAGAAACCTGTTTCAGACCCAGAATTCCGTAGTGGATTATTAGGAAAATAATGTAATGATAGTTCCCCTTTTATATCCTCCCAGCTTCCAGGAATAATCCTCTGAACTTTTTACCTTCCTAGTTCACTTTATGACAATTGCTTATTCATGTGCCTCTTGCTCTTTTTCTGCTGAGCTTGGCTCTAGTAGGAAAATGGTGGATGAAAACTGAAGTTACCAGGAAGTTTTTAAAAAATGAAACACTATAGATTATTGTTTGCATATCTATTCAGTAGTGAGTGTTAACTGTTAATATATAGCTCCATTGTCTACTGTTTTCTTTGATTTGCTATTCTGTCAAAATACTTTAAAAATAGTTTTAACGGGTTTGCAGTTTATAGCAGTTTTTGCACAGGCACACATTGGAGTCAGATTAAAGCCAAAGCGGCAGTGCTATTGAGACAATTTCCAAGTTCCTTTTGGGAAGGATGTTGTGCCAAAAATAAAAAGAAGTGTAATAATAATGTAAGTGTATGCAGCTTTTCTGAGTGTTATCTGCTCACGTGGTAGTTGTTAGACAGACCCAGGAATAGTTCTGTACTGCATATGTGCAGAACAAGAGACACTGCCACCAGTAGCTACCCTGTGTGTAGAGTTGGTGGATGAAGGGTTGAAAAAAAGATACTCCGTTTGGGGATTTAAGGGGTTTGTCCAAGATTGAATAGAGAATCTGTGAATAACACAGCTATTAAATCCAAATTTCCAGCATCCCAATCTCAAATCTTTAGTGCAAGACAGAAAAGGACATGTCCTGCAAGGAGATTTTGTTCTTTCAAGGTGTGAAATCGAATGTTGAGTCATCCTGGGGATCCTAACTTTGTTTCTATGTTTTCTAACCCTCCATCATCCAAGGTTTCTGTCCTGATGCCCTCAGGCTGCCTAAGGTCCTATCTCATGTCCAGTCTCTGGCAGATTTCTTGTAACTAATATTTGAGGCTCAAATCAATGGGCATCCTTAGAGAAGACATAACCCAGGTGCAAACTCTTGTCTGCATGTATGGCAGAGGGAATGAGTGTCCTTCCTTCCACTCAGAGTTCAGTGCACTGCAGTGTGATTGCTTGGAAACCTTCCAACAGGCGTGTGGTATGTTTGTGTTGTAATCATGAATCTTGGATTGTTCTTTTTAAGATACACTGTCAAGTTAGGAGAAAATACCCTTTCCCAACCAGGGTGCTATCACATATGTAAGAAGGAAATTGAGGAGAAAAAGTGCTGTCCAGGATTCTGGGGTACAGAGTGCTATGGTAAGTTTTTCATCTTTTTATGACACTCTCTCACTGTTGAATAAGTCAAGCCAGTTTTAATAGAAAGCATTAAATATGCATTGAGGTGATTAATTTTCATTATTCCTCAAACACAAGACCTCTGTTATCTATCTGGGAAGTTCAGAACATAATGGGGGAGGAACCTCTTTGCTTCAGATGAGCTGAATTCTCTTACATTTAAGACATAACATAACCTTCTTTGGTGGAACTTCCTTTTGTCTTTTCTTTAAAAATAAGCTTTTGGAAAGAGATGTTTCTGTTCCTCTTTAAGAAAGTTTCCAAAAAAAGAGGAAGATACTTCTTTCTGACATCCCGCTAGTCTGCAGTGCATGTGTGTCATGGTTTCAGCTCAGTGGACAACTGAACATCATGCAGCCACTCACTTCCCCTTCCCCCACAGTGCTGAGAAGGAGAAAATAAGCAAAGGCTTGAGATTTTAGATAGGACAGGGAGGGATGACTCACCCATTACAGTCATGGGCAAAAGACAGACTTGTCAGGGGAAGGAAAAAACATACATTTAATACAGACACTAACAACACTACTTAACAGACAGGATGGGACAGTGAGAAGTATTACCACATCTTGAAAACACCTCCCCCAGCCCCTCCCTTCTCCCCAGGCTCAGCTCTGCTGACAATATTTCTACCTCCTCCCCCAGTGGCGCGAGGGGCAAGGGATGGGGGGTGCAGTCAGTGCTGCTACTTCTTCCATCTTGGGCAGGGAGACCAACTTCTGGAACTTCTTCTCCTGCTCCAGCGTGGTCCCCCTCTCATGGGAGACAGTCCTTCACAAACTTTCTCCAACTGGAGTCCCTCTCATGGGCTGCAGCATTTCCCTCGCTGCTCCAGCATGGGACATCAACTTTCTCCAACTGGAGTCCCTCCCATGGGCTGCAGCCCTTCCTGAGCTGTGCTGGTGTAGGACACCCCCACATGTTGTAATCCTCCCGGCACCAAATTGCAACAGTTGAGGGTTGCTTCTTCCCACAGGATCCTGGCTGCCTTCAGGTGCAGCCACCTTAAATGTTCGTGTGGGGCTCCCACAGGCAGTATATCAGCATCTGCTCCACTGTAGACCTCCGGGGGCTGGGGGGGACACTGTGCTGTTTCACCACAGGGTACAGGGGGTCTCTACTCTGGAACATTTTCCCCCGCTTTCCTCCACTGTTCCTCCACTGATCTTGGTGTTCACGTAGATGTCACAACTCCTTACAAGTCCAACTCCTCCTCCCAGGTCCCTTCTTAAATCCATTATCGCAGAGGCACAGCTCATTGGCTCAGCCTTGGTGCAGAGGTGGGTCTGACTTTGAGAAGCTTCTCACAGGGACCACCACTGTAGCCCCCTCCCCTGCTGCCAAAAGCCCCACCACTCACTCAAACCCAGCACAATGTGCCACTTGCGCTCCTGTATAGCCTGGAATTAGTCAGCCATTCAGCCACAGAAAATACTTAGCAATTCCAACCCAAAGTGAAAGTAACCATCCCAAAGCTCCCACTCAGGTTTATGCCAAGTAATGAGAATTTGTTTTCTCTTGTCTCAAAAATCCAAAAGCAACACCTGCTAAGCTAAACACTTCTCATATGATTGACTGATTGCTGGAATATGGAAAGACACTCTTCATTCCTGCAGAAAATGGGAGATTGTTTGAGTGCTTGAGCCTGTTCTCACACAAAGTGGTTTGAATAAGCAACTGGCTTTGTCAAAGGAATCACATGCCTAAAATTATCAGAAATAGTCCCCAGAATTTGAAGGTACTCCACTCCAAAGATGTGCGGGCTGTGTTTTTCTGAGCACATTTCCAGCTCTTCATGAAGTCAGAGAAAGCTGAAAACGCTCAGTATCTTTGCAAAGCAGGCTCCTGTCCTGAGTTTCAGAACTGCCCTTGGATGTTTGATACCTCCTCTCACTGATGCTAGCAGCAGTGGCTCAACCTCAAAACACGTGCCAGTGCCCTTGCTGAAATTTAGTTATGGCCCGTTGGGACTTAACTAAAAGCTTAGGCTTTTAATAAAAGGCTTTTCTTAGCTAGCAGCCAAATTGCTCCTTGCTGCCACTCCTGGCCATATTCACCACCTCTGGACCACTGTTAGGTGTATTAGATAAGCAGGCAGGGACTGTGCTGATGAAGAGGCCATTGCTTTTGCACAGTTGGAATGCCTAGAGGAAGAGGAGATGGAAAGGAGGATACAGTGCTCGTTGTTCAATCTAATCTTGTCTGGCCTGTCTCTTGCCTGCTAGAGTGTCCAGGTGGCTCTGAAAATCCCTGCAATGGCCATGGGACATGCTTGGATGGTATGCAGCAAAATGGGACCTGCATCTGCAAGGTCAGTGCATGATTTATTCTGAGGGTGATGTGCTTTTGTCAGAGAGAGTTGTATAGTGTCTGTGCAGATGCTTTGGACAAAGGTTGCCCTTCTGCTTGGAAGGTCACTAGCAGCTTCTTTCATTCCAGCATCAGTGTCTGTGGTTTTCCTGGTGGGTTGGTGTGGTCTGCAATAGCACTAAGATACTATTGGTGAGGGTATGGAGTTCAGAAGGATCTCTAGGGAGAAATTAAGAAAGAATTGTATTAATTTAACCTTTTGATCAGTTGAAATAATCAGTGTCCGTGGCTGCAAGAAGCCCCGAGGTACTTGGCTCTTAATGAGCTGCACCTTTTCCAGGCTTGGATGATATACTTCCCAAATGAATTGGTCCTGCACCTTGGCAGACAGATGCTGCCTCTCTCAGGAAAAGCAGGAGAGATCAGAAAGAGAATTTAGGACAGATGTTTATTTTTTTCTTTACAGCTCCAGACTTAGTACAACAAAAGCATAAACAATTCCTGCACATTTGAATCATACAGAGCAGTGTTTCTAAAACTTTTAGCTTAATGGATCAGTGTCAGACTTGAAACTTTCTCTTATGAACTGTATGTTTTCACAGCATCCTTAATTAATACCATTGTGAGCTAAAATCCCACTTCTTGGTCCCTTCTTTGAGAAAAATTGATTTTGTATTTGACTTAGACACTTATCAATTAATACATATACTGAAGGTCCCCAAGTCCTGTAAAATCAATGTGAAAAGTCCCATTGGCATTAGTGAATTCCAAATTATTTTTTCAGAGAGAGATATCAGAAGCCAGCTGGTACATTCCTGTCTGTTTGTGATTAGGACATTGTTTCCTCAATGTCCACCAGCGTTTTGCTGGCATTTTGCATGCTCTCTGTGTGTCAGCTTGTGCTGTGATCTTCTTTGCCATGGGGATTGGCTAATACTACTAGAGCACTGAACCGATCAGTTTTCTTCACTGTATTGATTCAGCTGTCACAGTAAATCAGAACAGGGGAGAGACTTTGAATGTAACAATGTGTGGAACAATGCAATGATACAGAAAAATAACATCTGGGACATTTTGGGGCCCTTCTAGGAGCAATACAGTGGTTTTGCCTGCCAGAATTGTCAAGATGAAAATCGGTTTGGCCCAGACTGTCAGTCAGGTAAGGATAAGTAATTCAGGTGAAACATCCACAAAAATAACAGAGCAAGGAAGGAGTAGGGGGAGTTTGAGTGAGGAAGGGTGCTGGAGAGGAGGAGAAGATGCCAGCTGGCAGTGTTCATTAGCAGGTATCTTGGCATTTTGTTTTTGAGCCCTTCTCCACTGTCCCAGTGGACAAATGATTTTCAGTCTTTCACTCAAATCAGTCCATTTTTCCTGTTGTAAATCCCCTTACCAGAGCTATCCCAGTTTTCTCTATTTTTTTTAGCCAGGCTGTTACCTATACCCCTGAAGTGATCCACACTCACATCCCAACTATTTTCCAGGAGCCTGTAACTGCCCCACTTGTCTCGCAGCTTCTTCCTTGTTGCCCTCCCTACAAAATTAATACAGTGCTGCTTCTCATGCATGGCATTTTTGGAAGTGATTTATCACCAGTGCAGCCTGGCTGTTAAAGGAGCCCTTTTTGTCCAACTTCTGGCTCCCCTGTATCCACACAGTTGAGATAGATGTGAGCTTGGTGGTTGTGCTCACACAACACCAATGCTGGGATCACAGATGTGGCAGGCTCTCATAACACTGCCTCCTTCCACATTGGCTTCAGGAGACATAGAGGAGTGGGAAGTTAAAACACATGCCTGAAAAGCTGGTCTAGATCTTGCATTCAAGGCTGCTCTTACAGGGCAGTACTTTGTCTTCTTAAGCCCAGGACATCTTAAGCCCAGTTTGCACTCTGTAAGTTCTGACTGGCATGGCCTATTTTTTAAAGGAGCTACATTTGCTGTCGCTTACTGGTGGGAAATCAGGGTGCCAAGTCCCAGGGAAGTTGGCAAATGTATGCCTGGAGCCCTATGCACTGTGTTGTAGCTGAAGGTCAGATTTGTCTGGACTTTCCTTGCAGTGTGTGACTGTGTGCACGGGGAATGCAACAGCGGCATCACTGGGAATGGAAGCTGCACATGCTATGGAGGCTACACCGGCCCCAGGTGTGACCAAGGTAAATACATTGATAGCTGCAGAGGGGCTGTTGGAGCTAAACTATGATATGGGCTTGGATGCATGTGTCCAAAAAGGAGCTGGGGGGGCAATGAATAGCTTGGGAATGTAGAGGGAAGATGATCTGAGCACTGGAGATCTAGACAGAGGGAAAGGCCGGGGTCTGCTCCCCACTCTGTGACAGTGGCCAAGATATACCATCTTTTTGTGCCTCCGTTCTCTGGAAACTGGATAGATCCTCTCTTCTCTCAGCCTTGTAGGACCTGGCTACCCAGGCTGCCAGTGATTTAGAGCTGTCCGCACTGCTCATATTCCCTTGCTTTTGTGCCAGCTTGAGGGCCACTAGAAACCACAATTGCCTTCATTTCCAGATATTCTGTAAGGTAAGTTGTATCTTTCAGCAGTGCCCTGCATGCTCAAAGGGAAACCCTCTTTGCTGTGTGATTTCAGAGCTTCCCCTTTGCAAAGGTATGACATGCGAGGCCAACAGTGAATGTGTGGTAAGGGATGGGACAGCAACGTGTGACTGCAAGCTGGGCTACAGAAAAAGTGGGAGCACTTGTCAAGGTGAGAAATTTCTCTGTGACCCTAAATGATGCCCTGTTTGGAAAAATATTATTGCACTGATGTCTCTGGATGAATTTGATCACTGAATACAATGCTTACTGCACTGCACAGGCATAAGAACCTGTTTTTTAGGAATCCCTTTAAGATTATGGGCTAGGTTTTTAGCTCTCCTCTCACTTGGTCCTGAAAGCAAGAAATTAATTAGAGTCGCAGATTCCATCTAGCACTCGCTTACAGGTATGTACTGAATAACTGTAACAATGGGATATGGGTGAGTCTGTAACAGTTTAAATAATAAATTGTGTAATTGAAGGATTTCTTCACTGATTTTAAATTTAATCTTGTGAATTTGTTTTGTTAAAAGAAACTCAATAAGATGCATGTGATTAACTAGCTATGGATAGCTCTACTTTCACTGACCTTTTACAGTTTTTACTGACCAAACTGCAGTTTCATATATTCTCAGATATGATGGAAATTCAGAAATAAATCGAGGCATCCTCTGTCACTCACACTTCTGTTACTGAAGAAACACGAAGAATATGTCATCCAAATTCCTCAGATCAAAAATCCCAAAACATCTGCTGTCTGAAATTATTTTATTTTGGGGGGAAATTTTAGAAGTTTAATAATATAAATTCCATATACTCCATTCTTTCCAGGTCTTTTTTATTCTGCTGTGCTACAGTAAGTGCTGTTTTTAAATCAGATGTTCGGTTACTCTTACCTCTCATCTCTTTAATTGCAGCTCAGGATCCTTGTGCTGCTTCTCCATGCTCCCCCTTTGCTGTATGTAAGGTTCTTGGACCACGAAAGTATCAGTGTACCTGCAAAGAAGGATTTCAAGGAGATGGGAGGATTTGCCAGCCCATAAACCCTTGTGTTGACAGCAATGGAGGCTGCCCAGAAAACTCTACAATTTGTGTTTACAGACGTCCAGGAGAGGTAAGTGCAATAACAGCACGTCAGCAACCTGTAAGGGTCTGAAAAATGGCCAGATGAGAAGTTCTTCAAATGAGCTCACCATGTGAGCTTTGTGTTGGTCAAAGCTGCTCTCCTCACCTTAGATTTTGCAAAAGGAAAGCAGACGGCTCGTTTGTAGGGTAACTTACTGGGTAAAAGTTGATTAATACAGCTCCATAATCACTGTGTTGCCTTCCCTTAGGCATCTTGTGTTTGCAAGCGTGGGATGAGTAGGAGAACTCCTTCTTCCGAATGTTCTGTATTTCCCAATGATTGCCGACAGTATTTTTGCGATGTGACTTCCACATGTGAAATTAATTCCCAGGGGAATCCTAGGTAAGCCAGTTTAACGGTTGTTACTAAAGAATCTTATTCTGCAGCTAGGATAGAAACTGAGTTGGGATGAGCTGAATTTTGAAGACACTGAGAGCTGACTGAGAAGAATGGGCTAGAGTCACCTTTGGAGAAGAGCCTGTTTGTAACAAGCCCATTGAAAGTAAAGAGTTTTACATCAGTCATTGTAAAATTTGGCATGTGGGTCACAGGTGCTTTAAATCTGGTGCAGCAGAGTCTTTTGTGATGTAAACTGGAGATGTAGCTCTCCAAGTTGGTGGTAGTAGTAGGGTATTATCAATTAATAATCAATTGTTAAAACAGATGTGTGTGACTTGTTTGCTCACATTTGCCCACATTTAATTCCGAGGGCTAAGTCTTTGGCTCTCTCCCCACTCAGGCCTGTAAGCAAGAAATTAGAGTTGCAGATTGGCAGGGAAAGGGGAAGTTGGGGGAAGAAACACCAGACCTCACTTAGTGCTCAGGAGCAAAACACCTAGAAGTTGATAACCCCTTAGATGGGAAATATTGCCAGATCTAGGATCATTTTTGCATAATGGCCTCCCAAACACCAGAGAAAGATTCACCGAGGATTTTGCGTGTTACCAGAAAAAGGTGGAGCTTCTCTGAGGGACTGAAGAGGGAAAGAACAGTCCCATCTTCTTGACCCTTCCTTCTCCAGTGCTGCTAAAACTGAGCATCTGCCTGCTCATTGTGTGCTCCAGGCCAGAACTGAAACACAGTGGTTTCTCTTTCTGAAGATATGCTAGCACAGTGCAGAACACGGTGTTCAGCACAGTCCCTGCCTTAGTACATCTGTTCTCCAGCAGCTGGCACTCAGCCCTCTAAGGCTGGAGTAATGTCAAATTCCTCTCATGTCACATGTTTTTGCATCCCTGAAACAGAAAGGGCAGAGCCAATACTTGGACAAAACCCAAAAGGAAAAAACATGGTTATTGGCCAGTGATCTTAAGTAGTCTCTGAGTAATGACTCTCAATCCATGTGAACCAGGACGGAGATTTTCACATGTAGATAAGCTTTTCTGGAAAAGTCATTAGCCTGTCTGAGGCCCTCATTAAGTCTAAGATGAACTGTAGCTAACTGATGTGCTTGAGCTGGCACTTCTCACTGAAACTGAGGGGTCACACAGGAGCTCTTTGCTAGATTTTCACTTAGCCTGCGTTTTTTATGCATTACCTCAAATTTTCAGATGCTGTAACAACCGTTACTGACTGAGTATCTACTTAGAAAGGTGTCAATAAATATATTGTGGCTATCTGTACCCTGAACTGTAGAGCAGACAATCGATATTGTGCCTGTATCTATTGTATCTGAGAAAGCATCTTCATTCTCTTTTGGTATGTCCAAGTTTGCTTGCACTCCAGAGGTGTGCATCTTTTTTACTGTCACTTAGTTTAAGCAGAAGTTACTAGGCTTTTACGTACACCTTAAAGATGGGATTTGTCTTTCAAGTAGTAGATACTGACATGTTGTTCTACTTACATTTGTTGAATATGTTGTGAACTGTTTTATAATGGTTTGTTATGTTTCATTCTTGTCTCTTAGCTGTGTGTGTAAAGAAGGGGAGATTGGAGATGGGAGAAGTTGCTATAAAGATCTATTGAGCGAGATAATTCAGCATAATTCACGGGGACGGTTTGCTAGGAAATTAAACGTTGCCAGGAAAATGTTTGGTAAATGTCTTTTGACTTTTTTGGGGGAATGGAGCAAACATGGGGCAAGTATGTCAGAAAAGACTAAAAGCCTTTCAGCATAAAAGATCTATTTCACAGTGTATGACTGTGGGCTGCAAAATTAAACACAGCACATCTCTGAACTCATAGTGCCAATCCTGGACTGTGAATTGAGAAGACAGTTGCACAGAGCACTGTGGATGAGTATTAGGTATTTTACAGTCCTGGCAAAGGACTTACCATATCTGCAAAAGAAGAAAAACATGCCTTGAAGGCGTGATTGAAACCTGTTTGTATCAAACCACCACTGTACCTCCATCTGCAGTGTCTATGTTGAAGACTTATCAATCTTTCAGCTGAAGTTGTTTTCTAGCAGTGATGCTTGAGACAGGTGTGCCATGGGTCCTCTACTTAGTAGAACATCTGCTAAGCCCTTAAACAGCCTCCTTGCCAGCACGCACGTGTGAGTGGCTATTATAGAGATGAAAAGGCTTTATTCTATGCACCATGGTACTTTCTGAGCAAGGAATTGCTTTGCAAAGCATAGAAGACTGTTTTAGAACCTGCATACTGCAAGTGTGGGGAGTGATATCTGCAAAGGTTAATTTTTGCCTCACTGTAATCCAAGAAAAGAATGAGAACCCTTTAGCTCATGTCAAAGTATATTTATGTTAGATACCTTCTCCAGCTCATCCTCTGCACAATCTTCTCTATCTCCACTAACTTGACTGGAGCATAGAGATACGGCTCAAATCTCAGCTTAGCTTCTGTGAATACCCCTCCCTGCTACGTACCAGTGTTGCCAACACTAATTTTTTGCATATGTTTTCCATAATGATTGGTGCTATGGGCACCCACATGAAGATCTCTGGGTTCCTAACTCCTGTGAAGTAGGACTTAATACATAATGACCTTTGTTGATGTGGACTTTTGTTGATGGGCCATTGACAATTGAGTGAAGACTGACAACTGTGGGTTCATAAGAGCTTGTCAGGAAGTATTATTTAATCTCAATAAATCCCGATGACACCCAAAAATTAGTTGTTTCAAGGGGAATACAGAGGACACTTGGCCCAAGATTAAGGTGGTAAGCATGTGGGAACAAAATTATGAATATTCTACAGATTTCAGCAGTGATTTCAAATGGACCACAGTCACCAAAAATCCCTCAGAAATCTTGTGGGCAAGTGCTTAAAACTAATAGCAACCAAACTGGGCTGTGATAGCAGTAACACACTCCCTCTGTTTCCTTGTAAACAAGTACTAGTTACTTGCACCAGGCCAAAAATGTGTAGACTGAATTGTGATGTTAACAAGAGGAATAATTATTGCTGGAGTTAAACCATATACCAAGTAACTACTTCACGTTGCCACTCTTTTTACAGCTTCTGGTTGCTCAGTGTTGCTGACTAAATATGGGCCTTTCACAGTCTTTGTACCATCCCTTCTTCCAGTTCATGATAGAATGGAATTTAACGTAAGTTTTCTTGGTTTTAGCAAATTTTTGCTGTCTTAGGATTCTTTCCTGCCTGAGTTCTGCAGCCTATAAAAACTGATTGACACATAAGCTAGGGACTTTGGATGGTGGTATTTATAGAAGCAATTTCTTGGGAAGACTCTTCTTTGTCTGGTTAAGTTGCAATCTCATAGAGGATGTTACATCCCTCACATTATTTTTAAAACCTCTGTCTCTTTCTTCAGTATTGACAGAGTTTTAATATCAGAAAGTGTAAGTTTTTCTGGCCATCCTTCATTTAAAGCTCAGACCTCCTGTCTGTGACTATTCTCAAAACTTTAGGTGGCCTTTCACTACTTGGGGGTGGGGTTTTCAAAAGAGGCTGAGATGTGCATCAAAGTACTGAATTATGGGCCTATGGCCCTAGATGTGGGTATGGTGTCAAGTTCATGAGAGCTCATTTTATTCATGGGGACAGCAAGTATGGCAAGCCTAAAGAATGCTGCTATGGGAGCCAGGACAAGAGTTTGGGAATTTGAAGCTTCAGCAAGTAGATCCTTCAAGTCATATTATTATTTTATTTATTTATTAATTGTTGTGGTTATTTGCAGTAGTTTTTGTACAGTTAAGCCCACAACAAGGATATTCATCATTAGGATGAGAAGGTCGGTTTTCCCAGGACAGAGCTAAAAGTCAGCACACATGAGCTACAAATGCAGATCACACAGTAAGGACTTCAACTGCATGCTAGGCAAGGTGCCTGTTGTGTTTCAGGTGGCAGCTAGCTTGCAGCTAGCACTCACATATAAGAACATAAATGTCTTTAGAATAATCCAGACACACCAACCCCATTTGAACATTACATTTCCAGCTGGTTTAGAAATATCATTCTTTTACTTGATAGCAAAGCTATTTATGCAGCAGCAGTAACTCATATAGAGTTTAGGGAGCAGCTCCTAAACTACAAATGCCAGGGCCATTAGCTGTCTTCTACTAGCTTGTTGAGCAGAGGTTTCCACTAACACAAGTCAGGCCCTGTGCCTAGGTCATCTTGGTAACTTCTGGATTCATAGAAAATACATCAGGAAAGGCCCCTGAGTTATCTAGTCTACCTGTTCCCATAAGGATCAGTTCCACCTAAATCAGTATTGACAGAGGATCGTCTTAAAGAAACACCAGGGATGGAAAGACCAGAAAAGAAATGAAGAAACTAAATGTAAATTTGGCACCTTAGACCACCTACATGGTCAAACATAAACAAAGATTGTGTATGGGGAGCTTCAGCAAGTTTTATGATCTGGAGTATGCAAGGATAGTTTTTAAATTGTCCAAGTCCAATAGATTTCTCTGTAGGGGATTCCTCTAAAGTCACTTGCAGGTTAATCAGTCTCCCTGTGTTTGCTTGTGTACATAAACAGAAGCAGAACGTCTGCCACAGTGCTACTCCAGTGAACTAAAATGAAGAGGGAAGCTCAATCTTGTATGCTAAGAATTTCTCTCAGTGTGTTAGCTGGGAGAAAAGTAATATTATGGCTCTTTCACTAAATGAGGTTTTTGAAAGAACATGTCATTTATCTATGTGGTCTTTATTCCCAAAGGATACCACTGCTGAGCATTTGTGCAGAATGCACATTGTTCCTGGCCTGCATTTGATAGAAGACATGGTAACAGCCAAGACTCTGTGGACCTTGTCAGGACATCAGCTAACATTCAGTAGCCAGGTAAAGGATCTCCTGAATCAAAGTCCTGGACCTCTGCTTTCATGTAGGACAGACTGGAGCTTGAGCATAGTTTCCTTGGTGTGCTTTCTTAACCAGAAAACCTTTTTCTCTAATCAACCTGCCTGTGATCAGAACAATAAGCTCCTTTGTGGAGTCCAAAGCAAGGTGATTTAAGACCAGACACCCCAAGCAACCAATTCTCCTGTCTTGCAGACAACCAATTACCCAGAATCTGACTTGTGAATGGTCTTTCCTTGATCTGTATATGTATTCTGGAGAAGAGACCTTTTCCCTACACTGTTAGCAGGTACAATATCAGTGTGGCTGACATGGAAGGAGGCAGCAAAGTCTCTCTTCATATGGAGTGCTTCTCATTGGAGACTGTGTGCTTGGACACAGCCACATGCTGAATATTTTCTCTCCCAGTTTCCTTTTTCCCCTATATTTTACTTTTCTTAGTCATCCTATAAAAGATTTTTTCATCATTATGTTTTGATATGGCTTTTTTCCCCTTTTCCCTTTTCCAATTGACTCATATTTTCCAGCATCCACTGTTCTCTCTCCATCCCGCACTTTTCCTGCATGCATGCTCACAGCTGGCTAAGGGAGAGCCATATGTTTCCTCTCTGAGGATCCAGCCTTGCCCTTGAGGTCTAGGTCGTAATACATGCACCCTGCATGCATCAAAAGGACAAAGCACTATTTGGAGCCAGAGAATCTGATCTGAGCTTGTCGATGTTTCTTTTAAATTTCTTTCCTGTTTGTTTACTCAGGAGTCTTTTGATCTGGGAAGTCTGCCCTCCCCTTCCTTTGTTTCAGCTAGAATCCTCAGTGATGTGAATTGAAGTTCAGGGCAGGGAGGAGCAGTTCAAGAAATGCACGTGGTGAAATGAAAAGCATGGGGAAGCTGTGCTTGCCTGAACTTGGATTATGGCTGCAGCACCAATACCTTGATACTTAGTTTGTAGGTTACCTTTGGAACACCTCCATACACCCAGCTTCAGTGCAAGGTTGTATACAATATGGAAGGACCAGATACGTGCCTTATAATTCAGTGACCCTGACTGGTTTGTCTTTGTTATGAAGACTCCTTGTTGGCATTATGAGCCAATAAAAGTTGCCATCAAAGCTGTAGTTCCAGGATTGCCTCCCCATACTGTATTCTGGTGCCCAAGAGGCACCGTGCCTCTCTCCTTGTACTTGGCAGACTGGTGCAGCAGCTTCTTGATGGCCAGTGCACCCATTTGTGATCCAGAACGGGGATCAAGCACCGTTCACAGTCAGACAAACTTAATTATAGAGCCGACTGTCCCAGATTAGGCTTTATTTCTGTAATAAGACTTAAAAGTACCCCCAGGATCAAAATGTTACCCAAACTCAAGCAGAAGTGGGATGTTTGTTTTACACCCAGGTCACCCCTTGAATTTACTTTTTCCAGAGTATCTCTGGTTGTGTCTTCACCTTGCTGACCCATAGGTGGAGAGCACTGAAGGGAACAATGGTTTATAGATCTATCATCATAACACAGATATATCACAAGAAAATAACCTTTTATTATTATCCAGCCATACATCAAATCGTTTCGATATCAAGACACGCCGGGGGAACTGTACAATGTTTTGCAATCGAACCTACCAGCAGCCAATGGCATCATGCATGTTGTTAACACCCTGAGGAAAAAAAACAGCGCTGACAACCTCAGAAACCCACAGGTACACAGACATTTGTATTTCTTTTGTTTTATGGGATAGCAGAATAAACACTTCAAAAAACAGAAATCTGTTTTCATCATTAAACTTTCAAATCAGTGAGTCTGTTTTTAAAGGGGAAAGGCTAGCTATTATGTTTTCAACTCTTGATAAGGCCTGCTAGGTACTATTATGTCAGCATAGCATTAAAAGTAGCTAATAGTACTGCATAAACCAGATAGATACAGACTTTGCAATAATGCATTTACAATGCTTAGATGAGTAGAGAGTTCTACTTTCACGAGTAAGATCACTCCCTTCATAGCAGATGAGCTTTTTTTTCAGTTGTATATTACAGAATATATATCTTTTAGCAGAAATACTGGAAAATCGTTTTTCACATAAAAATCAAATTATTTTCTTCAGTCTGTACTGCATTTTGAAATTATAATTAAAGAGTTTCTTTGCATTAAAAATATTTGAAATGAGGACAAATAATCATTAGACTTTTGCATTTTGAAGTCATATATTGAAATTAAGATGCTGGGCAGGAGTTTCAGGTTCAAGTTCTGCTAAGCACATTTCCCTGTTAGCTGGGAGAAGTTTTTGCTATAGCTACTACACTGCTATGCCTGAGCATTTTTATATTGTTTCTATATGCAGAAAGCAGGTCCTGTTACCTCCTACCTCCTTTTAAAAAATTACTCATAGAATGACACAAGCTCTTGGATTTGGTAGGATTTTAGTAGTAGTTTGCACTTCCTTTACTCCATTGTGATTAATCTATTAAAACAGACTGTGTAATGTTATGGCTGTATTTTGTCTGTTTAAAAAGCAGAGTGTTGTGTTGAGTGTTAATAGCTCTTCAGCTGAAGTGCCCTGAGATAATGTATCAGTTGTACAAGTTCTGAGTGCCCATCACTGATGTTTAAGTCTGCTTCACTTAAGATGCCCTCAGTCTTATGACCTGCATGAGGGCGTTTTTGTAAAAGGAGTGTCAGGAGGTCCAGAGGGGAAGCTGAACCACTGTGTTTGTGCACTCAGGTACCTGCAGGGAAGGGTTTGTGGCTCCTCTGGGTGGCAGGACAGTGAGTGCTCCCTGCAGAGCTTGTCTTTCTCCAGATCACTTCAGACGTTTCCTTCCCTTGCAATGCTGGCTTTGCAATGAGGGCTAGTGATCATGTGAGCCATTTTTGACATCAGATTCCTTTGTACCTGTGTTCCTTAGAAGTCATATTCTGTGCCTCTGTGTGCTTTGTGGGAAGCACTTTCTGACAAAAAAACATGCAGGTTCCTGCAAATAGAGGTCAGACAAGCCCCTTCACAAGTTTTGATACCTGAAGGGACATTCCTTCTGTTACCTTTGTCTTCATGGGCAATGAGGCAAAAACGAAGACATCTATTTCCTCTGTTTTCAGGAATATGCATACTTATTGTATTTTCTCAGCATTGGGGCTCATTTGCAGATGGCAGTGAGGACTCTTGTCCTCAAAGCACAGGGAGACTTGAGATGACAGAGCAGCTCCACTACCTACCAGTCCAGAACCGATTTGTATATCACTGGAAGTAGTGTCTCTAATTTTAGTGATACTGTGCAATTGCCTCTTCATTTAATTTAATCTGCAGATATGAGTAGAAAAACAAAAGGGTGCTCAAGTGCATGGTACCTTGGAAAATCTGGTTTGTTGTGTGGGAGGAAGTTTGTGCCTAAGTTACTACAGGCTCAGTCCTTGTCTAACACAGAGGGTTTGAAGACTTCAAGGATGATGATTTATTTCCTGTAGATCTTTACATGCAAACCACAAACATAAACTGGCCAAAGCCGTTCCAGTATGTGCTCAGACCTCGCTTCAGCCCCAGCCATTTTTTGCTCTTCATATCTTCTTGCAGAAAACCATTGGTGAGATCCTTGCTTCAATGGAGATCTTCAGCAGATTTGAAACTATACTAGAGGTAAGCCTGTTTGTGTCTGCCCCAGGAAGATGTGGCACTGCTGCTGTTGCAAAGCCTACTGCTTTTTTTGTAGGAATTTTGAGTAACATTTAAATACATCTCAGTGGTTTGTCTTTCTTTCTGGATGCTTTTTTCTGTGTCATTTCTTATTTTGTGTATTTTACATAAGCAAATGTAATGGAAAAGATTGGAGTTTTCACATCTATAGGGGATCTGGCACAAGCATCAAGCATACATGCCTCTTTCCTATCTGCTTTGCCACCTCCCCTTCCCCTCTACCCTGGAGAGTTTGTTCTCCAAAGCATGTTTAGTTCTTGACCACTGTCAGGACAAAGAGTGAATGTTTCATGACTGCCCATGCCAAGCTAGATTGTAGCTACCTGGTTTTGGGAGTGTGGATCTCTAAATAAAAGAAGTCCCCAGGTTATAAACCCTTGAGGCTTCTGCCCAGGATTCATTTAGTTAATATTTTCACTAGAGGCAGACTGATCTTCCTTTTACCTCCATCAGAGTCATCTGGATCTGCTCTATCATTGCTCACAACAGTCTTGGCCTGTTTTCAGCCCTGTGTCTGTTAGTTCATAGAAAGGTTAGGGTTGGAAGAGGCCTTAAAGATCATCTAGTTCCAAACCCCCTGCCATGGGCAGGGACACCTTTCACCAGCCCAGGTTGCTCCAAGCCCCGTCCAACCTGTCCTTGAACCCTTCCAGGGAGGGGGCAGCCACAGCTGCTCTGGGCACCCTGTGCCAGTGTCTCACCACACTCACATTAAAGAGTTTATTCCTTAAGTTGTTTACAAAACTCACTAACTGCAATTGTGATTATAGAGTGGATTCTCTTTTTCTCCTTTTCAGGCGAGAAGGTACAGTTTTAGTCTCTGTAGATGTACTTGTGTGTTGAAAGCACACAAGGAGTATTAGTCCAGTACACCCTTGTTCACATTAGGTGCATTCATACCGGTGGCTTCATTGTCCAAGCTATGTTTTTTGGCATTTATGCCTCTGTTGTATTACATACCTATCCTTGGTGTCCGGTAGCCTCTTGTATACGTTTGCTTTGCAATAGCTCTGCCTCTAGTGTGTTGCTTAGAGTTTCCTCTCCCTTCCTGATAGACCTCCTCACTAATTCATGCTAGTCAGTTCATCCATGATGAAATCTCGTATTGTTTTTGCAGAACTGCGGCCTGCCTGCAATACTGGATGGACCAGGCCCCCTTACTGTATTTGTACCCAGCAATGATGGTGTGGATAAGTTGAGAGATGGAAGGCTCATTTATCTTTTCACAGAGGTGAGAGCTCATAGTACTTCAACACAGTTAGCTCAGGATGTCTTACACTAGGCTGTGCTGGAATGGCTTCTGCAACGTATCTGATCATTGCTGAAGGCTGTTCTTCCTGGAGATGGTTATCCACGTCTCTGTTTCTGTAAGGCTTTGGGAGAGAAGTGAATGCTGATGGCACCTGCAATGAGAAGTATGGTTAGCCAGATTGTTCAAATCAGATGTTTGGCTTGCTTTCCTCACCCCGGCTTTGGGTGGGGAAAAATGAAGGAACTCACTTGCCAAGTGAATTCACTGCTATAGTACATTGGCATTGTCAGTCACTGGTTAAAATAAAATGTAGTTGTCTCCTCTTACTGCTGACCATTGAAGAGGTATCTAATTCTTATGTTTTCTTCTTTTCCTTAGGGCATAAATAAGCTTCAAGAACTTGTGAAACATCATATCTACACTTCAGCAGCGGTAAGGCCAGCAGCTCTAATTCCAGATAATTTGGGGCCTTCGGCCCTGCATATTAGCAACTGTGTTGTTTGGCATAGAGGTTGGAGTGTGGATGACTTCTGCTTATACTTCTTGGACTTCCCCTGGAGGAGCAGAGATTTGATTCAGGATCTAATGAGGCAAAATGTTTACTGTGAAAGCAGTTGCCAAAAGGGACAGCTTGCGCTCTTCCGTCACAAAACTCTGAGTTCCCTGGGAGTGATGGTGCTCCTTAACTGGATGGTCTTCACAATGAAAATATTGTCCAGCAGAGTTTACTGCAGGCAAATGCTCTCCTGTTATCACTTTAATTTGTGAAACTAATTAGGAGTCTACCTTAATTATGAAGTCTCCAGCCTACAGTTTCCCTAAAACACTAATATCAGGAACACAAAAGTTATAGCCAAGCTAAGAATTGGTCCAAACTCTCTGCTGCTTTTCCTCTCTCCTTGGGCTCAATCAGTGGATCAAGTTAGAGATGGACAGCTGGTGCAAGTGAGCCTGTGATCTGAGCCAGTACTGCCAATTCTTGCACCAGCATTGCTGTGTACTATAATGGTAAATAAAATCAGTATAGTTCATCAACAAAGCATTTTCCGTTATACAATAAACAAGAGAAATGTTTAAAGTTAAACACAAAACCTGTGGAGGAAGTGAATACTCAAGCATCATAGTACAATGTCATGTCCTTCATTAAGAAATATCAATATTATTCCCATTCTTTACTGAGAAGCAAATGCCAGTCCTTGTGATTTTCCTAATTCCAATAGAGAAAATAAGCAGCACTTTGACAAAACCCCCAAAAGTAGTTTTGCTTGCAATTGATGAATAACAACATGCTAACAAGCTGAGTTACTGTTTAATAACCTGGTGGACACAAAAGTAACAATTGTCTTGGTTCTCAGAATGTCTCACCTCAAATCCTGAGTTCCACAGTACAGCAGCTGCAGTTCACCTTTTTTCTGCCTTTAGAAATAAGTTTATTAAGTCAGAATGTTCTCTGTTATGCTTCTGGCTGAGCTTTCATTGTTTATTGAATATGTCCTGGAAAATCCCTTGTTAGTCTGACCCTCCCTGCAGCTGTATTAGTAAGAGACACTATTAGTGAGACTTGATTTCAGGTGTGCCGGTCTATTACTTACACAAGGAATGAAAACCAAGGCTTCTGCTGCTGGCAACACTGTGTTTGTGTTATTGCAAACAATTCACCTGAAGTCCCAGATTTCCCTCTGACTCATTGTTTGTGTTAAGGTATTTCATGAAATGTAAATGTTAAAGTCAAGTCAACGTTTTTTAAGTGGCAGGAATCACGGAAGGATTCTGTAAGCTGTACTGAAATGACCCTGCTTTTTCATGGTGCTGTTCCCTTGTGGTTTTATTTCAGGTGACTGTAGAAAAGCTGATAATGATGCCACACATTGTTACTATGGCTAACCAGATACTTACCATCAACATCAGTGCAGATGTAAGTATGAATCAAAACCCTTTTGGGCAAACCCTCCCATGCTAGGAGAAAGTCTGGTTGTGGTTCTGAACAATGTGGTTTCAGCCCATCTCTGCTTCCTCCTCTGCCTAAAAAGCTAGACTTAAATGAGGTCACTGAATTAGTTTGCTTCTTATCCAACCTGTGACTCCTAAGAGACTTGACCATTTGTGTGGCTGCACTTGATGCTGTGTACTATTTGTTTCCTGCATTGACTTTATGCAGTTGATACAGTCTAACGCACTAAAGTGCAGATAAATTATTTGTGTTTCTGCATCAGGGAAGAATTCTGATGGGTGAATCAGGGATCCCCTTAAACATGCGAGACATTGTGGCTTCAAATGGTATTATTCATACCTTGGATGGCATCTTCATCCCTCCTTCAATAATTCCCATTTTGCCTCACAGATGCAATGAAGAGCAACATAAAATTGTGACGGTAAGTCAGCTTCTCCCACTCTCACGCTGGTGGTTGTTGTAGACCCCATGCTTGCCTGGAGGGACAAAAGCAGACTGTGCAAATTGCATCTGGGAAATGAGTTCTCTCTGAGAGGTCCCCTGACATGAACTTAGGCAGTATCAGCACTGTCATTGTTTCTTCTGCTAACACTCGGCACTGCTTTTCTGGCAATCAGCAAATGTTCCTTGTAGGTTGTTGTTCTTTCCTTGCACCCATCCTACCTTTGATTCAGAAGTATATTTGCCTTTTCATGAGGCTTTAAATTATGATTTTCACACCACAGTTACTAACTCAGCTGACAACACTTTGGTCCTATCACTATCAGCATTGGTGTCCTGTAGTCTGGGCAGGAAGCAGTCATTCAGTAGCAGGAGCTACAAATGCTGTGTGATACTCTCACCTGAACAGCTTTGTATACCTTATTTTAGGTGCTTGCTCCCCAGTTTGATCATTGGTAGGTTACTGAAGAAAGAAGATAAGGCTCTGAAGGGGGAAGAGGTACCTGATTTGGAGAGACGCAGTTAATCCCAAGTGGTCAGAGGGTCCACATAATTTGCTGATTTAGTTAGGCCTGCTGCATGGATGCCCAAAGTGTTTTCCAGCATAGCTGTGTGTCTGGTGGCTGAGAAGCCCAAGGTGGAGACAGACCCCATCTTGCAGTCAGGTGCAAGCATCTCCTTGAGACAAGCCAATCATTCTATTTAAGTGATAAACCTACCTCATTTCAGAGTGTGAAAACTCCCTCCTAGGAATGTTTCTGATACATGTGATGTTTTGGATCTATACTGGAAGCAGTTCTTGGCATAGGGAATGGGTTCATTTGAGAAGATTAAGTCTTCCCCTCTTGTTTTCTCAACAGGGCTCTTGTGTGGATTGTGAGGCCCTCAACAACAGCATTTGCCCACCTGGCAGCAGAGAAATGGTAAATATTTGTGATTATTTTGGTAATTTCTTCTTTGCATAATGACATACAGACTGATAGATAGTTTCTAACCCAAGCCACTTTCAAATTGAGAGCAGGAAAGGCAACCAATAGAGAGGCTTGTTAGAGGACACGTGCTCCCCTCATATCCATGCTCTGATCCCAGACTGTCACCCACTAACTGCGTGTGCTATTTCTTATTCTGAAATCTGTTTACTGAATCAATGGAGAGAGCTGGGAGACAGTCTGGGCCAAATGAAATTGTAGACTTGCAGCTTTTAGCACTTCTGCTCTGCTTCAGGCAGGGCTTTCCTGCTCACATTTCAGCTCCTCCAGACTGCTAGAACCAAGCCTGATCCCACTAGTACCATCCAGTACTACCACTGCCTATATCATGGCCACAGAATCACAACAAGATTTCTGCACTGCGGAGGGTGAGAAACAATTTGTTCTTGGCCTGTGCTCCAGGCTGATTCAGAGATGAGCAGAACTAGCTGAAGGTGGAGTAAGGAGGAGGAGGTGGCTGGGTGCCGGTTTTTGAGTTATTCCATGCTGAGTTTAGCAGAACAGCAAGTTCTAGGAAAACCCCATGTGAAGGCCAGGCCTAAGATGTCTGTGAAAGGCAGAGAGGGGGGTGTTCACCAGTTAACTGTTGGGTGTCTTCTGAGACATCTGACTTCTGGAGAACTTGCTGATGCGGTCTCAGCATGAATGTCTGAAGTAGAGCTCTGCAAAATCACTAGTCGCTCATTTTCCTCTTTGACTGAAGCAGGTGAAGCCAGAATCATCCCAGGCCCAATTCTGCCCATGCCTAACTCCATGACAGGTCACTGAACATTGTTCCAAAATTATTTGCAGTCCTTTGCCCTCTCTCACTCTCTGTCTCACCTCTCTCTCTTTTTCCTTTCTTCCCTCCTTCACTCTCTCATTCTCTCTTACTCCCGTTCTGTGCCACTCTCCCTCCCTCCTGCCTTTCCCCCCGCCTTCTATTTCCTCCCCTCTTTCTCTATTTCTCTATTTCTTCCTGTCCCTGCCCTTTTCTCCCCTTTCTCCCCCTTGTCTCTTCTCCCTCCCTTCCTCCCCCTCTCTCCCTGTCATCTCCCCCTACTCTTGCTCTCTCCCTTATCATAGACACTATTATTAGAACAAAAGGGCAGCACCTTGGCTTAGACTTGTGAACTGCTGGGAGCAAGAGAAAGCTGCTGTGTGCCTTCCTTCATGATAGGCATGCCATTAACAGTATGTTGTTCACCTTGGCTCCTCTGTGAACTTCCTCAGCTCAGAGATAGGCATAGTTGCTCTCTGCAGCAAAAAGAGCGGAGCAGAAGGTTACGGTACTGATGGCTTGTTTTGTTTGTACAGGAACCAACACTCTTACCAAAAGAATGTGTCTACGTCCATGATCCACAAGGCCTGAATGTCCTGAAGAAGGGGTGCGCCAGGTACTGCAATCAAACTGTCACGGTGAGTGTGATGAAAGACCACATTCCCTCTGAAAGGAGCTCAGCTTTGCTCTACTTTATTCATCAAGAAGAGCTCTGACTCCTTGAGCTGAGAGAGGACTGGGTGGGAGCAAAAGGAAAGCTGTCCCATGCAAAGGACTGTCCCCAGGACCATCACATGAACTGGCTACCTGCTTTTTCTTTGGCAAACAGAGAGAACACAGGATACCAGCCTGCTGCAAATGTTAGAAAGCAGCTCAATTGTACCTGAGTATGATCTATAAATAAAGGACACCAGGTGCAACTAGCCAAGCTGGAGGAAGCCATGAGACAAATGGTGCAGTGTTAGCTGTGGCATGTTTTCTGTGAGGGTGCCCTGGTTTTAGCATTTCTCCCAAAGGAAGCTGAGCACAGGGAAAGTGCTGTAAGCTGAGAAGTGATTGCATCCTGTTTATGAAACATTGTCAGATGGTTCAGGAAAGCCGCTCTTAGTGAGTTTATGGACCTGACATTTGCCTGCAGCTCCTGAGCTCCCACAGTGACAAATATATGGAAGGATTTGTGGGTGTCTCATTAGATACTGCTGATTGTCTGTCTTGTGATTGTTCTTCTGTTGGTCGGTTGTAACAAGGCCTGTGATCCAGAACTGCTACATCCCTCCAAAGGAATGCAGTCCTCAGCAAGGATAAAGTAGGAGTAAGTGGGCCAGCACTATTAAAGAAATAAAAGCTCATAGAAGACATGGATCCTATTTGTTGAAGTCAGAGAACAAGCAGAAAATAGTAATTTATTCTGAGAATAATAGGCTGTGAGCAGAAAGAGGGGTATTGCTGAAGAATAATTTAAGTGCAGGAGCTCCTAGAAACACAGATGCCAAATGAGACAGTCCATTTCAGTCCATGGCAGAGGAAGACCAGGATTCCAGAATTATGAGGGCAGGATGACTCCAGGAAATTCTTGTTAAGCCATATCATACCTTACCAATTTTGCTTTTGTTTCAGAAACCTGGATGCTGCAAAGGATTCTTTGGTCCCGACTGCATGCCGTGCCCAGGGGGATTTTCCAGTCCATGCTATGGCCGAGGAAATGTAAATATCAAAGATCCTGCTGTGTTGCAATGAGCAGTTGAGACAGTGTGCTTCGAGAGTGTAGCTGTAGATAAGTACAATTCAGAGTTTGTGCTCCAGGGCTAAGCCCACAACAGTGGCAGTACAAGATCCAGGAGGAATGGCACATACTCGGTGGGTTTACTATCTTGAGCTCTAATGTGAATCATGTCATGGCTGTTGAAGACAGCTGTATTTTGAGATTTTGTATTACTACCATCACGCTTCAAAGTCCTATTTCTTACTGCAAGTATCAATGTGCCTTTGACAAATATCAATGTCTTGGCTCTGCCTTGGTTCCCTGAGTTTCAGTCACTTTGGTTTTCTTTTGGTTTTCCTTCCAGTGCAGTGATGGCATACAAGGGCATGGCACCTGCCACTGTTCTGAAGGTTTCAAAGGAATAGCCTGCCACATCTGTTCAAACCCAAACAAGCACGGCGAGAACTGTGATGAAGGTTGGTAATTCTGCTGGAGTGGCTAGAATAAAATGTAGGGCAAGGGCGTAGTGCAGGTTCATGTGTCCTGGATTCCCTTCTGGCAAGACCACCATCGGAAATGTCATCGTGGGTGTCCCTTCAAACAACAGTGGAGAAAACATAGCTGATAGGACAGTGGTGATGGGGGTCTTGGAAACTTCAACCAAATTTAGATGTGGGACTTTGATTTAGATCTCTCCTGATAGGAAATAAAAGACAGTTGACAAGGACCTTGAGCTTGATAGCCTAAATTTGAGCCTGTCCTTACAGCCTATAAAAACACAGACCCAAACAGTCACCGGATCTGTTCCCTGGCCAAATTTTGAGTAATGACACATGTCTCTCAGCAAATATCCCTCTGTCAAGAACAAATGGATTGGTCATTTGATTCAGAAGAGGTCGTGAAGGGAAGTTGAGAATCTACAAAATGCTGTCACGGTGGTGGATTCTGGACTTTTTTCAGTTACTGATCTTACTCCATGTACTTGACAGATTGTGGCTGTGTTCATGGTGTCTGTGACAACAGGCCTGGCAGCGGTGGTGTGTGTCAGTCCTGGTCCTGTAAGGAAGGCTATACTGGGAAGTTCTGTGACAAGACATCCAACAACTGTGGCCCAAGTGGGCTGTCCCAGTACTGCCACCGGAACGCTGTTTGCAGCCTCAATGACACAGCAAGGTCAGTCTTCCTGGCATATACATTCAGGTGGGCATATTGTCATTGTACAGGCACACAGTGGCTGTGAGGCTGCCAGCCCTGTAATTGTGTATAAACATCTGCATACTTGGTGCACAGGATTGTTTGTTTGAGTAACACAGCCAACCTGCTAGAAATCAAAAGTCAGATTCTTGCTTGCTTGAGAAGCTCAAACTGCCTTTTTTGCTCTCTGCTGGCTTTCAGAAGGGGCGGCTCTATGTGTCCCTTTTGTGCTTATACTTTTAAGGTGCATTTGCATGGATGGGTATGAAGGTGACGGGTTTTCCTGCCAGCCCATTGACCTGTGCAGTCAGCCAGGACGAGGAGGCTGTTCACAAAATGTAAGTGGGGTCAGACTGCTGAAGCGTGGAAAGCAGCTCCTATCAATCAGAGCAGGGATCCAGGACTCCTGGGACTGTTACACATTTTGTGTGCTAATTTTCCGTGTCTATAAGATGGGGTGGAATAGCAGGTACCTTGACACAGTTATCATAAGAATGCCAATCATTTGGTTTGGTGACACCCCAAGGAGAATTTGGCAGGTTTGCACCAGATATTTTGGCAGCTACAGAGGTTAGCTGTACAGATAATTTCTGGTTCGTATTGATTTTCCCCTCAAGCTCTTCCTAATGTGTGTTAGTTTTTCTGTTACTGTGTTCAGGCTGTAGTTTAGCTGTGAGCTCCAACTCCTATTTCTAGAAACCATGAACACTACATTATTATGCCTTCGACACTACATTATTATAAAAGAACTGTGGTGCTCTATGATGGAAATGACTGTCAAATGGACAGACCTCATCATAATTTAGATCCCTCAGTGAGAGGAACACACTGGGCCGTGTAGAAGGAAATAGGATGGCATTGGGTACAAAGTAGGTCTTTCCTGAGAAAGATCTGCCCTCCATCATTGATTCCATCCCACATGTAAAGGCAGGAGGTTGTGTTCCTCCTCTTCAGGGAATATTTACTCTGTAATGGAAGAGCTTTACTAGGATGGTAGGGATGCTTTAGGAGTTCTGAGCCACCCTAGACACAAGTATCTGCCTCTGAAAACATTAAATGTTTACAGAATCACTTTATTGTGAAGTTGTCTTGGACTTTGCCAGAGAAGATGCTTTCATCCCCCCGTGTCCAGTGCTGAAATCAGAATTGGTCATTCAGCAACTCTCTACAGTGATGAAGGAGATTTGTTGCTGTATTTGCACTGCGCTCTCATCTTTTGCTCAATGTAATTCTTTTTCTCTCTCTCCTCCTGGAGGCCCTGTGCACCAGTACGGGCCCTGGCACCGCCACCTGCCAGTGCAACGTGGGCTGGACGGGGGACGGGAAGGCCTGCGTGGCTATAGACAACTGCATGCTGGAGAGCAGAGGGAACTGTCACATCAACGCCGACTGCGTTTATATCGGCCCTGGCCAGGTATGATCAATGCTAGGCAGTCTGATGGAGGTGGCCTGGGGTCACCAGAGGTAGAAATTGGGCTGGTCAGCAGCAAAACCTGCTTGTCTGCTGCCAGAAACACCGTCTGCAGCTAAAACCCCACACAGTGTGCTTGCATGAGGTGAGATGCACTGACGTGTTTGAGGCTGCTGCTCTACTGAGACTTTCATGCAGCAAAGGGAAGAGACTACACTCCATAATATGGCTCAGTGTAAGGCATCCATTGCTGTGTTCCCTTTGTTCCCAGATCACAGCATTGCCTCTGGGCAATGCTAAAATATACAGAAAAGCATGTGCAGCTCTTCAGATAGTCTGTGGAGGGAGCTGGGCTGGCAGTTGGGCATCTGGGCATCCTGAGATAGGAGGAAAGCATGCAGAAGTGGCTTCTCAGGGTGCTGCTTCTCAAAGTGCTTCTCCTCAATAGAGCCAGGGGAGCATTGGACAACGCACTGAAAAATGGTGCTAGAGCTTTTGCGGATTTTAGTGAGTTGAGATGTGCAAGTGCTCTCCTAACTATCTTGAAAGCAGGAAACTTTGAAATTAACCCCTCTTCTTCTTCTGCCTTTCACTGAGTCTGTGTCATTTCTTGAAAAGCTGGAAATAGAGATGGAAACCATCACCTTCAAGTGACCCTCCCACAGCCAAGCAGTGCAAGGGGTCAGTGCGCTTGAGTAATCAGGCAGTGTGTGCTCTGTGATAGAGGATGACGCCCTGCTGGGGAAATATCTCCACTTTTCCAGGTCTTGAGGGACCAGGAGGAAAACTGGGGAAAATAAATAAAGAATAGGTTTTGCTGCCTTAGCCCTTTTTTGGGTAGCAAATGAGGACACTCTGATAGGTCTATAAAATTGAAATGTCTCTTTCTTGCAGAGCAAATGTGTCTGCAAGAGGGGTTATGCTGGAGATGGCTACAACTGTGATGCAATCAACCCATGCCTCATGGACAACGGTGGCTGCCATGACTTGGTGAGTAGGTAAAGTGCTGTCCCAAGGCTGATCTGGCAGTGGAGGTTCCTCTGCTCCCTGACATAGGTTTTTCCGCCACAGCATTGAGAGAATTGCAAGGATTTATGTTACATCATCTTCTTGGAATGCCACTGAAGTGTTATAAAGGTTTGGTCTCTGATTTACCCAGGTGGATCCTCTGATTTTTGTGAGTTCATACAAAGCCATCACCTAGGCTTTGCTGCATGAGGTATAAATTCAGTGCCACCATAAAGGCAACAGGAGGAAGGTGCTTCTGTGTGCTCCTCTAGCCCAGGCCATGGGAGGACAGAATTCAATTCCTCGGTAGATGTAAATGCTGCAGAACCTACGTTTGCTCTCTAATTTCTTCTTTCCTTACATTTGCAGGCTATATGTATACCCCTTGGAGGAGGAGAGAGATCCTGCACTTGCCCTCAAGGCTACATGGGGGATGGCATGACATGCTATGGGAGCATTCTAAAAGTGAGTAAAAAGTAAATGACTGAGGGCTTCTTGAGATTTGAGAGAAATGTGGCTCTGTCCTTACTTTCCTTTTCTCTGTTACCCAAGTTGACTCTTCCTCCCAGCACCAGCCTGACAGCACAGCACATGTGTCTGCCCAAGGCCACAGAAACAGAACTGGTGCCAAGGCAAATGAGTTTGTAAAACCATTGGCAATAATTTCTAAGCTGCTTCACCACTGTCTGTCCTGTACAATAAATCATCTTTTTTTTTTTTTTGTTTGGAAACTTCTTCAGGTCAGAGCTGCTAGGACCATTTTCTGCCATTAGAAATATTAAAGGCCACTGTGGATTTAATCCCTGTCCCTGGTAAACATGAGCAATTGTAGATGAGTTGAAAAAAGTTTGTTTATTTGGGAATATACATTTTTTTAATGGCTGTAGTATGGTTTTAGGAAAGCCCTTCTCTCCCCATGATACACAGTGCCTGTAATGGCTGTAAGGTGAGAGGAATGTCTAAGTCATCATCACCAGATTTGATATTGTAAAGCGCTCCTTTCCCCACCCTGTGTCACCCAGCCCTGCAGCCCCACTGCTCAGCAGGGGTAACCCTTCTGTTGTTTCTTTTTGGAAGGAGTTGGCCAGGAATTCCCATTTCGCAGGCTTCTACGACTGGCTTAAGGTAAGAACAGCCATGGGATACTCGCACAGGTAAGTTCAATAGAAGTGAAGTCTCTGTGAACACTCCTGCTAGAGAAAGAGCAACTCCATTTATCTTTTTCATTAGAGAAAAACAAAACAACAGCAAAGGAGAAATCGTTACAGAGCAGGTGTGTAAAAAACCTCTGGAGTTTGTGATAGAGTGAGGGTTCTGAGTGTGTTTTGGGGACTGTGTTTCTACCACTGGAGAAAGCTGGGGCTTTGTTACACTTAATTTTCATGGTTATATCATCTGTAACTCCTGACCATCATAAAACAGCACAGAAGGGAAAGAAAAAGGGGTGGCATTATAATAGCTATTTTTCAGAAGTGCTGCTTTGAGAAGTTAGACTGTGTGTTTGTTCCTTTTCTTGTTACTGCTTCCCTGTCTCCTGTGTGGCAATGACAGGCACTCCGCAGACTGCAGCAAGTCTGTGGAAGCATGCTGTGATACATGGCATCTAACTGAGCTTTAGCTTACCTGTACTGCTGCATACATAGCTTTTGCTGGGATTCATGTTAGTCCCTCCCCCCAAACTGATGTTGAGGGTTCAGAAAGGATTTATGGATATGATTGAATGGGTTTGAAGTATAACTGAAGTATGAAAGTAGTGCTTAAAGCAGCAGGATTTCCCTTGGCAAACAGATGTCAGCTGTTTTGGCTAAACCACTTGTGGCGTTTGTTGCCAAGAACAGTTACCTGCCATGCCCAGGAGAACCTGCTGTGCTGCTGAGCATACATTGCCTTCTTGCACATCCCTTTCACGTGACAGCAAGAGTGGGATGGCTGTTGGTTTTATTTTGTGGTAGAGATGTGGCACTGGCGTGTCTTATTTGTTCATCTTTGTGCTTTGGACAACAGAAATCTCTCTTCAGCATCCCAGCAGGAATGAATGTCACTGTCTTGGTGCCATCAGAGGCAGCTATCAAAAACATGAACAAGACTGAGAAAGATTTCTGGTTGACCCCCTACATGCTGCCATTTCTAGTCAGGTACGAGTTGACTCCTGCCTTTGGTTTATATTGCCAAACAACAGTAACAAAGCTATGAGCTGGATTTCTGCTTGTACAAGACCAATAAAGAGTTATCTTGAGATAAATATAGAAGCAAGATTAAATATCTAGCAGGCAAATAATTTAGTTGGCATTTAAAACATAACAGACCTCAGGCATCTGAAAGTGGATTTATTTTTCATGTATTTTCAGAGAGGGTTTTTTCCTGTCATGTGGATGCAGATGGCATCAAGACAAGTAATTCCCTCCGTCATTCTCTCCACATGATTAACTACTTCATGCGAGAGATGTAAATGTTGGGTGATACAGTTTTATCTCCCTGTTACTATAAACAGTGCCCTAATCTTTCTTTATCTGCCTTTGTTCCCTTCAGGGCCCACTTTCTCGAAGGCATCTTCACTGGTGAAAAACTCAAAAAGTACGACAGGCCAGAATTACCCACCTTCAACCCACAGACCAGATGGCAGATAAACACCAAGAATGGCGTAAGGGTTTCTTACATAATCCACATGTACCAGTATCAAATTAAACTGCTGGAGCTCCTGAGTGGGGAGCTGTTTCAGTGGGGAGCCTGGATGGGACTCCAGTGCCCTCAAACTCAGACATCTTTCAAAAATTGTACCCAGATCAATCATGTACAACCTTGAAGGAACAATATATTTGGTTTAAACTTGCTTGGCAATTTGTAATCCTTTTGCTTCTCCCTCTGATGCTTTTTCAGGTATTAACCATCCATAATGCAAGTATAGTCGTCAGTGACATCCCTGCCAGCAACGGCATTATTCATGTCCTCAGTAAGGTACATCGGTACAGGTGATACTGGGAAATGTTGCAGTTGTAGCAGCAGGTTTGTGTTGCAGCATCTGTGATGGGGCCAAGAAGGAGTACGTGTCTGGATGGTTAGGAAGGGATATAATGGAAAAAATATATTTGGTTATCACAAGGCCCTGACAGATGTTTCCTGTGCAGCATTTTAAAATATTTGTCTCCAGGACAAGCAGGAGGGCAGTTCCTCTTCTCTTAGCTGACAGAAGAAGAGTTAAGGCTATTGCAGGATTGTGTAAAATGAGGCCTTTTCTAATTGTCTCTCTTGCAAGCAGGGCAGGAGTCTAATGTGACTTCCCACAGAGCCCCTTGCCCAGCCTTGCTTATGAATTCACTTTTTCCACAGGTTTTGTTGCCGCCTTCAGGAGATATCCCACCGAGTCTTCCAGGTCTGCAGAAACAGCTGGAGACAGTTGCCTCATTCAGCATATTCAAGGAGTTGCTACAGGTAAGCAGTTGAGGTGAGCACTGTTGTGATTGTCGGAACTGTCTTTTGAGCAAGTGCCCACTTTACCCTGTACCGGTGGACCAAAATTTGAACAGCCTGGCTAAAAAAAAAGAGACCACCTGTTTCCTACCATCCATGAGAGATCTTCTAGGAAAGCTCTTTTGAGCAGCCAAATAGTTATATGCTTACAGTTAGATCTCTATATCATTGGCATGTTATTATAGTGGAAGACAACCTGTCTACCGCAGGTGCTCTCATGCTTGTACAGGGCAGAGAAACCTAGAGGAAAAGGAAGGCTTGTTCATAATCAAGAAGCGGCACTTATGTTAGCCCAGGAGGAGGATAAAGCGATTAGAATGTGTGTGACTGAGCAGAAGTTGTGTATCCCATTTTCATGCATTTCTTCTAGCTCTCTTGCCTTTGTAACTGATATAATGTGTGGTGTGGTTTCTAGTGAGTGCAAGTGTAATTACTAATGTTACTGTTTAAACATTTTTTAGCAATACCAGCTCATTGAAAAAATGGAGTCCTCTGAAAAATACACAGTTTTTGTTCCTGGAAATAATTCCATTGAGGAGTACTGCCTTGCAGCTAATGTGACACAGCTGGTAAGCTCACTGCTTGCTTACAATTTGAATAGGTGTTGTGGTAACTGCAGAGACATGTACACTGTCAGATCATAAATTTGAGTTCAGTGGATTTGAGCATGGAGAAGAGAAGCATATCTGATGCTAAAAGCTGGGAGAAATGTGGCAGAGAGAAATGAGAGGGTTTCCTGAGGTGTTGCAATAGGATATGAAAAGAATATTTGGACTCCAAATGCAGATTTCTGAGTAGATTTGTATGTGGATAGCTGGCACACATGTGCCCCTTCCTGGCTGTCTGTGGCATATCTGTGACAATTTTCAACCATTTGAAAGGTTCCAAAAAACATGTATGGCTTCATCCAGTAACAGAGTCATCAGGTGTGATCAGTCATCTGTGATAGGGATTTACTAGGCTCTCTGGGCTTAATTAGCCATTACAGAGGCTTAGGAACTCTTCTTATGCCATAACTGACTGAATTGTAGTCTAGGAAGACAAAAGAGTCCTAACATTTGGGGTTTTTTTGTGGATTTAGGACAACGAGACAGTGCAGTACCATATTGTACTGGGAGAGAAGCTGTTGCCTGCAGACTTGAGGAGTGGAATTCATAAGAACAGCATGTTAGGGCTCTCATACTGGCTAATGTTTTATCAAAACAGCACCCAGGTAAGGAAGTAAGTTCTGACACTTAAGGATCTGGCTTGACCTATCACTTTCTAAGGCTGGTGGCTGGATACACCCACTTCTGTTTTGCACACCCTTACAAGTTTACTGTCACTGTCTGACAGCTGTTAAGCAATTCATGCAAAAGAAGTTGAAGGTTATTGTCTCAGCCATTCTCTTCTCTTTTGCAGAAATTTGTCAATAATATTCCTTTGGATGGAAAATTTCTTGAGACGAAGAATGGCATGCTGATTGGGGTTTCACAGGTCCTCCCGATACAGAAGAATCGTTGCACTGCCAATACCACCACCATACAAAAGGTAAAGATGATTAGCAACGAACTGAGCACCATTTCAGAGTGCTTCTCCACCTGCTGAACCAAACTGATGAGTAGCAGACAACCTACTTTGTCTATTCCACATGGATGAGACAGTAGCTTGTGGTCTGACCCCAAACGAGCCTCATGTGAAATGGGGCATCATGGAGACTTGGGGCACCTCCTAGCCTCAGACTCTGTACTTCTAATGCAGCAGATCTGCAGCTCTTGTACAGAACACATTCAGTTCACTTGCTGGAGCTGTCTCACAGTGCCAGCCATGGGGCAGGCTGCTGCAGGGACTCAACTGTGGAAGGAGAATCCAGCACATGACATGACCACAAGTTCCCTTAGGAAATGCTGTGGTCTGCTGGGAGTCGTGGCCAAAGTCCAGCCCATACGTATCTTGTGTCTCTTGGCCATCTGAAGATTGCAGGGTCAGACTGAGGTATGCCTGCCTTGTTACAGATCAGAAAATAAAAGTCTTTTCAGCCTTGTGTGAAGGAACGCCAAGCCTATAGAAAGCCCTACTCCAGCTCAGACACTCAGGAAATGTGTGGCATATGATCTCTTCTGGTTTGTTTTGTGGTACGGTCTCTGGAGTGCAGAAATAAGACCTTGTTTGAAGCCTTTGATAGCAGCCAGGACCTGAGGGTGATACATCATGATTTTTCTTCTTTTGGTGTTTTGAGCCATGGAGATAAATACATCTTTGTCTTTGCCCCAGTCAGCAGCCTGTACAGCACCATTTGTAATTCAAGATTAGTGTCGTGGTGTGACATGGGTAGAGGGCACACATGTGACTTGTCCTGTTCTCTGTGTCCTAGTCAAGATGTGGCAAGTGTGAGAAGGGGATCAAGTGTCCTTCTGGATCAGTTCTTGTGGTGAGTCTTTGATTCATGTGACATCTCAGACCGTTTGCAGATAGTGCTTTGATGTTCTCTTACTGTTCTATAGATGACATCTTGATACCTGAAAAATTGTTCCCTGGAGTCCTCTGTGGCTTCTGCTTGTATGAGAAATCAGAAACCTAGAGAAAGCAGAAACCACGGGAGCCTTACATAGGAAAAACATGAACCCTGAGGCTCCTTACAGAGCTGGCACCAGGCTTTGCCTGAATTTCAGGAGCCCTTTAGAGCATGCAGTGTGGGGAGTTTCCCTGTTAGCAGGAAAGAAAAGATGTCCTTTTTCCATTTTTTACTCTTTTGACATTATCATCAAGGGAAGCCAGTTTAGGGGTGCCAATAGCAATTTCCCAGCCTGGACCATTGATTTGTTCACACAGAAGGGCTGGTTGTGCCTGCAGATTGTGTGTGAGTGAGTGACAAACGTTTCCGCAGAGGAAAACAACTAAACATTTAATCTCCGTACTGCCTATGAATAGCCTAGCAGCCACATCTGGCTTCTTAGTCTTCATTACTTTACTCTGTGGCAAAATTTTCCAGTTATTTTTTCTCAGTATTTATACTGACATGCATACCACAGATTTGGCAGATAACAAAATAGACTCTGTGTGGTGACCTCACATCTAGAGATGCCTCATTGGTCTCAGCTCTGGGTAGTCCAAATTTTTAGGGCTGTTCCTGTAGGATAAAAAAGCATTATTCCTCTGTTAGGCAAGAATACTGCCATATGCACCAAAAGGTACAAAGCTTGTCTAAACACTGTAATATCTTCTGTCTGTATCTATGTTAATTATGTCTGCAGGAATTGCCAGGAAGCAAGAATCTTGCTCGCTGTGAATTACGCTCTGGGGACACAGGAATACTTGGCTGCCATTTCACCTGTGCAAAAGTTTCTCTGGTAGGAAAAATATTTGCCTCAGATTCATTTTGACAAAAGCAAGATTGCTATTAGAAACACAGCCTGTGCTGAAGTCCTGGCTGCATTTGTGCCACTGCGTAGCTGAGACTGGGCTCGTCTGGGAGTCGCTCTCCATCCTGGAGATAGAGGGCAGCGGAGAAAAAAAACAAACCTGCGGAAATGTCTGCACAGTGATGGATTGTGGTCTGCTGCTTTGGTATTGTTGCTTTGGGTTTTGTCCTGCAGAGGAAGAGGAGTTAAATGTTTGTGGTCTGGTTTCCTAAGGAAATGAGGCATGAATGATGGTATTTTGCTTGTGCATGTGTCTTCCCAAATAACTGATGACTAATTGGCGCCGAACCAAAGGGAAGAGCAGGTCTTGGAGCTATTATGGCCCCTACCAGTTTTGTGAAAATATGTGGCTGGGAGAAAACACTTAAAGAGGAAACGGTAAAAGAAAGACTTGTGTGAATTTGATCTCTTACAGGTACTGAAGTATCTCCCTGGAAAATGGGAATGGGAGACTGAGGAAAAGGGAGAGAGGAAGTTGGACGTACAGTACAGGCTTCAGTTCAGCACTTGTACCTCACTGGGTACTTCTACATCCCTTTGTTAGATGATATTTCTCTTAATATGTACTGTCCAACTTGGTCCCATTGTGTGGCAGATGCAGAAAGAAATGAGAGCAGTTAAATCAAGCTTCTGAACCAAATCACCTTCTGACAGAGCCTCTCTCTGCCCAACAGAGTATCTTACAGGTGGGACACACTAGGAACACAGGCAGGAGATAGGCTGGATGGGCACAGGACTGAACATCTGCCTTACCAAATGGCCAGTGTTGCTCAAGGACAGTGCGGAACTTTACATGCAACAGAGCACCCTGTTTTAGGGGGTTCACACCATCCTACCTGTGCACATCTGGCCCTCTCACACGTCAGAAATTATGGCTATCACATAGTTAAAGGAATAGAGTGGCTTCTGCAATAAAGCTGTACCTTGTCTTTGCTGCACAGGACGGCTCACCCCAACTTGTTCTTGTTGGTTCTCCAGAGGTCTGTCTGCTGCCCCGGCTACTACGGACACATGTGCGAGATGTGCCCAGGGAAGCCAGGCCAGTGGTGCTCTGGGAACGGGGAATGCCAGGACGGCATCGAGGGCAGCGGAGAGTGTCGATGCCTGGAGGGTTTCCACGGCACCGCCTGTGAAATGTGTGAAGTGGGCCGGTACGGAGCTGACTGCAAATCAGGTGACACTGATGACTGCTGAAGCTTGGCTCTGCCATCCTGACTGCAAGGGGAGAAAAGTGGCCATGTCTCAGCTCTAGGGAGGGGGGCAGGGGGTGGGGGGGAAGAAATGTCCCAAGACCTCTGAGACAGGCAAACAGCTGACAGGCCACCGGGAGAAGGACAGTAGATGTGAGCGCTTGTGGTCAGCTAGAGAAGTGGCCCCATTTCTTCTTCCTCAAACCAAGGCATGACTGACTGTGCTATGCTTCTCATCCTGCTGCCACCCAAACTACAGAAAGCAGAGATGGGTGGTCTGTTCCTAGGATTTTTGGCCTGGTTGTGAGGGAACAAGAGCTGATACTCCTGTGACAATTTTTTATGGCAGTTTGATGCGTTGGATTAGAAACAGATCAGCCAGCAAAAGGGCAGCAAGGGTCTGCTTGTGAGATCTGGCTGTTTTGACAGTGATGGGTGTTTACATTTCTCCTGCAGAATGTGCCTGTGACAATGGCATATGTAACGATGGACTGCAAGGGGATGGGAGCTGTGAGTGTTTTCCAGGGTGGAAGGGCCCTACCTGCCAAAAAAGTACGTGAGTGTGGGGGGGCCTGTGGTGTAATATTGCCTTTTTAGCAGAGAAATCTGCATGATCCTCTTTAGTTGCCAGAGTAATTCTATGTTAACTGAGCAAGGTGACCACCATCTCATGTACTTTGCATCCCCTCAAAAGCTTATCAGACTGTGCTAGCTCATTCCTGCACACAAACTGTACCTGTGGTGTAGCTTCCCCAGAGCACATGAGTCCTTGAGTTATTTGGGTGAAAATCATTACTGAGAGAAGCATATCCCCTGCTTCCATCTTCACTGAGATTTGAGTCGCCTCAAGAACAGCCCCTTGCCGTGGGAGAGAGAGGTGGAAGCTCCCAGCCAGATTGGGTTGACAATGACTCCCATTACTTGCCTAAGAAGGTGGCAGGGCTTGATTTGAAGCCTCCAAAGGGCCCTGTTATATCTGCTGAGTTGCTTTTTCTGCTCACAGATCCATTGATTTAGGTGAGCTCAGGCCATGGTCTGCAGTTCTCAGTAAATCTGTCGTGTGTCAAACTAAGATGTTGAAGATGGTTGGTCCTGGGATTTGGGATTATGATTCCCATTGGGGTAAGGAGGAACCTGAGCTCCTAAATACTTGGGGATTTTAAAGGTTTGCACACAAAGTTTGATTTTGTAGTGAAGTCAAATGTTTTGGGGGCATTTAGAAATGGAAATTGAGTAGAGGTGTCCCATCCAGTGTAAATGTAAAGCATGAAAAGAGTTCATCTTTTTGCTTCAACCGGAGCAAAGCCAAATGACCCTGTATGTCTGGATTAACAAGGTTTCAGTCTTGTTTCATTCTTAGCGGATAGGGTCAAATAGAACTGCTAGCTCAGACAAAGAATATCAAATGCACTCCATTGCAAAGTGCCAAAACTTAAATCCCATGAGGTTATCATGCGGCCGCATAGGGCAGGAGAGTTAGCATAACTGCTGGTGTGTCCCATCATCATTCAGGGCACCACAAGTGCGGCAGTGAAGCTGTTTGCAGGGTCCTTTACTCCAGATGGCAGAAATGACTCCAGCAAGTGCTAAATTAAAAATACCAAGTCACATTTGTGGTTTTCTCTTGCAGGAATTGAGATTGACTTATGCAATAATACTTGCCACCAAATGGCCAAGTAAGTACAGACAAGGGCCTGGATCATTCTGAGAAAGCCATGTGTGTTTGTATGTGTTTTACATAGAGATGAGTCTGTGTTTAGGGTTTCACAGAGGGCTGGGAGAAGGTGCCTACTCATTAAAAATGCATAAATGTCAGTTCCATTCCGGGAACTCTTTTTGGTGCTAAGCTTCATCCAGTTTCCCCAAGGACTTCTGTCTGTCTAAGCATAAATTCTAAGTTCCTTCTGCATGTGTGGATAGGAGAAAGCAGAGATTCCAAGGTACTCCAAGTCTGGCCTTATTCATGGAGCAAATCAACCAGCCATTTACAAGCCCTTTCTGCCTTGCCTGCCCCCACCAAGGAGTTAAATAGGCAGGTGGGCTGTGACAACTCCCTCTTGCTGCCTTCTCCATCCATTTTCTGGTCTCCTGTTTTGCGGTACTGGGACTCAGCCACCTCTGTTGTACCGTGCAGAAGCACATGGGCATGGTGAAGGTGCACTGTGCGAGGTGGGAAGCCTGTGCCTGGATTGCAAGATCCCTGGACAGTGTGATTTTATTTGGTGCTTTAAAGAAATACACAGCAACTTAGGCGTGCTCCTCCTGTGGTCACTGTGGTCTCTAACTGGCATATGCTAGACTTGTATAGTGTTTCCCACTGGCCGAGCAAATCAGGAGGTTTCATCAGTGATTGTTTACCCCTTTATTGTTTCAGCTGCCTCAATAGTTCTGCAGATTCCCTACCTATGTGCTTCTGCTCTGCTGGATACACAGGGAATGGGACCCTTTGCACAGGTATGTCCAGCAATGGTGGGCAAGATTCAAGGCTTGCAAACACCTGTTGAAGCTACACAAAGACAAGGGTTTTGCTTGTGAAATAGATGGCATGATGTTGCCAGAGGAAAGATCGTTCGAATCCTCTTCCTTTCAGCCATCTGCCATGAACTCTGCCATGCTTTGGTAGAGAACTTTTCCAGTCCGGAGCTTTACACAGGATGCTCTTGACGTTGCTAGGGCCTACAAGAGAGGGATAAAAAGGCAGGCAAGTGTAGGAGGGCAGTTCTTACTGCTTGTGGAGAGAGATGCACATGAATGGGTTGTGTTAGTTCTGGTATCACAGCAATGGTGGCAAAGGTACAACGATTTTGGCCATGAATCCCGGGAATATGGATGCTTCAATTCCCTAGAATTTTGTGCTTCTCCTTTGCTGGCCGTGCCAAAATCAGGTAGAAGCAGTGCAGCAGTTGTGCCAAAATGAGGCAGGATTTTGAGACACTGCTCTAGAGTTACTACAGACCTGGTCTATGTCAAAATCAGACAGGAAAAACAACACTCGGTGATAAAATTGTAACAGCCAAACACTGGTAGACATTACAGTTTCTTTTGAGTATTGCCCTTGTTTGAAAATGAGCGAGGAGGGGAAAAGCAAAAAAACCCCACATTTACATTGTGCAGGAAAATACTTTTTTTTGATGTCTAACCACTAGTCCTCAGTGAGCAAATGCTGTGACAGAAAGATTTCTTAGTCCAGTTTCGGGGTTAAGCTCAGCGTGACTTTCAGACTGGCCTCTCTCAAATCTGGATGAGGGTCCATGCCTTTAAAGGACCTACAGTTTCATCAAGAAACAAAGGGATTTTAATAAGATGTGGTTTTTGTTAAGATAGATGATCAGTCTGGCACGGTTCATCTTTCCTAGATGCTCTCAGCTGACTCTGCTTCCCTTGCTTGTGATCACAGAAATAGATCCATGCACTGTCGATCATGGTGGCTGCTCCATACACGCTGTGTGTACTAAAGTGTCCCCAGGAGAGAGAACCTGTGTTTGTAAAGAAGGCTACGCCGGAGATGGGACACTCTGTGTGGGTGAGTGCTCACTGCATGTTTTGGTGATAGCAGTAAGGCATCATCCATGCACAGGGGAATTTCAGACTGAAAGCATTAAAATTTCAGGTTAAAGTGTTGAGTAGCTCAATTCTCCTTTCACTTTGTTCATGCAGTGATTGTTTCAAAGCAAGTATTTGCTAGCTAATCTTGATTCAACTGTCTCTCTGCTTTTTGTTGAGGAGTATGCACACATATGGGTATGTGTGCACATACATACCTGTGGGTGTGTGCTCAGCATTCTCCCAAGTCATGATTAGTGAAGTGGTCATCGCTGTCCCAGCACAGTGCCATCCAAAACTGGTCAGAGAGACCACGCTGCCCTTGGAACCTGCACTGGATGGCTAGTGTTTTGGTCTCAGACCAAAAGAGCCCTGAGAAGTTCCTTACCCTGATGCATGTCGTGGAGATGTCCAGAGACAGCGGGCGAGGGCAGTCTCCCAGTGGTGCTCTGAGATAAAGATGAAGCTATGGGAGAGTCCAATCCTCTCATATCCTTTAAACCACACCTGGGCAGGCGTGGGGTTTTCTGGGGGCAGTTTATCACATCTTGGAGACCCACGTGTGGCAGGAATAGAACTTGCAGTTCCTTTGCTATCACAAGTCACTTCTCCACCAAAATGTTTCCCAAGCTGGGAAGGTCCTCCCTGTTGCTTTCCCAGTACCTATTTGGGTCACCAATTCCCAGCTGCCTTGAGCAGCCCTCAGCAATGATGTGGCCTTATTGTTTTGCTGCAGAAATTGATCTCTGTCTTGAAAGCAACGGGGGCTGCCACACCAACGCGGAGTGCATTAAAACAGGCCCAAGAAAGGTGAGTATGTAAGATGGATGTCAGGGCAACGTTATTATGGAGCTTGTCACAGCTGTGTAATTCTCTCAGAGACAATCCTTTCCATTGCAGTGTGTTGCCTTGTGCTTATTGCTTTCCACATAGAAAAGTAGCCTGGGAAGGGCGTGAAAAGATTGGTTTTCCTGAAAGGAGATGCCTTCTGTTGGCCAAAGGCTGGAGGCAGTCTTAGGTTATATTTGTTGTTGACAAAAGCATGGTTATTCATGAATGTAGCGATGGGTGCTGTACCACATGCTTTCCATCCAACTCAGCCATTGTGTGTTTTCTTTATTGGGTCCAAGTTTCAGACTAAGCATCTGTTCTTCCTCCAGGTTGCCTGCAACTGTCTTCCTGGTTACAGTGGGGATGGCGTGAGCCAGTGCAACCCCATCAACTTGTGTGAACAGGTATGTCTGTATTTTGCTGCTACCAGAGGTAAAGGCCACAGCCTTGAAGCGCTCATTTCTCCCAACAGTTAAACAGCAAGAACAGTGTTAGACTGCTTTTTTAATGCTGATTGTCTTGCCTTTTCATATGACGAAGAGATTTCCTGTTGTATTTGGTTTCCATTGCCTCTTCCAATCCCCTGCAAGTATGTCGGCCACCTGGCACTCCCTCTTGTGGGAGAAGTGGTGTGCAAACAGTGACATAGGGCTGGAGGCATGTGGGCTTGTTTCTGCATCCATTTTGTGTGGGACATGATCAAAAGCTTAAGAGTAATCTGTGCTCACGGCATCGCTGCCATGTCAGAATGTCTCTCTGAATCATGGGTTTTGTCATCACTCTGGGTTCCAAAGTAAGGCGCAAAAGTCTAGTTTCATGAGAGGATTTGGAACTGAAAAGCCCTTGAGGATTTGGGTGAGGTTTATTAAAGGCACTAGACAGATGGGAGGAATGGTTTTCTTTCCACTGGCCTGGATGCAGTTAGCTGCTCCTGCATGCAAGTGGCCATTCAAATTGTTGGTGATGCCCCATCATGCAAGCCTTTTGCTTTTCTTGCTAGAACAATGGAGGCTGTAGTCCGTTTGGGCTCTGCAAGTACACAGGCCCTGGCACTCGAAACTGCTCCTGCTCTTGGCACAGTGTTGGAGATGGCTTCACCTGCCGTGGCAAGGTGTATCAGGTGAGAAGCACGCGCAACACCTTTTGTGTTTGGGCCCCCTGCCCTGCAGCAAACCTCTCCCTCCCCTCCAAGTGTAAGCTGCAGGTGAGCAGGTCGGTAGTGTCATATCATGTGTGGTGTAGGAATGGAAACAGGTGCTTTGAGGCAAACTATCTATAAATTTCAGGTGTGTTCAGTGTGCCAGCTGTGGGAGGGAATCACAGTAAAGTGATTTTGCTCCAAAGGGAATCATGATGTGAACACTCTGCTGCTCTGTCAGCAATATTGGGCATACCTTCAGGATGATGTTTTCTTAATATTATAAGCAAACGGGAGTATTTTTTTGTTTCCCAAGGGAACCCACTTCTCCCAGTCTGTGGGATGAGGGCAGGTGTCGTCCCCTGTGGTGACGCCAGGATTTGGGCAGCAGTCTGGAGGGCAGCAGTCTGCCTCCGGCTCTGTTGCCAATACAGTGGCTGTTTTTGGGCAAACTGGTGACCTTTTCTGGTAGTGTCAAATAAAAGCTGCCATCCCCACCACAGCAGAGCTTGGAAAAAAGAGATGAACTCAGTTCTGTGCTTCTGCTCTTACTGAAAGCTGGTGTGAGGAGAGGGAGTTTGCCATGCCAAGCCTATGTCTGCCACTCTGGACAACACCCCAGAACTGGTAGTGGCAACACGGTGAGGTTAAAGCAGAGGTTTTGTGAAGCACTGGAGGTGTCCCATGAGCACAGGGGCACTTAGACCTGTATGGCAGCTGCTGCAGCAGCAGCCAGCTTTCATCTCTGTCCACTGCGTCCTGCAGCATCTGAAATGTGAATGGTCCAGGCCGAGGTCACTGCCTGCTCTGTAACCTCCACATCATCCGCACCCGCAGTGCTGGCGAGGGAGGGAGGGAAAGATCAGTGTAGTGTGTCAGGAGAACCGGTGTCTCACTGGGGTGGGAGAGTGACCTGGCGTGGAAAGAGCGGGTCGCCGAGCAAGTGGAAGGGACTCTGCTAACACCAGCTGTTTCTCTTTGTTTAAGGAGCTTGGAAGGATCGAAGATGCATCTGTGTTCTTTAAGATGATACTGGTTGGTGACAAACAGCTTTGTCTTTACTACAGCTTTACTACAGCTCTGTGTAGTAAATCCCACTTAGGGTTTTCTGCAAAGGGTTTTGCTAACTGGAACTGTGTTTTCTGTTTCCTTTCCTGCAAATGCTCTTCTACCACAGGTGGAAAACATCAAGGATCTCAGTGGGGCAGGGCCTTTCACTGTCTTTGTCCCACGGACAGATTTCATAGGAAACACCACAACAGTAAGTGTCCTTCCACCCCAAGCACTGTCAGGTGTTTGGCAAGCTCCAGTTGTGACAGTGTCCCCTCTGCCCAGTGACTTGAAGTGAAGGGGCTGCACTGCAGAGGGTTAAAAGCATCTGAGGTTTGGAGTCTGACTCACATCAGAGACAGTCTGGGCAGGGTGGACATGGCTCCCGCTGTAAGGAGACCCTTACTGGAGACCCTGTCTCATGGTCCTCAGAGGCACTGTGCCAAATCAGTGGTGTGTGGTGACTTTTATTGCCCATGGCTATTAAAGGGCTGGTAACAGCAAGGCTTCAAGGCATCTGTGACAAAGACCTCATATTCCTTCTCTGTGCCCCAGGACCTGCCATTCCACTTCAATCGGTCCCTTCCTTCTAGTCCCAACAAGGGGGATGTCTGGGGCAAGTGGAGACCTGGGGGAGGAGAGATCCTTATTCATGATGCTGTGAACCAGGTTCCTAACCAACAGCTTTTTGGTACCAGTGTAATGGAATATCCCCATTCCATCCTGTTGTGCAGCTTCATACCACTAGTCCCAACCTTTTTCTCATGGACCCCCCATACACCCAGTAAAGGAACAATTCCCTGCATATCCCAGGTGTCACTTCCTCAAGGCCAAGGTGGTCATTGTCCTCCCATCGAGGGACATGAATGCTGGTTTTGGCAAGCTGGTTGAAATTTCCCAAAGCTCTCAAATGGTTTTGTGCAGTCACCATGTTTTGGGAGGACTGGCTTTCCTGCAGCGATGAGTCAGAGGGGGCTTGGGCAATCTAGGTCTCTCCCCCTGTGTCTTGGGGACCCCTGCAAGGCAAAATGCCCCCCAGTGTGACCTCGTTCTTGTTTTCTGTCCGTAGTTTGAGGAGTGGAGGAGCAGAGGCTTCCTCCGGGACCTGCTTCGCTACCACATGGTGGGTTGCCAGGAATTGCTGTCCAGTGACTTGGAAGCCCAGGAGTCCCTTACATCTTTATCTGGCCACAACATAAAGATCACAGTGAAAGAGGTAGTTCTCTGCCACAATTCCCTTCCCTGTCCCACTTGTCAGGCTGTCGCTTTTGCTGTCATTTTTTGAAGGCCACTGTGGTTGTGGCAAGTGACTTGCCTAGGGCCCGCAGACGGCTCACAGAGCAGTGCTGTGGGTGTGAATATCTCATCGTATCCCTTCTCTTTCAGAATAGCATCTATCTCAATGAGGAAGCCAAAGTGGTCACGAGTGACATCATCGGCATGAACGGGGTCATTCATTTTATCAACAAGATCCTCATTCCAAGTGACCTGGTGGACCATAACATTTCCTCAAAGATCTCACGGGTAAGGCTGGAGCAGTGACTGTGCCCTGGTAAGTGCTGTGGTGAGGACAAGGCTAGGATCTCTCTCCCAGCAGCTCTGGTAGTGCTGTCCCTGATAAGCCCTCAGCCCAAAGCCCTGTGGGATGTTCTTCCCTGTTTCTAGCTGTGTAGGGGTTCTCTGAGGACACAGATTTGGCTTGTGAAGGTGACAGTGTTTGTGGCGTAGCCATATTTGGGACAGAAGGAGCCTTATCCATCACTAGGGAACAACAGTACTAGATGTAGGCAGGGGGATCACGTCCCACACCAACCATCCTAGTCCTTTTTCAGTGCAGAGCAGATCACAGCATGAGATTGCCAACGTCTCTCCAGTACTCTTCAAACAAGTGCTAGGAGCTTATAGATTCTGCATTTTACAGAAGATAACACATTTTCTGTACAGCACAACAGAGTGCTGAAATTCATCCCAGAATAAATCAGAAAAGCAGTGGCTGCTGAATGCCAGCACTCACCAGGCCAAATCCATCAGCATGGTGATGACAGAGATAAACTTGTGTTTAGCTACTGTAGTTGTCAACTGTCTGGTTTCTCCCCTGCATTGCTGCTCCAGGTCCTGAAGCAGGACCTCATAGTGACAGTTGTTTGCTTTCTTCCCTCTGCAGCAAAATATCACAGAAGTGGCAGATGCCTTCGGGTACACCATTTATAGCAAGCTGCTGCAGGTGAGTGACTGAACTCCTGTTGCTCTGTGCGGAGGTGATGTGTTAGATGTGCATGTTCAGTTTTGGCTTGTGGCTTTTTGTTTGTATCCCCTCTTATCTCGGACAGGACGCGGAGCTGCTGCCACTGGTTAGTGACCCCCTGCATAGACCCTTCACCATGCTGTGGCCCACAGATGCTGCGTTCAATGCCCTCTCAGAGAAAAGGCAGAAATGGCTGTACCAAAGAGAGCATCGGGACGTGCTGGCCTCCTACCTCAAAGCACACATGATCAGGGACACAAAGGTAAATGTGGCAACAAACAGGCTTGTACCTCCCGAGGCCACGTGTGGGGCCACCACCTGCCTATGGTTATGCCAGAGTGACCTTGCCAAATATTTTGCTGCTGTAGAACATGCAGCATATTAGTTTTCTTCAGAAGATGCAAAGATGAGCATTTGAGGCAACTACCGCTTCATCATGAACGTCTGGTGCAGTGTGGCTGAGCTGAAACCTTCTGTCATCGGCTTCTCAGGGAGACCACATCACCACCAGTGTCAATGCAGGGCTCACAAGTCTGTAGAGGTGGTGAACAAGAGAAGAATGCAGCTGAGCAAAACCAAGGCCTGCTTACACACGCTGGTCTCTCACTGTTCAGGAATCTGGGACCAACCCAACATAGTTACGCTGTTCCACCCACAACAGCTTCACATGCTGCCACGTCACACCCCCCGTCAGTGTGGCTGCTGTCCTCACCAGCCACCATCCCATTGGAAGTATGAACTGCCAGTTTTGCCGGTCTTTCCCTTCACATTCTTCTTTTTCCCCCTTAGATTGTTGCTAGTAACATGCCCCAAGTCAAATCCATACGGACCATGCACGGCTCCGCCGTCTCATTCAGCTGCAGCAAAACCCACGTGGTGAGTGATGGCGATGCTGGGCTCTGCTTTCCACTGAGCGTGTGTCCCTGGGCATCACCGTGGGGCAACCCATGGCTCCGTGGTGGTCACTGGCAGGGGGTGAACACAGAGTTGGGGTGCTTGCAGGCTGAGACACCCCATTCCCCTGGCTACAGCTGAGCCTGTAGAGAGGCTCGAGACTCTGTGGCCAGCTGGCAGGAAAGCGTGGAGACATGTGGTACCTGCACATGCACTTCACGATGACCATGTTGCAAAGCCAACCATGTGGTGCCATGAGCTTTACAGAGCATATGTTGCATGGACAGAGGCCATTTCTTAGGAGAGCTGGCCATGAAAAGTGGCAGTCAGGAAGGGTGGTCGAGGACATGAGCACAGAGGTTTTGGAGAGTTATTGGGGTGACTGAGAAGTCACAGCAGCCAAAAAGGGCAACGCTTGGGTGGTGCAGCCAGGATCACAAGTTGTTTTCTTCCTCTGGTAGGGGGAGCTTCTGGTGGGGAACAGCGATGCCACCATCATCCAGAGGCACATGGAATTCAATGGCGGCATTGCTTATGGCATCAATAGGCTGCTGGAGCCACCAGATCTGGGATCTCGCTGTGATGAGTTTGTCTTTGTCGAGCTGCAGGTGAGCGCTTGCAATGAGGCTGGTGGGGATCTGTGCGACCTGTTGAGCCCCATGCCTGGGCAGAGGGGTGGTGGGAGGGCTTGCTGCTCTTGGCAAAGCTCCGAGCAGCTGAGAGAGGCAGAAGCACGTTTTGAGTTGTTGTGAGGTTTCTTTCTCCCCTCCACAGGGATCTCCAGAGAGCTGCGGACTCTGTGGCTTCGAGCCACCCTGCCCTGCTGGCTCCGTTCAACGGGTAAAGTTCACAGCTTTGTCACCAAGGCGGCCTTTGTCACCAAGGAGGGGCTGATGACAATACCCATCTGCCCCCGATGTTTTAGCAGCAAAATGAAGGCACACCTGCATGTGGCGAGTCCCTCGGCTTGATCGCATTGCCCATGCCTTGCCCCAAGCCACACAGTCCCATAGGGCAGGAGCTGGGCTGAGCAACGTGGGGTCAGGGGCTCGAATGGACTTTGACAGCAGCCGCAAGGGTCCCTGCAGCAGCACTGGGGCCTCTCTGGGTGCTTTATAGCAAAAGAGCTTGGCCTGGCCACTGGAGATGGACCAGGGATCAGATGATGAGCAACCTGGGGGGGGCAGTGGTTGTACCCCACTTTCACTGCATCGCCCGCTGTCTCTCTGCCAGGCTTCTGGCATGTGCCCAGGGTACATCTGTGGCTCCTCTGTCACCAGCCCCATTGCATGTTAGGAAGCCTCTGTTACTTGTCACAGAAAACTGAACGAGTAGCACAGGAAAAATCAAGGTGAGATGTCAGTGACCAGTGTGGCAAACTATGTGTCTTGCCTGTTTCCTCGCAGGGGGAAACCAGGCGCTGCTACTATTATGGAAACCAGCTGTTGAGAAACACTTTTCTGTTTCACCACAACTCCCTGTTGCGGCCATCCTGGCCACCTTCCCCGTGGGACTCCTTCAGAAGACACTTCTCTTCCAGGGGGCCTCTGAAACGAGGCTGCAAGAGGAGCTGCGTTTCCACCCAGTGGGCCCCTCAGTGCTGTGCGAACCACTATGGCCGTGACTGTCGGGGTAAGGAGCCGCACGACCCTTTTCTGCCCTGGCCCTTTCTCTTCTAGGGAAGGTTCAGCACAGATGTCTCATGTCTGTGAATGTGCTTCCCTGGAGAAGGGTGGGCAAAAACCCAGGGAGGGAGCTCCAGGCTGTAGAGCGTGCAGGGAACGAACCCCTCTGCGTGTGGATGGTATTGTAACAGGGAATTCCCTTTCCTCGGAGAGCTGCTGTCCCCATGGAGAGCCCTGGGCACAGGGCTGCTGGGGGGTGGCTGTCAGACACGTCACTCACCCCTACATGTCGCCAATGTTCAACCATTCCCTGGCATCTGCCCTCTGTGCTTTGTGCATGGGCAGCTTTCGCATCCTTGGATGAGTCTGCTGCCACATTAGCGTGGGGTAGGCCAGCACAGACCCAGCACATTGCAGCAGAGGGTCTTCCCAGGCTGGAGGCTATGCCAAACTTGTCCCTCTTGTCCCTGTTCCTAAGGTTTATTGTCCTGGGATGTTCCCAGCACTGACCCCAGTCTGCTGAGCAGGCTCTGTGGTCCGAGCACCCCGTAAGCGGCAGCTCACATGGTGCCTGGTGTGCAGGCTCTGCACGGGACCGCGGGTGACTCCCCTCCAGCACCAGGGTCACTTTGTCACCACGGCCTTCACTAAGATCCCCCATTTGCAGTGTGCCCGGGAGGGCTGGAGGCACCATGCAACAACCGTGGTACCTGCAATGACAAAATCACTGGCTCGGGGTGGTGCAACTGCAGCCAGGCTTTCATCGGGACCAGCTGTGAGCTGTGTGCGCCGGGCAGATACGGACCAGACTGCCGAGGTAAGGGGGAAGCTGTGGAGTGGCAGCAACACAGAGGGTTTGTGTGGAGGTGGCTGGGGCACATGGTGCTGCTTGGAGAGGGGGGTGGGTGTTGGGCTGAGCTCTCTGCACCCTACAGCATGGGAATCAGCTCTGCCACGTGTGCATCGGTCCCCACGGCACTTGGGTCAGACCTCTGGGGCTGGGGACATCCCTCCCTGGGCGCTTGGCCCGGCAGCCATTAATCCAGCTGTAGTTTGAGAAGGCTGGGTGGCACGTGCCAGGAGCTGGGGCCAGTGCAGCCATGCAGCCCCAAGGCCCCGGGGTCAAAGCCCCCTTCTCGTCTGTCAAGCATGGCTCAGAACCCCAGTTTGTCAGAAAGTATTAAGATGTGTTTTGAGTTGGGGGACAAATCTGTAAGTTGTGAGGAACCCTGTACAGAAAGAGCATCTCCTGGGACATGCTCAGCAGGGACCTGTGCCCCTGTGAGGCAGAAGCTAAGGGAAGGAGGAGTCCCCCATCTTCCCATCCCAAACTGGGTCTTATGGGGTCTCCGGTGTTTTTGATGGCTGTATGTTTGCAGGGGCTCAGAGTGAAAAACGTGTCTCTAGAAATGCCCAGGGGAGGGGAACGATGGGGATTTGTGGGTGCAGAGAGGCTTCCCCTCCTCTGTGAAGGGTGCATGTTGCAGGGGGGGACCAGGGCTGGCAACAACAGGAAGGGGTGCGTGCGTACTGCCGTGCCTGCCTTCATGCACTGCCCACACAGACCACGTTTCTGCCACGTGGCTGTCCCATGGCCCCAGCGTGGCTTTTCACTGCCACCAAGGCAGATGCCGTGACAGTTTTTTTTATCTATTCCTCAGAGTGTAACTGTACCGAGAATGGCGTGTGCAACGGAGGCCTGCATGGCGATGGCTTCTGCTTCTGTGCTGAGGGCTGGACTGGAGACCACTGCGAAACCAGACTAGGTGAGGGGTGCCAAGCCCTGCCACCCGCTGCTCCCTGGGACCCCATGCCATACTGGCCGCTTCCCGGTAGCTGGATTGTTCAAGCAACCAGTCAGAACTATCTCCAAAAAGGAGCTCTCAGTTGCAGGGTTGATCCTGAGATCTGGCCCGTGCTGTTGAATTCACAAGGGTTGGGGTGGTAAGGAAGAGGAGGAGGAAGGCTCCACTTGATCATGACCAAGTCCCTGAGCTCAGAGGTGCTCCAGGAAGAGCTTGAGGATGAGGTGAAGGCCTGAGGTGTATCTGATGGAGTAATGGTCCTCTGCATTTGGGCGAGGCATCTGCAGAAAAGCACAGGGGGAGAGAGGGAGGAGCGTGGGGTGGGCGGCCTGAGGTTTAGGCTGGCGATGGCAGCCGTGCCCGTGTTACAGCCCTTGGATCATTCTGACCTGTGTGTGTTCTGGTTTCAGTCATGACACCCACCTGCTCTCCACCGTGCCACCCCCAGGCCGTCTGCCGCTCCGGCAACCTCTGCGAGTGCAACCTACACTACGAAGGAGACGGGAGAATCTGCTCAGGTAGGAGCAACCCACGAAGGGCTGGGCCGGTGGGGTGGTGAGTGAAGGGGAAAGCAAGACAACATGGCAAGTGACCACCTCCCCCTGGCCATATTGGTGTGACGACTGGCAGGACAGACTGACCGACCACCGGGACACCTAGCAAGGTGTTTGAGTTGACCTAAGGCTTTTACCCCTGCAGTGATGGACATGTGCAGCCAGGACAACGGGGGGTGTGCCACGCACGCGCAGTGCACGCAAGTCGGCGTGAACGTCTCCTGTGCCTGTGCGCCCGGGTACGGAGGCGACGGCTACACCTGCGACCCCATAGACAGATGTGCGGACGGTAGGAACGGGGACTGCAGCCAGCACGCCAGCTGCATCAGCACCGGGCCGGTGGGTACAGCCCTCAGGGCCGGGGCGCTCTGCGTGCCTGGGGGAACAGCGCGGGTGGCCGCCCTGGGATGCTTCGGGCTGCTGGAGGACAGCAATGTGACAGTGTCCCCTGTTACTGCCGTCCCCAAGACTGCCCCTCCTCTCCAGTCCTCCCCTCTCCAGTCCCCCCAGCAGTTGCGTTCATCCTGCAGGTCCTTACTGCCAGGCAGGGGCCATGCCCTCGGTCCACTGTCTGGCTGTGGTGACGGTCCTGGTGACATTATGCAGACGCCATTTTCCCCCATTCCTCTGTCTAAGGGGCATAAACTATGTCAGTTGTGGCATTTCTGGACTGTTTGGGGGGCACTGGGATGGTCCTTCGAGGACGGTGCTGGCCATTTTTGTAGAGGAACCAGAGCTGCTCACTGCAGACCACAGTGTGGGACTGGAAGCATGATGTAGTGCAAGAATCATGAGCCATGTACTTCGGAGCTCAGCTGCCTTTCAAACAGCACGTGGCAAGGTTTCAATGTGACATTTTTTGGTTCGTGTGCAGTTGGATATGGGCATAGGACAGAGACCATGCGGCCTTTTGTGGCTCTGTCATAATCCCAGCAGGCTGTAGAGGCGTTTTGAAGGCTCATCCCCAGCTGGCATCTGCATGTTTGCACTCACACAGATGCCATCCTTCCTTTGTGCTGCAGAACGAGCGGCGCTGCGAGTGCAAGCGGGGCTACGTTGGTGACGGGATCCAGTGCCTGGAAGAGGCCGTGCCCCCCACGGACCGGTGCCTGGAAGACAACGGGCAGTGCCATCGGGAGGCCATTTGCACCGACCTGCACTTCCATGGTGAGTGTGCGCAACCCCACAGTGCCAGGGATGATGTTCCCTGGAGAGGTCACACTCCCTCACCCTTCACCTTCTGGCTCGGGAAGCCGGAGGGTGGGACTGCCGAGGGGCTGGGAATGCGTCTCTGGAACTTGGTCTGGTTTTCACATTCCCCTTTTCCCCTACATGTCATACGGGGAGGACAAGCCATCCTTGTCTGCTCCCGTGTGATGTGTGAGATGGCCTCTGGTGGGATCACACTGACAGTAAGCACTGACCCCCTCGTGGAAGGCAAGAAGCTCAGAGGAAGCCATGCTGCATCCCACCTCACCCTCACTTGAGCATTGTCCACAACCCACCCTCCATTGGCAGTGCTCTGTGCTCACACCGGGGACCCACGCGACTGCCCCAGGGTCGCTGCTCACTCTCTATACTGTACTGATGCTCCCTGGCCTTGGCATTTTGCAGATAAGACTATGGGCGTATTTCATCTGCAGTCACACCAAAAAAAGTACGACTTCACTTATGAGCAGGCTCAGAAGGCCTGTGCTGCAGAAGGTGCATCCCTGGCCACTTTGCAGCAGCTCTCAGCAGCACAGCAGGTGAGGGCAGGGCTGCAGAGGTCGGGCGGGGGCTGGCTCCATCACCTCGGAGGGTGGGGACATGCTGTGCTTCTCCCCGGGCCGGCCCAGCGGTAGCGAGCCCATGACGTGGGGGTGGGTGACCTCTCATCCCCTCGGCCAGTCCCATTTGCTCCATCTACATCCGTGAAACCAGCAGGGCTGGTAGGTCTTGCCAGTCACACTGGGACGAGACATCTGGCAGTGCCCAACCCTTTCGGTGATGGGGGCATGTCAGATAAGGCTGCATGATGGGAGCGTGCATCAGGGCAGAAAACCACGGCCAGAGATCCTATTTTTAATCTAATACTTCATTTTCCTCTGCTAGATGGGATTCCATCTGTGCTTGGTGGGCTGGCTGGACAATGGCACAGCCGGATACCCCACAGCCTACCCCAACCCCAGCTGTGGGGCTAACAGGGTGGGCATTGTGGACTATGGCTCCCGAAGCAACCTGAGCGAGACCTGGGATGCGTTCTGCTACCGGGAGAAGGGTGAGTGGCCTGAGCACAGTTCCTGGGGACGGTTCTGTTGGGGCAGCAGGCAGAGAACTGCCCTCAGATCATGAGGCACCGGCCGGTGAGCACATCCCCCTCTCCCCATGCCCATGTCAGGAGGGAACATGCTGAGGGGTATCCAAAAATCAAGGAAGAAGTGCTCAAGTGTAGCCAGCATTGCCAAGTCAAACCGCATCTGAGTGTTCCTTTGCAGATCTGACCTGCACCTGCCGCGACGGTTTTGTGGGAGATGGGTACTGGTGCAGCGGCAAACTCCCCGATGTGCTCGCAGACCACGCTCGCTTCTCCACCTTCTATTCCGTAAGCAATGCTCTTCAGTACGCCCGCAGCCAGCAACAAAGTGGAGGGAGGGATCAGCCATAAAAGGGAGAGTGGTGGTTTGGTCTGCATGCAGGGTAGGGAGTACAAACACAAAGGCATTTTCTTTCCCGGGCTGGGGAGGGTAACAGCATTGAGCTGCCGGCAGTGTGCTGATGGGGAAGATCTCCCATCTTTTCCAGATGTTGCTCGATTTTGCCAATGACACAGAAGGAGGACTTGATTTTTTCATCTACTTGTCTGATGACTCCGCTCCCAAAACTCTCTTTGTCCCTCTGAATTCTGGCTTCGCAGAAAACGAAGTAAGCAAGCAGGGATGAGCAGCTGCTCGAGGGCGCATGGAACGAACTATCAGAGCCCCAGAGGAGAGCAGGGGTCTGCCAAAGCTGCTGTGATGGTGATGTGAAATAGTCTGGGGAAGGAGGAGTTTAGGTCAGAGGGGACTGCTGGAGGTCTCTAGTCCAACCCCTTGTTCAGAACAGCTGTTTAGGTCAGGTTGCTTAGAGCCTTCTCCAGTTGAGCTTTGGCTGTTTCTAAGGACAGCAATCCCCTCTGCTCTGCGTAGCAGTTTTGTGCCATGTTGCCCATGACCATGAATTGAGCTGTTTTGTGGCCATGGAGTGTGTCGGGGCTCAGGCCAGGTGGTGGCTGCACACAGCAGGAGGGAAGGGGTGAGAGCCAGCTCAGCCATTTCTGATCCCTGCTCCCTGTTGCTCTTTCAGACACTGACAGGAGAAGAACTGAAGCTCCATGTGTCGTCCAGCAATATTGTCCTCTTCAGCTTCAACCTCACAACGGGCACCATCATCCCCTCCCAGTCAGGATATGACCTCCACGTATCAGACGTCCCAGTGGGCAACAGTACAGGGCACTCTGTAGGTTTAACCATGACGGAGGTCAAGAAAAAAACCTACGCCTTTTTACGCATCTGTTTCAAGACCGGGAACAAGGGGGAGGCTTTCTGGTGGGGTGACAGCATCTCTGTCCTGTGTTGTAGGATGCCAAGGGGATCAATGACACGATGATTGTGGAGTGGGACATCCTGGCTTTCAATGGCATCATCCATGCGATTGCAGAGCCGCTGCGGATCCCGCCGCCCATCCCGCAGCTTGGTCAGGTGAGCGCCCGAGGGCACGAACGGGGGAGGAAGGTGCCGAGGCAGCCGGCGAGGGGAGAGGCGGCGGCCCGGCCTGTCCCGGCGCGGCGGGAGGTGGGTGGGCTGCCCGCGGTCACGGCGTGGGGGGCTGCGGCGGGATCCCCCCCCCGGGGGTGCCGTAACCGGGCCGCTGGTTTCTGACGCAGGTGAACGGCGCGGCGAAGGCCTCGGGCTCCGCGGCCGCAGCGACGCTGTGGGCGCTGTGCGCGGCGGGGGCGCTGGCTGCCGCGGCCGGCGGCGCCTATTACTGCGTGAAGAGGCGGCGGCGGGCGGAGCAGTTCGGGTATTCTCAGGCGAGTGGAGCCCGGCGGCCTTGTGGGGCGGGGGCGGGGGGATGGCGCCGAGGGGCAGCCACGCGTGGGCGGGACACGAATGGGGGTGGCGGGGGGGCTGCGCTGAGGGGAGGGCGCGCTCCGCCCGCGCGGCAGGGGGCGGCCGAGGGCCAGGCCCGCCCCGCCCATCCCGCGCCCCCCCCCCTTCGCAGGCGGACCTGCGCGCGGACGAGGAGGAGGAGGAGGAGGGGGCGGTGCCGTCGCCGCAGGAGGAGGAGCAGCGCGCGGTCCCGCGCGCCGCCCGGCCCCGCCACCAGCGGCCGCTCGTTGCCATCCCCAACCCGCTCTACGGCGGCCACGCCCCCGACTACGAGCCGCTGCACGTGAGCACCGCCCCGCCCCGCCCCGCCCCTCGCCGCGCGCTGCCGGGCTGACCTCGCCCCTCTCCCGCAGGGCTCGCTCCTGGCCGACGCCGACGGCCGCGCGCTCCTGCTCTGAGGGGCCGCGGCCGCCGCCGCCGCCGCCGCCGCCCGGGAAAGAAGGAGCCGCCTCAGCGCTGCCGGGCTGCCCTCACCGCTCAGCCCCCGGCCCCGCACCCGCCCCGCCTGCGCCCTCCTCGCCCACGGCCACCAGCCTGGCTGTGGGACAGCCCCGGGGGCACGGCTGCGCTCTCGCCTACCCTCGCACTCTGCCATCGGGACACAGCAGTTCGTCACCACTCCCCACATCCCCCCCCCTTTTGCTCCATCCTGCCTGCACGGTGATCCTGAGGGGCACAAACTGCTCAGGCACCCACCCCAAGCTAGGTCATGGTCGTGCACCCAGACACCAGCACCCACGGCTGGAAGGGAACAGAGACAAGCATCACCCCTGCAGTGAGTTGGTTAGTCGGTTAGTTACGCATGCTGCAGGCTTTTATTGAGTCTCCACACTACACACAGCACAATGACATCAGATGCCACACACACATACTACAACCATTCGGTTAGAGCAGCGATTGTTTAGGTCACTGAGTTGAGTGCAAGGCATCTTAAAAGTTGGCCCCAGGCTGGCACATAGCATAAAGACAAGTCAGGGACACAAGTGCCAGACTGAGGGGCAAGAGTGGCACAGCGCTGGGGAGGAAGGTGCAGGAGAGACTGGGGGGGGTGTGTATGTGTGTATCTCACCGAGGGTTACTGACACACACTGTACTTCACCTTTCTCTGAGGAGCTTCCTGGCAGAGGACCCTCCACACCACCTTGGTTCCTCTCCCTCAGCTGCCTCCGCATTGACAACGCTCAGCCCAGACGGCAGTTGCCACAGCCCAGTGCTCACAAGCAAGCCCTGCCTGCCCCCCTGCTCATCCCCAGCCTCCCCCGTGAACCGACAGCCCTTCCCAGCCACACAGACACACGGTGCAGCCCCGAGCACCATCGCACCCACTCAGCAGTCACTCACCCCTTTCCTTGCCCACTCACAGCCAGACCCAACCCAAGACGCATGTCCATTCTCTGTTCCCTCTCTCGTACCTGTCACCTCAACACCACCTGCCCCCGCAAGCAAGCTGGCACTGGCACCCTTGTTGCCATCTGCAAATGGTGCTGCAATGAGGGGAGGAGGTGGTGGACCAAGGTACCCACCTTCTCCCGAGCCTGCACCAAGCCCTCTGCCTTCAACCCCGCACCAACCGGCCCTGCATGTCTCTCCCTTGAAAGCAGCTGCATCACTCGCCTCCCACGTGCTTTGGGGCCCTCACAGACCACCCCCCCACCTACACCTCTTACCCCTTCATCCCCTAGCCCTGGCTTCTCACACACCCCGCTTGCTGACGGCATGATCTTCTGTTTCCCAGGGCCAGGCAGCAGGAAGGTGCCACAAACTCAACCCCCCCTACTCACCTAACTGCCCCCCTTCACCCCTCCCCGGCGCCCTGCCTGCCCCTCGGGGCACTCACAAGCCTGGCCAAAACCCACACAGCCCCCAGCCAGGCAAAGCACCGACCTTCTGCCCCTCACATCCTAACGTAGCTCTGGCTGACCTGGGTCTTCAGGCCGACACTCCTGTCCCCAGTGCTCTGGCATCACTATTGCCACCTTTCCTCTTCTCCTCAGGAGGCACAACAACTGTCACACCCCCCCAGGACATCCTCACCAGCCCCTCCCTACGCCTCAGGCCACAGCCCAGCACACACAGCTGGAAGGCCACCACCTCTGCTCGCACCCCTGCCCCTTCCCTAAAGGCTGGACACGTCCCTCTGCAAGTCACAACTGACCATACCGCAGCAATTGCCAAAATAGCAATGTCACATGGCACCAAACCCAAAAAGTACTGACGGTGTATAGCCCTAAGCTCACTCAAAAAACAGGCTCATCACCAAACACTTATTTTCAGCCCTTCTAACCTCACACAGAACTTGCACATCCTGCACATTTAACTAAGTTACCTTCCCGAGGGCCGCTGGTACCAGTAACACCGCTGATGCTCTGGCGTCCGTGATGCTGTCACTGATGGGCTTCACTGGTCGCCCCGTTAGCAGCCCTGTCCCCTCCCTGTCCGCCCGCGGGATCACTCGCGCTGTAGTTCCCACGGATCTTGGGTCAGCTACCACCCTGACACACCTTGTCACACCTCGCCTGGGACGCCGCGCTGCACTCCCAGCACTGCAGACACAGGACTCCACTTCTGAGCCCCTTCTCTGGGCACAGAGCAGGGAGCAGCAGCTTCCCCCCACCCCACCTCCCCAGCACTGGCTCTCCAGCACCTGTACTACAGAAGCACCCGTCCTCTGTCCAGTCTCAACGCAGCTCAGGGAAAGGGATGGAGCCAGTGAAGGGGAAAAAAAAAAAAAAACAACAAAAAAAACAATAAACACACCATCTACACACATACGTAAGTGTCAAACGCCCTTTAGTGGTAGACAGAGGTGCTGCTGGCCGAGCAGCCTGGCCCCACGTGCAGACTTGCACTGTGCTGGTGCCCTCACCGGATATGCACCATCTCCTCCAGGAAGGGGGTTTTCATGCAGCCTGTGCAGAGCTGATCCATCCAGAGTGGAGCCTCATGCTGCAGAGGGGTGCGCCGGGGGTAGAAGGTGAAATTCACGTCGTAGTTCAGCAGGCAGCTGATGGAAGCCATGTAGATATCGGAGAACCGCACCAGCCGTCGGGAGAAGTACGTGGGGTTGTGGAAGGTGCGGAAGATGCTTCCAAACTGGGGGTTGAACAGGTTCTTTGTCAGTGACCTGAGAGGAAAGAGATGGTGCTCTAGATAAGAGGCCAGGGTCCCACGTTCCTCCTCCAATCCCTCAGCCCTGGGCCCCCCCACTCCCAAAAGAGGGTTTGGGATCACCCTAGGTACCCTAAGCCCGGGGCTGCGATGCAGACCAGTCCCTCTGCAGCAAGACTGGTGGATATTCACCACACTCTTCATCTTCTTTGTTGCTTTGCTGCCATACCTGTTACAGGCAGGGACCCACCAGCAGTGCCAAGTGACACCAAGGAAGACCACAGGCCAACAGCTGCAGCACCACTGTTCCCCAAACGGGTCACAAACCAGACCCAGTGTAGGCCTGGGAGCCCCTGAGGGACCTCAGGAGCAAGGGGGACAACACGCACCTGATCTCCTGACGTTCCTTCATCCATTCCAGCAATACTTGTTTTGACTCCGCATCCTGGTACATCTGCAAAGACAAGCGCCCCGCTGTGTCAGTCCTGCAGGCCACACCTCAGCTCCTCCCCCTTTCCACTGTAACAAATCCACAAGTCTACTCCACCAGGAGGAGGATGAGATATTTTTGACAGCACAGGCAGGATGGTCCGTCCCTCAATTCCCATGCTCAGCCCAAAACACAAAGTCAGAAGGCAGCATATTCCCCGTCCTGCCCAGACAGGAGCTGTTTACCTGCATTCTCTCTAGTAGCCCTGTCAGAGCTTGCTGCCAGGTCAGGGAGTGCATGTACTGCTCTGTGTTTATGATCCGAATCTCCGTCTCCAGTTCGGGAACGATGGCTCCAGTCCTCCAGCCGTGACGCAGCATGAGGTCCTAGAGGTCAGGGTGAAAAAACAACTGAGAATTCAACAAAGTTTGAAAGCCAAACACAACCCCTTTTCCTAGAAGAGTAGTCTGTTCCCTTTACAGATTCTCAGGGGACAGGCAACCACAGCCCATGCCAGGTCATGCCAGTAACAGCCATCTCCTGGCCCCCAGAATCAGATGCGTGAAGGACCTAGAAATACGAGATCTACCCAAACTGCTCTCAAATTCACAGCCCAGCAGATGTTCTCTACCCACAGAAAATACCTCAGACACCCTTTCTCCACTGCTTGCTTCTGCCTGATAGCAGCATGTGGATGCTACGTGTGTCCCAAAGTTCGCAGCCTGCAGAGCACCCAGCAGAGCGTAGTGGAGACCTGAGCACTCAGGTCAGGGCCCCGCCTTACACTGCAACACAGCTGCAACCGCAACAGTCACGCAGGCTCGCTCCCACCTCCCTGGAGAGTAGAGACCTTTCCACTTACCGCAAGGTCGCTGTACAGGTGGTCACCAAAGTAGAGCACTTTGGACCCACGCCAGCCTGTCAGCCTCAGAAAATCGAAGAGGTTACCCTGCAAGTAGAAGGAGCACAGAGAGAAACAGGGTTACAGGTCAAACGCCTCCAACCGCATGGCACTGCACTGGGCAGCCGCCCCAGCGGCGCTGCTAATGCAACCTTACTGCATGCAGCTGTGAGCACTCTCATGAGACGTCAACCTGCTCACTCCCCCACCATCCAAACCCAGATGTTCCTGTCCTTCCCCACCTTATTTCACTTTCTTCCCACATGACAACCCTCCTGTACATCCCTCAACTTTTCTTAGGCTACAGAAGAAGTCAGAAATTCTTCCGAACCCAGTAGGCAATTCAGGGGAAGGTCTGTGATCTAGGGCACAGCAAGTCAAGAGCATACATGGACTAAAAAGGCAACACAAGGAGGCAGTTTAGAGGCCAAAAGTGAAAGACATCAAAATTAGAAAAGCCCCAGTGCTGGCCAGAAAGAGCCCCGGGTGTTCTGGGTTTAGAAGTTGCTGGGATCAGGTGATAGATTTCACCTCCCAGGGTTCATCAGAGGTAAGGTGAGCACCATTAAGCAAGGCTTTCGGAGTCAGGAGCACTCGAGGCTGTTCTTACATCACTGACCACCATCCCAATCCAAAGCATTAACAACACCCACATGTTCACAGGAATTGCTTAACCAGGCAGCTTGGGTACATTCACAACTAAGTAAAACAAACCAAACCCCAAAGCACCAGCACAGGGCAGCTTTCAAGGCTTTCCAAACATCCGTCACATACAGAGGAGACTTCAGGGACCCCCCTTCCATCTCCACACAAGTTTTCCACATGAGTCACAACAGAAATAAAACCCACTAGGAAAGGAAAAGGCCCCACCAACGCCAGCAGACTAGACTGTGCCAGCACAAGCAGTCAATGCAAGCCTGCGAGCCACTCGGCAGCAATCTCTCCAGCCAGTCTCCAGCACCAGGAAAGAGCGACCGTGCCTACCCAACAGCACCGGCCCGGACAGAAAATCCCCCAAACACAAGCCAGTTCCCACAACAGCCTGCAGCCCTGACTCTGGTCACTGGCAACATGTTGTATGCACTGCAAAGGGTGCCCGGAACCAGAGTGCTGGGCCCCCTGTTGCTGTGGCATCACTGGAGCTGTGCAGACTTCCCTTAACGGCACGGAAACACGGAGCCAGGCAGGCCCCTGCATTTCTGGGACACGACATCTCTCCTCCTCGCTTGAGGGTTGCTGAGGAAGCCACTGGCAGAGCAGGGAAACGGACGACACAGCCTCAGGAGGACGATGGTCCTTTCACTGTGCTGCGGACACCTCAAACAGCAGTGGGCCTGACAACCAGGAAACTTGTGCATGGACCTGCTAAGCGACCGCCAGGAGCTGGCTGTCCTCCTCCCCTCCTGAGATCGCAGACTAAGGGGAGGGATGGGAGTATATACTTTGATATAGACGTGGGAGTATATATCAGAAAGGAGGGATTGGGGGGTCATCACTTGAACTTCCCAGTCCCCAGTGCAAAACACGGATCCCTGAGGCCCCGTTCGTACGAGATACCCACAGCACAACGACCGTACAGCTGTGCTTCAGGGGACAGGAACAACTCAACTCAGAGGCTGCTAGCAACATCACCAGCACAGCAAGGTCCATGGCCACCAACACTTGCCGGAAGGCAGCATATTGTGGCACTCCAAGAAACCAAAAATGCTGGGGACTACAACCAGGATACACTGTCACATCCCAAGAACCACAGTTAAGCAACAACCCTGATGCAGTCGGATGAACACTGTGGTGGGGAAGAACTGGAGAGGAACCCAAAATCTTACCCATCCCTCCTTCCTCCCTCATCTCTCCCTCAATGAACCATTCACTTGGGTGAGCAGCCTGTGGCCACAAGATTTAAGCGGTCAAGAGCAGGATTTAATTCAGCAATAAAAAAGGTGCACCTTTTCAACTGAGAGAACTGTTAAGCCACTGGGAAAGTTTGCCCACTGGAGAGGGACTCTGTAGGAGTTCTACTTGCATGTTCCCAGCTCCTAGCTCTTGGCAGAGGATAGGACACCAGCAGAGCACTTTGACAGACCCACTGGCCAGGCCAGAGGCTTTCCAACAGCACTACACAAGGACATGACCTACTTTTCTACCACAGGTCAGGTCTCAGCTACTTGACCACAATCTCACTAAGTTTCTTCCCGTGGGATTGGACAGCTCACATAACCAAGAACAAACCGTCCTAAAGCCAGAGGCAACTTGTTCTCAGGGGACGGACCAGCTGCAAGAGGAACACCCCAAGGCAGCAAGTTCACCAGAGTCACAGCCCATCCTTTGGAAGGGGAGATGTGAGCCAGGCTTTGTACCCTATTTGATCACCCTTGTTTCTCTATTCCCTCCTCCACCAGTCTGCCTTTTCCAACCTCGTGGGGGACAATTTGGGGTGAGGTGGAAGATCTTTGCCTATACATCACATTGCAGAGGGCTCTGCCTTCTTAACCTGAACTACCACACTCTTGGGAGCCTCTCTAGGACAAAACTTTCAGGACCAGGACACCAGAAGAGCCAAGGGAAAACTGCACTATCAGCCACGCTAGATAATGTCAGAACAGAGCTCCTAGGGTGAAGGTTTCCTTGCACGCTGAGGCAGGGAGCATTCACTGACCCCTGTTACACATGCAGAGGATGTTTCCCTCTTATCCCTTCTCACACAAACAGGGCAGCCGCAGGGCAAAACTCAGCCTGGAAGAGATAAGTCAGCACAGGTCCTGCTGGGCAGAAAGACAAGCACCTGACACCCTAAGTTAACTGGCCCTGCTCTGCCCTTTCCCTCCTTGTCCCTGTCCCTCCACCTCTAATGCCAAGCCCAGTTGAGCTGGCTGCAATACCTCACTCCCACGACACACCTTTCTGAAGCCTGACGTACACAGAGCTGGGTAGGAAACGGTTTCAGAGCTGCAGACAAGAAGTTTTCTTTTTATACTTTATTTCAGCTCTACCTCCTGCAACTGTAAAAAGCTGCGATTGCCGGGACAGCAGCCTTTTCTACACCCGGCATGAAGCATCTCTCACCATTCTCAGAGGTCAGTCTCTTGCCCGCCGACAGCCCTGACAAGGCCCATGTTGCCTTCCTCATATAGGAGAAGACCCTTTATTCTAATGCTTACATCCCAGCAGAAGCTGAAAGACTTTTCAGAGGCATGCCAATCGCAAGGCTATTGCTCCGCAGCATGCCAAGAAACATGCTGAAAGCATTTAGGGGGGCCGGTGTCCCTCCCACCAGGCCAGCAAGAGCTCTGCACGTGGGCAGAGGGCATCTCTCACTGCCACCAGCCAGCGCAGCACACACAGCCTCGAGTGTGTCTTCTTACAAATGCCCTCTATCACAGGCACTCCTTTCAAGGACTTCCATTTTTCACTTTTCAAAGTGACCTATAAAAGAACCCATCATTTTCCCCCACCCTGACTAAGCAGATTTTCCTGTTTTCCAGTGACTTCCAGGCTTTTCCAGGGACTTCCAAAACTGCAGGTATCTTATAAGTGCCCACCGTTTCAGACTCTTGCTTCATAGCCCTTGTGCACCCACTCACTTTACCTCTTTGTAGATCTTTCCTTTCTCCAGCTGGTTTATTTTGTCCCACTGCAGTGAGCCTTTATCATCCAGTTTTCGAAAAGGTCTGGAAAAAAAAAAAAAAAAAAGGGGCGAGATGTCAACCTCTTTTGATTTTTAGTGATTGTCACCCAGCAACCACATTTGAATCAGAAAACTTGCTTATCTATGTAACAACTCATAATAAAAGCTCTATGTGAGAAGTGACCGTCTGGGTCTCCTGCACAATCTTCTCAGGGGAAGAGAAAGTGTGAGAGGGAAATATCTTTTCAAAATGCTTCCATTAACCGTAACTGTTCCATGCCAATATCCCCTACAACTCTTCTTGCTTTTCAGATACAAAGAAGAGGAAAATAATCATAATAATAAAGACTCGCTCTGAAATGCTAAGGCCAGGAGGACTTTGCCATGAAACTCTTTGTGTCCTGTTCCAGTCTGGCTATGCCCCAGCCCAACACAGACTGTGGAATGTCTTAATAGGATAAGGCAGTCTCCATGCTGATCTCGGCAGCTGACCTGAGCTGGCTCCTGTTGTTCCTGAGCACTTGCCTGATTACCTTCCACTTGGACAGAAGCAGGAAAACAAGGCTTAAGTTAATTGACCCCCATGAACATTCACGCTTGATGGGAACATTGCCCCCTCTTGGGATAGGAGTTCCAAACTGTGAGCTCTGGGATCAAAAGCGTTGGTATGAAGTTGCTCCTGCTACAAGCAGAGCACAGTCTCATCCAGAAGCATTGTGTGATCCCGAGCTGCCACAGGGCAGAAGGAATCCAGTTGCCCAGCATGAACTCTACAGCCTACCTGGGCAAGGGGCTCCTCAACCACAAGTTGTCTCCAGTGCACACCTGCATTTTCCCTCAGAAAAAGCACTCCACAGTTCATTACAGCTCACCATCAGGAGCTTCCCCTCACCTTGGCTGCATGGGCCATGCCATTCCACCGGCCCCCTACATGAGGGGACCTTAGGCACCAAGCAGCCATAAGGTTTTATCTGCTAGAGGCCCAGATCATCCAGGCTCCAGGCTCCATTTGTAAGACACTTCACCTACATGCCATGAAGAAAACCTTTATCAGGTCAGCACAGCATATAAAGCCATTTTGTAGGTTTATGTAGCCTGGGAAACAGGGAAAGAAAATACATAAAAAGGAAAAAATAAACCTCTCCCTCAGGGGCAGTAATTCCTGGTCAGTCATAACTCGAGGCAACAAAGCAGACACACGTTCCCAAAGAGAATAATCCAAAGAGCCAAGTAAGGACAGCAGTTTGCCTATTAGCTAGTCCCTTGGCAGCTCCTAACTGACCACAAAACCCAGCCACCACGTACAAAGGCTTCCACAGCTGACAATTACCAAACAGCATGCATCCAGTAACTAAAAAAAAAAAAAAGGAAAAAAGAAAAAAGAAAAAAACAAAACCACATAGATATTTGCTGTGGGGAACAGGAAAAGGAAAAATTTACATCTCCTGTGTTTTCATCTCCTCAGAGAGTATCCGAGAGGACAACCGAAAGCTGGGTCCTACTGGACCTATATTATGCTTAGAAAACCACTACTCTCTTGGAATGTAGAAGAAGCCATTTCCTTCAGGGAAGAGCGCCCAAAACCTCAGGCCCACACGCAGCAGCACAGTATTGCCCCAGGACACGTACTTCCTCCGATCAGTGAAGAAGTTGGGCTTGTCAGCTTGTACAATGACCATGTCGAATAAATCTCGCCAGTTCTTGCCAACCATGTGTTTCATTCCTTTGTCCCTAAGGGCAAAGGAACAGAAAAGTTAATAGATCCAGTACTCTTTTTCACCCAACACCGCATCTTTACAACAGTCTGTCCTAAATTTTTTCTTACTTCAGTAACAAAGAAAGCAGAGTGAATTGTGAATCCCCCAAGGCTGTCTCATTGCATGGAGTATTGATGTAGTGCTTTGACCGTCTCAAGCTGTCCCACCCTTTCTCCTGTGCCACAGGAAGTCCAGAGAAGTCTGTGATGCAGCAAAAGCTGCTAGAGACAATCCAAAGTGGCAGCTCTGTAACACTGCGGCCAGGCACAGCCTTGTATCTTCTTTAAAAAGTGAGGGTGAATGATGAGAGCTGTGGGGTGCAATGTTCACCACAGCCGGTTCCCAGAGCACTCTCATGACTATCACCACAAAAACCTCTAGCGTACAACTTTGCTCACAGGAGAGACTGCGCTGCACAGCTCTTGCTGTGCTGTGGTGACCCACTAGTGTGCAATAATGGTACTCACACAAAGCTGAAGGGACTGTTTGTAATGAGGAAGAGTTTCTTTTTGTGGTTCACTAGTCGGTTTAGCACAGCATAGATTTCATCCCCATGCAGAATATACTGTTCTATATCAAAATAAAACAAAAATTGTCAATCAAAAAATTTAGACATGTCATAACCACATTTCTTTAAAAACAAAAACAAACCTATACCCCTAGGGATGCAAAAGGCCTGAGTTAAGTCCATGTCAGGCAGGCAGGTAGTGAACCACCATGGTGACAAAACAGCCTTCCTCATCCTCATCAATCCTATCTAGAGGGAAGAGAAAGACTGAGGAACCGAAACAGCTGGCTGGCAAAAAAGAGGGTTGATACCAAACCATCACAAAAGACACACACAGCCACTCCAGGCCATGCTGCTACCAGGAGCTCACTTTCCCCTGAATGACCAGGAAGCCTTCCCAGACGATGCCTTTGCATGTTCACATCATGCCAAGGACCATCATCCCTCACTTACCAGCTGAAGGAAAACAGAAACACAAGCAATGAGGTAGCTGTTTCCTCCATTAAAATAGATCCTCCACCTGACCCTAAATACCACTTGTTTCTTAATGCAACTCTACCCCTCAGCTGCCCTCAGGCTGCCACAATCAAGTATTTCATTAAGTTCTGTGTCCCCCTCACTCCTGTGACTGCGTGTAGGGCCTACACAGTCATCTTACGCAGAACGCCACATGGTACAAGGCACATCAAAATGGATTTGGCACCAGAGCTCTATTTAACTCACCCATATCTTTTTCAATCCATTTGTACATCACTCCTTTCACATGTACATCTCTAATAGCATCCTAAAGAAAAGGGCAGGGAAAAAAATTTCAGTTTTACATATGGCATTCCTTATTTCCCAGCATGCAAACCTATTGCCACCACTGGGGATCAATACAGTAATGACACATCCCCTGTTCCTGCTGAAGGAACAAAAGCTAGGCAGAGGACCTTGTACAGTGAGACTCGCCAACATTCCAGAAAGAACAACACAGTGACTGGCTCAGCTGATGCAGTACAAGGGGAAAAACCTCAAAACCTATCCATGAAAGCACAACTTCCTTTCTGCTCCTTGAAACCAGCACATGTTAACAAGGCATTCAAGACTGTGCTACTCCAAAACCATTTTACTGCCCCAAAACTGTACTGGCCCAGACACAGCTGGTGTCTGTTCCTCCCTATGCCTGTGGCAGCTCTGCTAAATGTGACCCAAAGGATGGGAGTGTGGCCAAGGCAAACAGCAACAGAGATGAGCATCTATGATTCCAAAATGCTTCCCACAAGCCAAGGAGGGTGACAGCTTCCATCCCCAGATGGCCAGTGGACACAGGCAGAGCAGAAGCCTCCACTAGGAGAGTAAGGGGATTTGCCAAAACAGAGCTGCCCACTTTTTGGAAGAGAGGCAAGTTAAAACAGATATTGTAAATAGCATCCAAATATCCTCTATTTTCCAGGCCAGAGGCCAAGATGCAATGCATTTTTGGACAGACACAACTGAGATTCTTCCAAAGTCTCCATCCAATGAGAAACGCCAGATACACAGAACCATTTCCAGAGCAGCAACATATTTTGCAGTGTTTGCACATGCAAATGGTTGCTTTAACAGTACCATTTTCATCTCTGACAATTTAGACAGGTAAACAAATGCTGCTTTTTCCCAAGACTCTTAAATCCATAACACCACATGTGCTCTTTCAGGAGTTGCCCTTTCAGACGGGATTCCCACGCTTGCCACTGACACTGCTACAGTGACCCTTGCACACAACGCCACACAGTCACCTGGTCTCGTGGCAGTGCTGGTAAAACCTGCTCATCACCCCAAAATTTGTTTCCTTCAAAGATGGGAGAGAACCAGAATTTACAACTTAGATGAGGAATGATGAAGAAGGAGGTGCTATCTCTTCAAAACAGAGTTTTAGAAGTCTCTTTCCACCATTTGGATTTTAATGGTAAAAAGGCACAGGTCACATCTCAAGAGACTGCCTTATTGGAAAGAAACTGAACAAAAAGCAAGAACGCTAACAAGAAAACAACCTTCTCTTGACCAGCACTGCCTAAGCACTAAAATCAAGCAATGCTTTGGATTTGCATCAAAATTACCTTTGCAGAGCAGAGATGCCAGTGAGCTCTTTCCCTAAGCCCCTACCCCTCAAAAAGAAAAGAAAAAAAAAAAAAAAGGGGGCGGGGGGAAGAACTACAAGATTCCTGCAGGTAAAATCTTGGTAGCCTGGGGAGGTATCAAACAGGGCTCAAAACAAGGTAAACTGTACATTCTTACTCGCAAATACAAAGCAACCAAACTGATGACAGGATTACTTGGTTTACATGTCGGCTTCAACTTTTACCATTGCCTCAGGATCTGCCCTTTTGACTCAGTGTCTCTAGCACTCAACCTGCTCCCAAACACAGAGCGGCTGCAGTCAGGATTACCACTAAGAATTACAGAAGGGTGTCAGGTTTAGAAATGTCTTAACCCACTGTGAGCCTGAGTTGTAATAACAGTTGCAGCTACGCAAGTCCTCTCGCACACCTGTCTGTGGAGGCACAGAAGGATCTCTGTCCTCACGTCCGCAAATCATTTCTTTGCACTTGCACTCAGGTACTGCAAAGGGATAAGTTTTGCAAAAAAGCTTGTTTATTCTCATGATAGAGAAGAAAGCAGGTTCTCTTCTGGTGAGAGCACATGACAGTCTCCAACTTTTCAGTATAGATTTCAGGCACTGACACAGATTTTCAGTTGGAGGTCTCTTCTCTGCCTACCTCAGTCCTTGGGACTGACCATATTCCTCAGCAAAGGATGTGAAGACAAGTGCCAGGATTGAGACTCAGGAGTTTTCGGCCTTGAGCACACCATTTGCCCTGTATGGAGTATGTATTAGGCTGTGGTAACCAATCCTCTCAAGATTCCAATTAGAAACACATCCATTTTGACCTCAAAAGTTCAGAAGACACTCCTGACAGAAGGCCTCAGCAATCAGCTGTATTCCCTCTTCCCATTTTCCCCACCCCAAGAGCGAAAACAACTACAACAACTAACACCCTAGAAACATGTTAAGGTCTTGTGGGAAACTGGCTGGTATGCTCTTATCAAGCACTAACAGAAAGTCAGAACGTATGCTGTAATCTGTAGCTGCAGCAAAGGTGACAGGGTGGATTCTTATCACAAAAGCAGCTGCACAGATGTGGTGTTCCATTTCCCTCACAAGACTGTGTGTGTAAGGGCTGCTATGAGTAGGTGAGCATAAGATTCCCACAAGGTACAGATCAAAAACCCCTCTCCATGGAAAAAAGCTTAGCTACCAAGGAAGATGCATCATCTGTCAACAGAAGTCACCCACAGCAGCAACCTCAAGCACTTACATCTGGCCTACAACATTAACTAAGAAGTCACACAGTACCCCCTAACAATGCTGATAATCCCACCAAGCCCTTTCAAATGCCAGGAGTGAAGCTGGAGGGCACAGTTAGCACCGAGGAGTAACTGGCTCTGGAGAGCTAGTCACCCACTGGCAAACATCCCAAAAGGATCAGACTACTCTGTAGATGCAAAGGGAAGGGGAGGATTCTCAGAGCAGGCAAGGGCAGGTGCTTCACAACACTCACTGTATAAAGCAAACTGTTTGGAATGTGGTCAGACCAAGCCTCTTTGAAAAATTAGATATTAACAGGAAAACATAGAGCTTAAAGTCTGCAGAACCAGAAAACATTTACACAAGCTTTGTGACATATTTCCCACAGAAGGACATTCAGCCTAACCAGCCGAGGCACTCCTGCCCTGCAAGAGATAATGTACAGCAACACCAACTCTGTAGTACAGACAGAAACCTAACGTGTTCTGAAAACACAGCTTTGGATATTCCCTGGTAATGCTTTAATCTAGAGAGGCAACAATGCTGTCATATTATGCTCCTCACTAACAGCCCCTTAGGTTTGGGTACTGCAGAGCTCACAGGTGCTAACAAGCCAAGAGCTCACAATTCTGATGTGCGACGAGCTATGCGGCAGTTGGTATTTTACTTACAGATATATCCTTGTAAAGATGCACCTGGTCAAACTCAATGCCATGAGTTATGAAGTAATCAATGACTGAAGAGAGCAGTGTCATTTCAGGAAGAGAAAAAATGTCCATAAACTGCTTAAGTGATGGGCCCTGGAAAGCAAAAAATGAAAGACACACATTAAACAAAAAATACTTAAAAAAAAAAAAAAAGCAGCAAAGCCAACAAACAAATTGGTATCACCCAGTACCATCTGGAAGACATTCCAGGCTAACAGAAACACTAATGTGGAAAGTCCCAGACACTCAGCAAGAAGTTCTCTCTTCTCAACCAAAACACTAACCTAATGCATTAACACTTGACAAGAGAGAAGCTTCTCCTTTCCAAAAAACATTAAACAAACCCGGCATCATTAATACCGTGGGGTGAAGGCAGAGGAAGTGGCGAGTTGGTCCTAGACACTAACTTTTATTTCAGCCCCATGACCTCTGCTTTCCACCTGGCCCCTTGGCATTGACACAGGTGCCAACAGAAGAGAAGCGGCTATGGCCCTTGATGGAGGAGCCCCATTGCTCATCTAAACCAGTCTGTGACACTGGACACATGGGCACCAAAGCTGCTCTAACCACATTCCAGTGAAGTTTCCCACAGCAATGCAAAAATCACTCCAACAGTTTGTCAGTGCCTGCCTGTCCTTGAGTCCTTACAGAAAACCGGAGTGGACATAAAGAAGAAGAAAAAGAACTTCAGCCCACCCAGCAGTCAAGTGGAAATGGACAATTAAATCCCGACCAAGTAATAACTCACCTTGCATTAGGCAAGTTTGCAGCTCTCCCATGGGTTTGCTTTTTTTGTTGCCTATCAATCACAAATCTATCGGCAGGTGAAGAGCCAACTATGGCTCCAGAGAGGCCATCCAGTAAAATAAAGCTTGTTTATTCAGTATGTACCACATGTGCAGAGGACTATGGTGAGTCTCACTGGTAAGCTGAAGCTGGAATCAATTTTTTCATCTTTCATTGCTGAAATGCCAGATCAGCCAAAGGGAGAGTTACTAAGGTCTTGTACATGAAAAGAAATCTGGGAAGTGCACAGACCTCTCAATGAACCCAGTCACCAGAGGTGTCCTGGCAATCCAGTCTCATCATGCTTGAGCATGTGAACTTTGAGCAATCCATGACTGACAGCTGCAAAGTTGCAACTCTCTAGGACAATACAGGTCCACATCAGAAGGTATTTATTATAGCTGTATGAAAGACAGACATGAAAGCAGCATGTGAAAGATCACAGAAGGTACACATGGTGGAAGCTGACAGAGGGCACACGCTGCCTAATGACAAACACGTGCCACTGTCACGTCAGGATGTAACAACAGTAACATCTTCCATTTAGTCTGGTCTTGTAAGGGTAGAACAGGAGACTAGCATTCTGTTTGCAGCACTATCTAAAGGCACTACTGGGACAACACAAATTGGGGTCAAGAAAGAAGATGCAAAAGGGCAAAGGAATAGCAAACAGCATTTTGTCTGAGGTCTGTTACCAAAAAAATACTGTGATCAAAATCTATGTTGGTGTGCTGAGGGTCATACAATTTCTATCCAACCAGCCAGCCAGCGCAGGACAACTTGACCTACAGCAGAAGAGAACACAATGAACACCCTCTGGTTTGGGCCACATATTGACCACGGTGGTGCTGCTTTGCAATACTTGCTGAAACCTTTCAACAGACTTTTGCCCATTTTGATGTGTGGTTGCTGAGGGAACTTTTCTTCCACTAGCAAAACCAACATTTCCTGAAAACAGCCCCCACCTTTTTTTCCTATTCAGGGATTCTAGGAAAGAAGGTAGAGGGACACATACACGCAGTTCCTACTGAAATAACTAGGGATGGGATTTAGCAGAGTGCAACAGACCAATGACCTGTCCCACCAAGACCTTAAACATAGGGGAGACAGTTAAATATTCAATGTTAAAAGCAGACTTACCTTGTAGGTAGTCAAATCTGATTTTGTTTTTGTGCCTTATGCCTTCATTCTACAAGGCAAGTCCAGCCTCCCCCCCTTCCTTTAGTGGCCTCAGCTTCCTTCCAGCAGGCATTGACACGAGTCAGGATGAAAACTGGACCATAGTTTTAGAAAGAACACTACATATGCTTTTTCCACAACACCCATAAGTTCCCCACCTTCATTACAGGCCAGCACTAGTCCTGCCAGCAAAAGCCACACCAGTTGCATTGTCTAACCCGGGGCAAGATCTGTGCCTATCTAGTGCAGGTGTTGGGGTGCTGGTAGCTGTCCATACACTTCTGCCAACAAAAAAAAACCCTTAAGAGAGAATATGTACACACTTCAGCTACATCAGTCCCGCTTATCTTATGCCTTGTTGCCTGGAATCACTGACCTGGCAGACCTTCCTGTTACAAGTGGCATCATCAGCATGGTAGACGAGAGAGGACAAGGTCAAAGATCCCTCCTAAAGTCTCACTCCACACCAGTTGCACTGCACCTGCTCACACCAGCAGTCATTTTAACCCAGATGCTGTCCCACTAAGGTGTTACTGGCACAGGTTGAGCAGACACTGCTGGATGCAAATTGCATTAGTTGTATATACTTCCGTTCTCTTTGGGATCCACCTATTATTTTATGGAGTTCATTACATTATTAGGAGAGGAGATTCACCTCTTTGCAAAGAATAAGCTGCTCTTCTTACTTCTGTGGCCAAATGTCATACTGAATTTTTCAGTACTACACTACAGGAGACAACACCTGGCACACACAAAGCAGCACAGAAAGGCACCTTGGCACAAGCACCTGGTCCTACCAAAGGTCACAACTCAGAGCAGACTTTGTGTTTACAATTATTTAAAAAGAAAGGTGAAATCATCTCTAGTTTGCCAAGAGTGAGGAGAGTTGCACAGAGGGAGGCTAATTGAATGCATTTTACAGACAGATATCAGATTCAAAACAGAAACATCCTATTTCAAAGCTGGAAACCACACTGAGCTATAAACAGAGTATATACTTATCCAGAAAGCAACCACTCAGATTAATTGTTCCCAAGAGACAGAAATCAAAAAGTGACCTTGCTGGAGACTTCACACAGCAGACTCAAAGGGGTATTAACCAGAGGAAGCCTGCCCTTCTCCTTCCAGCTTCCCCTGAGGTGACTGAACTAACAAAGGGAAAGAAACAAAGAAGTTCTGGGGGAAAAGGGATGTGAATGGTCCTGCTTGCCCACTGCACCACACTAGGCACTTAATGAAAAAAGATCTCTCCTAACTTCCTGTAGTTCAGGCAACCATTGTATAGCTCCTGTGGACAGAATTGCAGTCCTTTACTGTGACAGTAAGCTTTTCTGCCTACAAAAAAACAACCCTGACACTCACGGATGCCAACCTTATGAATAATATCCACTGAGTAGGTCTGAAGAGGTGTGGAAGGGGGATCTTCTTTATGCAGGAGAAAAACCCTACCCAAAACCAAAGAGAGAAAGGCATTGCAAGCACCCTGCTGCTACACACACATACTTCTCCTGCACAGCTCCCTGCTAACGCCATCACTGCAGGCTGTCCTGGTAGCCTGGGAGCTAGATTTGGCCAAGGAACAAGCAAGGAACATCTCCCTATCAGTCTCCAGAGCCACTCAGCTCTAGGCCAATAGCCCTGGTGTTTAGGAAAACTTCACAGATGGCTTTCACATGCTAAACTGATAAATAACCCCTGGGGCAAATTCCCACTAGAACAAAAACACACTGCAGCTCACTAGGGACGGAGCCTTTTGGAGTCCAGTGGAGGCTGGAGTCATTTACATGCTCATACAATTCACTCAGCTTTCCCAGCTGGTAAAAGAGCTGCTGCATCATAGCAGTAAAGGGCTTACAATACCTTGCCATAGAAGTCACTCATCTGGTACAGGGGGATGTGCTGTGTACCACCATAGAGTTCAATTACCTCTTCATCAGGCACTGGCTTGAGACCTCTAGACACAAGACAACAGAAATACTTTGTCAATAATCACCAGTCTGCACAGAGCTACAAAATGCAGAGAAAGAGAAGTTAGGACAAACAGATTCCTTTCTAAAACTCACACATTCCTCTTACACAAAAGAGGTCGCCAGAGAGACTGACAGCTTTGTGGTTTCTTAAGATTCACATAAAATCTTTCCCAAGACATTTTTCAGATACCTTGTTTGCTCCTTCAAGTTAATTGAGGGGCTTTATCCACATTCCAGCAGAGAGTTCAGACAGAGGCCTCCCTCTGTATGTTGTCAATCTGCTGACAGGACTGCTCCACCAAATTGGCCCCATGACCTGACTTTGGCAGCACCGGGTAACTGTAGTTTTGGAGAGGTTGCTTCCACAAGGTATATCACCATTAAATGCAAAGGTGTAGGAAAAGAGCTTTCTGAAAAATATGTTTCCTTCCTATTCAGTTTTCCTAAGCAAAACAAGTTCTTTGCTGATCATTCAACAGAGATCGCTAGTTTGCCTCAAAACACCATAATCACAGGTATGGCTATGAGCTGTACCATTTGTGCACATCAAGTTATCTGATCACTGCAGGTTTTGCCTCTTGCACAATTTCTGATGGCTCTTTACTCAAGCAGTCAGCACCTTTCCCTTTCTCCTTTACTATTCAATCACGGTACAGCCTCTGAGAAGTTGCCTCAGTTTTGCTCAAAAGCAAAGGACAGCTTAGGAAAAGGGCATTCCAGGAAGTATAGTTACAAAAGGACACTAGGGGAAAAAAGCTTCAATGTGTTTTTGCTAAAAATTTCTTTATGAAGCTGAAGTGAAATATGGAGCAGTACCAACCCCCTCTCTGACACCACCCTCCCCCCCAGTCAAAACTCAAAGAAGCCAATTCTCTCTGATTATGAAACTTCCTTCTTAATATTCTTAGAGTGTTTACTGTAACTGAAGCTTAACAGCAAAAGGGCAGAGATCAAGAAAAAAAAAAAACATTGGCTTCCATGCTCAGGAAACACAACACAGATTTACAGGAGCTCTGCTACTGATATCTATGAGTTACTACTTCTTACACATCCACCCCGCTCCACTTTGGGGCAAGATTTCCTCCCAGGCTCCAGTCTCACCACGTTTTGGAGAAAACTTTAATCTGCACTGTTTCAGCCACTTATTCCAAAGCACACCCAGTTCTCCTTGCAGAACAAGAGAAAGGAAAGAAAAATAGGAAAAACTAGGCCTTAAAATGAGTCCAGACTATGATGCATCATTACTTTATTGACATGTCTGCACTGCTTTAATATCTTATTTGCACATCCACAGCACTCTCCTCCTAGCTTTGTGACAAAGCGCAGCAGACCACTGCTGGGATATAATCCTATCTGGAGAAGACAGGCTTGTATGTGGACCACATATGGAGGAGTCCTTTCCTAGTTGCACTGTTTGCTCACAGACATTGACCCAGGCATGCTGTAGCTGCAACTCAGACATCATGCAGAGTACGTGACAAGATGCGTTGTTAACCATTACAAAAAGCTCCAGGTCTTCCCACCCACGCTTGGCTTGAAAGGCTTGCGAAAAATAACTCCCTGCAATGCTATGCCAGGTAAGCATTTGAAGCAAGTGCAAACAGGATAAGCCAGATGAGACTGTGCTCTCCTCAAAAAACCCAACCCCATGTGCCATGAACATACGCTCAGATTTAGTAATCCACCTTTGCATACATGGGCATTTAGAAAATGGTTTCCAGAACTGACAGACCTATATGCCGTCCCCAGCTGGACGTAATGGAAAGCATCGATCTTCATGAGAAGACTCTGTGATAAGGGATAGATATTTACTGTTAGAATTGCGCAGGTTTACGCTGGAAGCTCATTCAAGTTTCAATTTCCATACAAATGACATTTAGAAAATAAAATTCAATATATCACATATCTATGTACTTTAAGCTGCACTTACTCACCAGCCACTTTTACACACACTTATTCATACTGTGACTTTTTATTGGCTTCTCTGGCAAAAGACCCTCTTTCTATGAGCTGACATACCACTGTCTGTTACACTCCTAAATTTGTGGATAAGGATGCAGTTGAAAGATGGAGAGAACAATGTTTCTGTAACTTAGACAGTCTCTTCTTATCTCCCTTCCCAAAGCACACACATTCCAAAGGAGCTTTGTGTGCATAAAAGATCTATTTATCGTCACATTTATCTTAAGCAGAACTAAGTGGGCAAGTTTTGGTTTAGAGCGCAGCTGTGCCCAGTGATTTTCTTCACACAAGAGCTCTCCCCTCCACCACTCCTCCCCCTCCCCAACAGACATTTAAGGAAAGATGTTCACGAATACATGAGGCTGGTAACATTAGAGCTTTCTTTGGATTTTTTTTGTATCAGACTCCCCTATTCACAAGTCATCCCTTCTCCATCCATCATTTTGAAGCTGTAACACAAGATCTCTGCGCACAGAAAGCAGCCTCACACTAAACCCACTTCACTCTGCAATGTGAATAAGGACAGAGCATCAAACTATTTGTGCTGTTTCTTCCACAGTGCAAGGTAATTGATTCCACAGACCATTTACAACCTTCAGGCACCTTCTTTTATCAAGGTACCATATCAGTCCAACTTGTTACACTGTGGGCAGACCTCCCACTAGTTTGTGAGGAGTGCAGGCAAATATGCTGAACTTAGACAGGCACTACCCAGTTTTTCATGTGTTTTGCAAATTCTGATCCTGAGAAAAGAGAGTTCATACCTTCTACTTATTCAAAGGACACTTTGCTTGGCTAGGCTAGTCACCTCTGTGTTTCTCTGATATATCAGCCAGAGATTTAAACAGAGGAAGAAACTTCAGTTTCTCATCAATCTACTTCTTACTCTGTAAAGTCAGAGGCACGAGCAGTCTGCTGCCAAGCTGTCACCACAGTTAGGACAAAAGAGACAGGAAAACTCTACATAGTTTTTTTTCTTCATTCTCTCTTTTTTTCCCCACTGCTGGAGAACAGCACACACGTTCCAGTCTGTATTGCCTGCTTCCCTGTATTTACTTGAAGTTCAACATAAGAAAAGCTACTTCAGTGAAGCAGCTTTCTCTGCTGCACTCCCACCTGATTGCCTGGCTGCAGCAGCCAGCATGACATCACTGGGCATCAGGCTTTCAGGGAACTGGTCCAAAGCACTGAAAAGGATTAAAGCTAATGCTTACACTTTGCTTGCCTGCTCCTAAGAAGCATGCATCTCAAGTAGCTTGGATCTTTTTCCAGGCAGTCCTATTATTCCGGGTGGGGGGGTGGGGAAGGCTTCCTAAAACATTCTCCTGACAAGTCATTTCTATTATTAGAGTGAGATATAATGCCTCTGGACCTGGCAAGTACTTGTAGATGCAGGATTGAGGTTTGTTGTTCAAATTTCCTGAAAGACTGAAATGATCACAGAAACAAGCTGAGTTTCTTATTAATTAGCTTGTGGAATTAACTGACTTTTAAATTGGCAAGGCTGTTTAGCAGAGGTCTTTGATAGAATGTCCTATTCTGCTCGAGGCTATGCAAACACAAAAGCCCTTTCTCCCTTCGAAGGTTTATGAGCAAGTAAAACCCTCTCAGTGAAAAGCACAGCCACCTGGACTCATTGATAGTCTGGTGATCAATGGTATTGCAAACAATGACAGAAAGTATTTCCACTAAAAACATAACACAATGGAAGACAGAGCCCAGAAGACTGAACTTTGTACAGCTTACCTTTTGCACATCATAGTGAAGTCCACGTATGGCAAACCCTGGAATGTAGTCATACTTCCCAAGCCCTTCCGGATACTGGGAAGACAAACAGTGACATAAGCATTGGGTTATCAACAAAATTATTTCACCTGTTGAGCTGGCTTAGTCCTGCTAGTCATAGCACCCCAGGCATAAACTGACCAAGGAACCAGTGCACTTCATTTTGCCCCTTCAACAAAAAAAGTGGATGAATGGCGAAAGACAAAGGATCAGGATCCCCAAAACTAGTTTCACTCATATAAGGGACACTAGTGAAAACATAGCAGATTCACTCAGGCAGTGAGGACACTCCTAGTAAACTCTGTTCGATGTATATATTTGGCAAAGCAATGGCACTGCAGAGCCCCTCTAAAAAGAAAATGCACAGATGTGTCACTTATTGTGAACAGGGTGTCCATTATCAGACATGGTATACAGCATCATCCGCATCGACTTGCACATGTCAAGTCCTGTATGGCTTCAGTGTTGGCCCATGGTTCATGTTCATCCACCATGTGTCCCCTGAACCAGCAGTTCTGTAGGCATTATTTCCATAGTTAAGTAAAACAGACCAGACCTTTCCAGACTAAGGTTCCTGCTCCATATTTAAAAAACCTCAGGAATGTAGAGCACGGTAAATTGTCTCAAAGGAGATTAATTCCACGTGCAGACAAAACTTTCTGCAGTCAAAGATTGTGAAACGTGAAATTTATCTTAGTAAAACAAGTAATTGACAAATGAGCAGACTGAGGCATCTTGCAAGCAAGTCCCCAGCATCGCAAAGACTGCAGTAAGCTTAAACCAGTGGAAATTCTTAGCACATCATTACCTTGAATTGTTCTATTAGGATGTCTCTGGCAGTGTTGAAAATCATAGAGTGTAGTAAATTAGAATACTGTGCTAATGTGTAATCATAGTCAAAGCCGTATATCTCAACATCTCCCAGACTGATCTCATTGTTAGCGTAGATAGCGGCTGGGTTAAGGAGATTGCAGACTCCTGGTGGAAGGAGATCTAAGAGAAGAGAAAAGGGAGTGGTTAGAGAAACTGAGAGGATCACTGAAAGTTCAACTTTTTGTTCTGGACCTGACAGCAGCTGGAAGTACCACGCAGCAGCAGCAAAGGAGCACAGTGCTGCTGTCGAAGGCTGCCACCATTAACTCTCTCAAATAATCCTCCCCATGAAAAAACAGACTGTGAAACCTCTGGCTGTGTCTGGTCACGATGCTAACCATTTTCACGGTAAGATTGACCTTTTGTGTCAGGAAGCTGCAAAACAATGTCCTCAGGTCTGTGGCCTACATGAAGCAAAGCAGACTTGAGATTTTGAAGTGTCAAATTTCAAGCTCACAGCAGCTGCAGTTTCAGCAGGCTCACCAACGTGAAAGGTAGCTGCAATATATCACCAGAAAAACATGCACCCCTCACTTAAAACTTAAGCAAGACAAACAGGCTAACTCTCCTCTTTGAGATTCTAGATTACTTCAAATTAAAATCTGAGGTTTGCCTTTTGGCATTTTTTGTTTCTCACAGAAGCAGACAGACTTCACAGAGCAATCCTGAAGGTACTGTTAGGACTTTTTAATTAATATTAATGGGCAAGATAAAACTAGGTTTTGTACAAACACCAACAAAATGTAAAAAACCCCACATTAAGCTACGCTTTCGGAGCACATAATTCTGATAGCAACAAGTTATCTGCTTTCCTTTGATAAACAGCTGTGGCAACAGCTCAGTCCTTGCATGTGGTTTACCACTTCAAAACAGAGTTACTGTTCAAAATGCTTGTGAATAACAGTTTGCTCCCCAGACCACTGGGAAAATGGGGGTTAAGTGACCTAGCAGCTGAACTACCTGTACGTCCTTTTTCAGAGCTAGTCTAGAGAGCTGAGAGCTTTAGCTGCACTACAATGGGAGAGACAGGAACAGACCCTCCCCAGGCTTCCCGCTCCACAAGAACTGTCCATTGCAAGATGAGAAAAAGCAACAAAAATAGTTCCCTATAGTAGGTTGCCTAGTCACATCCACACTGGGGGACAGAGAGGGGAAGGAGAGGTTTCCTCCTTCCTCAAAGACGGGTAATTTTCTCTTTGAATTATAGGAAAAGTATAGACATTTTCCAGATCCTACACAGCATCAGTGGATAGGATTTTTTTTTCCCTTCCTACCTTAACTTTTGGGTTTTAGCAAGAACCCCTGTGCCAGTTCTTTAGTGCTTCCTTGCTATAAAACCAAGTTTCATCTGAATCTAGAACAAAAAAAAATTATTATTAGAAAGAGATACCAGCCATTCTCAATAAGGACTTTGTCTGGAATGATTGCAGAATTTAGGTAAAAGTCCAAAGCACTTTTGTGAGCACTAATCCAAAGAGGTGACCAAAGAAACAGGATTCAGTTATATCATGTTTATTTTTCAGGGGAGAGATGCATTACAAAACATACCCATCCCTCTCTCCTAACTCAGATGCAATTCACCAGATCAACTAGAGAGGAATTATTAGAAAAGAAAGCAGTATTTTAAGGCAGAAGGGCTGGCTTACAGGCTACACAGCAGGAACAAGAGCTCTCTTTCAGTGACTCTGCTGGTGGCAAAGTTCCTGGAAGAGGCTGAAGAGAGCGGATGCAATGAGTACTTTCCACTGGGATTTTAAAAGATGGGTAATATAAATTGGATTCAGATGATCACAACTTTAATCTCATCATAAATAATCTTTGCACCATAAACAGAGCTCCACTTCCTGTCCTCACCTCCAGATAACTTGTGGGAAGATCTTTCTCTAAGCATACACTGGGATTTGCAGGGGGTTATTTTTCTTCCTCCCAAAGAAAATGACACGACCTTAATCACATCCCAGTGCAAATATGCAGTGCTTTACTCCTCTAATGAAAGATTTTTTTTTTTTTTAATTACAAATGCACCCCACTTGCTGCTACCATATCTCTACTGAGAGGTCAAGCTCTTCCAACATTCACCATTTGCTAACAGCTTTATGACAACATGTTTTGATAGTCTGAGAGCAGCACAAAATGCCATTGCCTGAACACCATCTCTCCTTTCACAGAAGACATGAGACCCACCTAGGTTCAGCAACATATGCCAGCCACAACATTTACAAGATTACAATCAGGAAAAGCTAAGGGAGTGGTATGATTTTGTATCAAGGAAAGGGTAGTCTGAGATTTGCCATGAAGCGAGTCTTATCTGTGATCAGAAGCATAAACAGTAACTGTGCCACAGTATGATTTATGAAGTATATTTAGACCCACTGGATGAAGTCATACTCCTCCCTGCCAGCCTCAAACGTACAGAGCCTCTCTGGTGTTCTCTGACAGCCTCCTGCTCAGACATTTTGTCACTAACTTGCATAGCATGTTCTTTCTTACCTCATAACGGCCAAAAAAGCTGTATACATTAGTCAAAATGCTTTATCACCATTGCCTCACACAAATCTTCCCTACGCGCACTTCCTGGAGCACTGCACATCTTGCTGTATTTCCTACCATACATCATCATCACCAAACCAACTGGCAGCAGCTTGATGACAGCTTGCTCTTTCCATGCCATCATCTTCCATCTTAAACAGAAGTTTCAAAGTCACTGATCCTAAAGAGAAGGAAAATGCTCTAGGTTTCAGTCCAGAGACTAATGCTGCATGTTCAGCTCCGTGTAAATGTCCATTTGCAGCATCCTCCTCAATAGAGTAGTAGATGTCCATCTCCTCTTCAAGCTCATGCAGCCTCTATGCAGGTTCAAACTACTGCAGGGAAAAGATGGAAGCTGGGAGCAAATGCCAGATCGGTTTCAATACAAGAACACAGACATGCCTGGTTTACTGAACCAGGTTTCAAGAAGTTTGGTTTGAGTTGGGTTTTTTTTTGTGGTTTTCTTTTGTTTTGGTTTTTTTTTTTAAGATAATCACCTGCGTGGTTACAAATTCTGAGTGCTTAATCAAGTCCAAGCTGCAGACTTGGGTGCTGCTGCTCTGCTGACATTCAGCACGTAATCTGCCAGGGATCTTTGACTCAATTTGCGTGGCAATCATGGAGTCAAAATAAACAGAAAACACCCTTCAGAAGCCCAGGAAGATGCCATTTTTGAAGAAACATAGGTTTTGCTTTTCCTCTGCCAAGACACCAAAACAGACTGCTGGACAGATATGATAAATTACAGCAAGAAAAAAAAAAATAAAATCAGTTTTGGTTATTAAAAAAGAACAATAATCTCAACTACTCTTTCCATCTGTGCCCTAACTGAAAAGGGAGACAATATCACAGTTAGTCACTGTCTACTCAGCACTTCACCCAGGAAGTATGATCTAAGGGAGAACTGGCATGCGTACATCTGAGGACAGTGGGGAAAAAAACAGCTCTTGCAATAGATACAAACCCCTGGAATCTGCATACTTGCACAATTTGCTCCAGTTTGCAACTCTGACGGTTTTAAGGGAAGTGTCTACATATCCATGGTACATGATGAAACTCAGGAACAAAGGCAAACCGCAAGAAAGCATGTTTGATCTCATGCATTTTTTACACCTGGGTGTAAATGCAAGGTAAATACACATCTCCTTCATTTTACCACTATGAGGCCCTGAACAGCTGCTTAAATATCTTCATGACAGCACAGGTGCCTCTTCCCAGGCTATAGCCCACATTGTTAGAAAGCAATAACACTCAATCCCCAACATGACAGCAGAGATGGAAACAAAAGCAGGTAATTAACTGTAAGCAACAGTTAGAGACGCCAAGACACCATATGGCCCCTTCTGATGTGAAAAATGCTTCAGTCAGGAGGTGCCAAGCACGTCCTGTGCTTTTCTGAGCTCTCAGGGGTACCAACAGCATCATGCAGGAAACGCTCCTTTTCTCTCAGCCTCAGATCCAGCATGTTAGTGAAGAATAACAAATAAAAAAGGGGAATTCACACCCATCTCTCACACCCTTTGTGCTCCCAGAGGTCCAACACAGCAGCTATCTGTGCTAATTTCTTTAAGACTAGCCAGGAGAAGAACGATACTGAAAAGCAGATGGCCACCATCCTCCACATTTTTCATGAATCAAAAAGTTCCCTTTGCTCACACTGACTTGCTGCCTAAAGACAAACTGCCAGTTTTGCTCCCTTCCAAGCACTTCTTTATCCTTTTGAAGTGTTGTTTTGTATCATTTCCTGTAAAGCACTCCAACCAGCTGATCTAGATGCCTCTACCAAGAGGGTAGGGAGAAGGAAATATTACTTACAGACCAGTAAATGACAGAGGAACCATGTTAAAAGAGAAAATTACTCTGGAGCATAGTCTTGATTTTATGACATTATGCCTAAATATTTTGGAATTTCTCGCCAGTGAAATCTACACGAACCAAAAGCAATATTACAAAATAAAGTTTCATTCCAAAATGACATTTTTTATATACACAAAGGCACTAGACAAATACTGCTATAAGAGTTCTTATAGCAAGAAAAAATGTTTACATTTAGGAAAGCAGAATTGGGAAGTTAACCTAACTGGTCACACTTCCAGTTCTGGTTGCTTAATTGTCATTCCCAGTCCCAGATCAATCTGTAGATGCCACAACTCGTGAAATGTGTGTACTCTCTAAGTGATTCGCAGAGCATTTATTATCATAGCACTAGACTTGTTTCCTGGTTTGGCAGAGAGTGAGGCCCTTCAATCTTTGTGCCTGCTTGAGATTAGCGACACAAGCAGAATCAAAATGTGCTGGATTGCAAAAACCACCTCTGCGCCACACCAAAATCACCAAGGCAATGATCACATTGGGCTGGCATCAGCTCTCCCATTTCCGACTGTAATGGACACATATTGCCAACTGCGGCTTGCATTATTTAGATGCAGAAGTGTCTCTTGATCCACACAAACTAAAAAGAGTGAGGACGACCTCTGAGCTCCCCCCTCTGTTATCAATGACTAACCAAGTTTTGCTGCCTGCAAACTCGTATTTCTTGTCAGTAGTTCTCACATTTAACCACACTTAATCTTGGCATGCAGAGGCAAGAAGTTAACAGTTATTTTAAAGGTTCCTTAGGAAAGCTGATTTATTGTAGCCACGTTTACAAGTTTGAAAGATCTAGGAAAAAACATACATGCTTGCAGCCAAATCCTTACTCCCTTGACAGTTCCATTAAGTTTCAGGACTGAATGTTTCCTAGAGAGCAAGACTTCAGACGTTACTTACTGAGAGAGCATATCAGCCTCCCTTGACACTTTCGGATGTCATCAAACCAGAACGCTGAAAGTCTTGCTCAACACCACCTCTCTGACAAATGCAATTACACTTTTCCTTTTGGCAGAGAAAAACAAAAGCACATTAAGTGGAAGTAGTAGCCTCAAATACTTACAGGTAATGAAATTTGATCCTAAGAGTCATTGTTGCAAAAGGTAGGAGGGAATAACGGAGAGAACAGCTTCTCCTGGCCGATGCTGAGGGAAGATTTTACCTCAGCAGCACCTTTTGCATAGCTATGTTGTGCTGTCATTTGTATCACCACAATCAAGCCCGGCAAAACACAGATGTGTTTCCACAAAGTTGAGAACTTCTGGTGCCTGGGCTCTGGCCACCAAGCCCATACCACACTGAGCTTTACTGCACAGCTCTCATCCTACTGCTGTTTTGTCCAGCTCAGTCAGCATTTATCACTGGAATCCTCTCTATGCAAAAACACATCGCTCTAAAAATCAGGTCCTAAGCAAAAGTTGGTTTGAAAACACATAAAATATTCTCCTGGAAGAGACCTCTCTCCCAAACCAATAGCAATAACTGATAATATAGGACAAAGGACTTCACAAAGGTGGAGTTTCAGAGAAGGAAGGAGAAGGTGGCACCACAAGTCTTCTCAAACTCAATGCTGACAACTACTGAGACACAACGAAATTTCAAATCCATAACCCAACCACAGACATTCACTTTCACATCAGAGTTAGAAATCAAGAACAAAGGAACAGACTGATGCCGCGTTTTGCACAACTCAGTTTAGTCATCAAAGCAACCATTAAAACCAACTTGGACCAACTCTATGTCTCTTCTTGACAAGACTTGAATAACAGCACAGTCTTGAAATTTTGGTTTGGGGAGCTATTCTTTAAACAAACAAGGGCCTTCTTATTCAACATGTCTAACAGTTACCTGAAGGTTTGTAAAGGGTTTGCTGTGTAACACATGGGCTACTTCACACAACTTCCATTTTGCATTTAGTCCTTCTGATCAGTTCTCCACCTCAAGTAATAACTGTATCCCAACAAAGTGTAACTATGTGAATACAAACTTCACATTCTGTCACATAGTAAACTGAGCATTTTCCCAAGAGACTATAACACAGCCTATTAACCTATGTGCATTTACAGTTTCAATACCATTATGGAAAAGAAAAAAATGCCTTTGAGGACATTAAGGTCCAAACACCATGACAAGCCTTGCAAGTTGGAATTCCTTTCAAGCAGTGGGGCTAAAACCACAACTCAATCTTGGAGCAGGGACTTAACACGAAGCTACCATCCTCTGTCAGCACCCTGTACTACCTTCAGTGGCTCAGGTAAAGGAGCTCACATCCTGCAAAAGCTGGACTGCATCAGGCTGAGCACCCAACAGATCAGTGGCCAATTCCTTTACATTCGTGCATCATGAAGGACTTTAGATTTTATGTCAAATCTCACATACGAGAAGGTGGGGGAGGAAGGAATGACAGAACTTGACAATCTCAAAACAGCAAGACAGTTCTTCCAGATGCCTATGGCTGGCTGCCTTCCTTCTCCAAATGCATAGATAAACAAAAGCTAACGGAGAGCTATTTAACTGCGGACACAAAATCACATTTCCTAGTTCTCTATGGTGCTCACCTTCAGCATTCCAAGAATCAAGAAACCATCAGGGAAAAGTTCCCTGCCCTTAAGACCTGAAAGCTATTTTTTCACATTTTTAGGAGAGTTTAATACAGTGGAAGTCTGCTAATGACAAAAAGACCACAATCCTGTTTTACACATAGACAGATTTGGCAAGTGGCATGAGTTTTCTCCTCGCTTAGCAAGATTTCAACATACCTGACAGAGCAGGTAACTAGTCAGAGGAGCAAAAACATGTGTGAACACATGAGTAAAAGGTGCTTCACATCTGTAAGACAAACTGAGCTCAGGAGAGGCATCCTAGCAGCTGTAGCATCAGTCTCCTCCATGCTCAGCCTTGTGCCAATGGCAAGTCACAAGTTGGACCCTGGACTCCTCGGCACATCAGCCAGCATAACTGTCTATTTGTCCTAGGCTAACCACATTTTCGTATGCCAACCAATGGCAAATTAGAGAAAAATGCAACGAGCCCTGCATTTAAACCTTCCGTCATGATGATATCCATGTTAGGGAGGCCAGTTGTGAAGAACCCCACATACTCTGCGTGTCCTGAAACGCTGAGACCAGCCGAGGGATGTTCACCGAGAGGAGCCCACGATGGGGAGAGAGAGAGACCAGGGCGAGATTTCAATAGGAATAAAAACGTCCCAGAGGGCCCTGGGTGATGGAGGCGTGCAGATGGCATTGCCAGGGAGAAGGTTTCTAACCCCGGCAGCTGCACAGCGCTGGGCACATCCGCAGTTCTGCAACGTGGGGAAAGGTACCAAGATGCAAAGAGGGGGAAAAAAAAAAAAAAAAAAGAAGAAAAAAGGCCAAGCCCGGCAGGACGTGGCAGTCCCGGCGCCCGGAGGCGGCCCTTACCGTAGACCAGCTTTTTCATCTCGTGGTACCTGGCCCACAAGTAGGTCTTGGTGTCGGCTCCCTCGGCCGGGAGGGGCTGGCTGCCCGCGGCGGGGCCGGGCTCGGCGCCGCGCCGGGCTCTGCCGGGGCCCGCCGGGTGGTGGTCCCTGGGCTGCCCCTGGCCGCCGTCCCCGGAGCACTGAGCTTTGGGGCGGCAGCTCTGGCAGGAGATGGCCACGGCGAGGAGCCGGGGGGCCGCGCCGCTGCCCCTCGTCAGCGCCGCCATGCCCAGCGCCGCCATGGACCCGCCGGACGCCGCAGCCTCGGGGCAAACCCGCGCGCGGCCGGGGCTGGGGCTGCAGATGGAGCTGGCTCCGCTCCGCTCCGCTCCCCGCCGCCCCGGCCCGCGGAGGTACCCGCTGGGTGGCCAATCCCCGCCGCCCAGTGTGAGGGGGCCGGGCCGCTCCACGCCTCGCCACGCCCCGGTGCTGGGGAGCCGGGGGGGGGCGGCGGGCTCCGGGGGCCGGGCCATGGCGGGCTCCGCTCGCCGCGCTCCAGCCCCTCAGGCGGGGAGAGGGGGCGGTCCCTCACTGCGGCCCCGTCCCTGGGCCCGCCCGGGCCAATCAGGCGAGGCGAGCCGCCGCGGGCGGGATCACGTGGGTGTCGAGCACACGTCCCTTCCGCCCGGCGGCCGCCAGCAGCCCGGTGCCGGAGGTGAGGGCCGGGCCGGGGCCCCGCTTCCCGCCCCTCCGCCGGGGAGACCGGGAGCAGCGGGCTCGGCCTCCCGGCCGCACCCCGTTCCGCCTCTTACGTGCCTTCCCCCCTGTTTTTCTCTGCTTTACCCGCGAAGCGCTGAAGGCGCCGGCCCGCCCCGGCGATGCTGGTGAGCAGGAGGCTGAGGCGCCTCTTGAAGCTGGTGCCGGGGAAGCGGCGCTTCGGCGCTTACAGGTTCCTGCCCTTCTTCTTCCTCCTCGGGGGAGCGATGGAGTGGTTCATGATTAACGTCCGCATTGGCAAGGAGACATTCTGTAAGTGAGGGCCGCGGCGGGGGCCGGCCGGGGCCTCCGAGCCCCCCGGGACACCGCGGCGGCGGCTCCGCCGAACGGGAGCGGCCGGGGCCCGGGCCCTCACCGCGGGGACGTGAGTCAGCAGCTCACCCGCTTCTCTCTTCGGTGCAGAGTGTGACACGCCGGGTTCTGCCTCCCCAGCAGAAGACACTGGGCAGAAACAGACAAACAAACAAAAAAAAAAAAAAGCCACACCTGTGTTTAGAATACTATTTTTTTTTTTTACATTGAAACAAGACTCACCAGGGTCGTCAGAATTTAAGTGTAGGGATACGTTCATCTGATATGTGACTTTTTCAGCTAAAAAAAAAGTAGGAAAAGCATCTTAGGAAAACTTGGATAATGGCACTAGTTTCTAGAAGTTAAACCACTTTGTTTTAATGTGGTGTATTTCCCTTTAAGAAACCTTGCTAGAAATTTTTGCATACTTCAGAAAAAGGATCAGCTTCTATGGGAATATTCTCATTTTCATGGGAAAGGTAGCTGAGTCTCCTGCAGAATAAAATAGCTTGATACAATTTCCATGGCTGGCAGACTTGCTGCAAACAAAATTTCTTCTTTGCTCACTTCTGAAGGCTTGGGTTTGTTGTTTTTCAATTTAATATTTCAAGGCATACCTGTATAGTAATAAAGTCGGGTTAGAAACTAAAGCACAACATCTGTGTAGCAGCTGTTTTAATTTCAGCTCGAGCCTTATTTTCCTGCAAAACTAAAATTGCTATGCCTGATACTATAATAATTGTGTGGTTTAGCCTGCTTCATAATCCATGCAAAGTGACAATGTACAAGACTGATTTTTTTTTTTTTTTTTTTTTGCCAGTGAGGTATTTTATTTGGTGATGGGTATTTAGGGGAGATCAGGGTGAAGGGAGGCAGGAATAACAACTATGAAGATGGGTAGATTCCTATGGTTAAAAAAACCAAAAAAGCTAAAATACTGAAGCTATGCTGGCAGTCCTCAGGTATTGACTTTGTGCCTATAATTTAATTTCCCTTTGTCTTTGGAGAGTTTGGGCGTTTTTTTTTTTTTAATTACCCTCATGGGAAAGTAGACAAGAAATGACTGTATCACACTGGAAATGTAGTTTTCATATAAAAACATTTCATCAGGGCTGATGGGAAGAACTTTAGCCTGGATGGGAGGGAGAACAAGAGCTATTTTTAAGTGGTAATAAGAATTTGTGTTGGCTTGAATTTTCAGTTGCCTGTCAAGTCAGTGTCTGCAAGAGAAAACTGGATTAAAAAGTTTAAAATGAGATGACAGGCTTCATACATTTAATATTATCTTGCACTTGAAAAATGCTAATATAAAAAAATCTTTTTATGGCAGATGACGTTTACCGTAGGAAACGATCTGAAAGACAGTACGAGGCAAGGATGGGAAAAAAAGAATTTTAGCTGAAATGTTTCAAGAGGAAGGTCCTGAATGCTTCAACTGTGTTATTAACATCAAAGAAACATCGCTGCCACATTGATGGTAGGGGAAGATTTTGTCTCTGCAAGATGAACTGTAATCCACAAATTTGTAATACAATCTCAGTTGGTTTTGGCAGTTTTATTCTTCCATCCACTTCACATGTTTAATACCTTCTATTTAAGCCAAATACAACAGCGACAAGTTCATTGTGTTTAGGCCTCCACCACTTATTTAATGTTTGTTTAGTACTTTTAAATAAATTAAGCTGAGTAAACAGTCTGGCTGATGCTTTTCTTTGCTTGATGAGACACCATTCTTGTGACAAGACCAATGGGAAAAAAATATTATCTATTGTATACATAATAGCACACTGGAAATAGTAATTTTTAGTTCCATTTTTACTGATAAAAATTGGTCTGGCATCTGATTCATTTTGTTTCCAATGTGGCATAATTTTAACTAGACAAAAAGAGGACAGGCTTACTGTTCAGTGTTTACTCAGCCTACACTGTTTGGAAAGTCATCCGTGCATTCAAGCTCCAATGCCTGCGAGTGCTGCAATACCCACTGCTGCTGCTCTAACAGCAAACCAAGCCGAGGGCTTTGGGGAGAAAAGTCTGATGCATTTACCTGGTAACAGGCAAAAGTTTGAAGGCACATGCAACAGCAGTCCTAGCAAACCTCAATTCTGTTTGCAGGACTCCCATCTTTCCAGAGGAAGAAAACAGAGTTAACTGCTGTATCCTGGGCAGCTTTTACTCCCTAACACAGCAACACTAGCTGGCGAGTGTGTGGGAGCATGTTGGTGACTGTGTTAGGGTGACTGGTACAGTGTAATCAGTAAGGATCATCCATTAATGCAATTATTTTAATTGTATGTGTATATGCTGAGGGTTCCACAAAGAAGCCCATTCTTAAAATCAACCTAAAAACAAACCCGAGGGAGTTCATATACTTACATGCATTCCTGTGCTAACTCCCACCAGCCTTTTTCCAGAGAAGTATGTTTTCATCATGTTCTGAAGATGTTACAGTGCAGGTGCTCAACTTGCAAGCAGAGGGTAACCGCCGTACTTTGTGTTGTGTCTTCCAAGGACTTGATCTGAAGGACTAGTGCTGCTTGTGTTTTCAGGAGATAAAAAACTGACAGAATTAAATATGTGATCATGCTGCTGCATATTTTAACATGGGGAAAACCTCTATTTCAGGAGTAATAAGAACCTACATTTTAACTTCAGTTCCAAGGTAGAGCTCAAGTTCAAAAACTCATGCACAAGCTGTTTTTTTCAGTTACAGATCACTGTACTGAAGTAAATCCTGACTGTAGCAATACATTAAAGAATAAAACATTGATAAAGAGATTTTGAAAACTGCTGGGCTTTAGCTCCATCTGCCTTTATTTCTCGAGCCCTTTGGAACTCTCTTGTGCCCAATGTCCAAAGAACAAGTAAGTTTTTCAGTATTGTTTTTTTTGGTTGTTGTTTTGTTTTTGTTTTTGTTGTTAATAAATAGCCCTGTGCCCTAGTTACTTCTCAGTACTTCCGAGCCTGGTATGAAAACTTCCTGTGGCTTCCCTTAAGCACTCCTATAATAGTAGCAATGTTTCACAGGCATCAGTGAGTCAAGGTCCAATTTTTCACTTCAGAGCTCTTGCTTATTTTGCAGCACTGTTTCACATTTGCAGCTGAGAGTGGCAGGCAGGTCTGGATGGTATTTTAGGTGTGTCCAGCTAGGTAGACAGACAGTGAGACAGGCTGCACTCACAAGAAGTGTGGTGTCAGGGAGTTCTGTGGCACTCGTCTTTGTGATCAGCGTAGGAATAACGTCCATCTCCAAGCTGGCATTGTACAATTTCAGGCAACACAGATTATGGCAGAAGATGAAGCTTGACGTTCAGAAATCTGAACTGTATTCTTCATTCCACAATGTGTTTTCTAGTGCTAATCCTGCCTTCTTTAATTTTGCCAGTCTCTCACTGGTGCTGGAAATCAGAGCAGCTGGAAGGCCCCACTGCCCAGCGCATTGCAGTACCGCACACCTGTGGCAATTTAGTATCAGTTCTAATTACACCCAATCTTCAACAACCAAACTCTTCATTTGGTTTCTCAGTTTTATCCCTGCTGCCTCCTAGTTCTGTGCTCTTTGCCTTCCCCAACAATCTCTTTGCCACCTTTCTGGTTCTCCCCCTTTCCTTCCTGTCCTTCAGCTTCCCCCCCAAATCTGTCTCCTGTGGTGGTGGGCAGTGGGGAGGAAGCAAGAATCCTCCTTCAGCTCAGAGCTCAGGCCCGCACTGGGAACACGCTGCTGCTGCTGTTAGGCACTGCGGGAGCAAGCCAGGAACACAGCTTTCATTTTAAGCGCTGCTGAGCCCCTGCCAGTTCTGGGGTTGGGCACGTCCGTTCCTTCTACAGGGAGCTCAGCTGGTGTCAGCTGAGAACGCAGCTCGGCCTCTACAACCAGCGGTCTCGTGTTCACTTTGCAGCGGCCACAGCAGGCGATTCTGAGGATTTGCAAAGCATTTCTGCTGTAAGCTTTCCAAAATGTTGAGGCGAGGTCCGTATAGACACCAAGCATGGAAAATTTCAATTCAGTAAAGCAGCAGCAGTAAATAGTCATCTGCAAAATAACGGTGATTCTTATATATGAGCAATGCTGCTCACCACTCCAGCATTAGAGGGGGAACAATTTCACTGCGAATTCAGAATGATTTTATGAAAAGAATGCATCTGCTCGTTGACCGTTTCCCTGCTGTTGTGCACTGAAAGATGCTGCCTGCTGACAGACCTGTGCCCAGCCAGGGAAGTGCTGGAAAGAAGTTCTGGTAAAGGAAGCGTGTACATGCCCAGCCTGTACTCCTCCCTGGCACAGGGGTGCAAGAGAGTTCTGTCTCAGCTTTTCAAGAGTAGAAAAAGGAAAACAATAGTCGTGTGTGTTATATATTGGTGAATTCTTCCCTGAAGCAAAACTTTTACTATCTTCAGTGGGGGCGAGCTTTCACTTTGGACTTCATACACAGATACAAAACTGTAGCTGTGCTCTGGTTATGACCAGTCCCAGCTCCTTCCAAGAGAGATGCAAAAATCTGCAACAGGTGCTGGTGGCATGAGTTTCCTTATATTGTTACTGGATGTTGGTGCCTCGCACCAAGCATGAGAATTAATTGTAGTCCTCCCAAAAATCATCCAATGGAAACCGAATTCAGACACCCTATAAAGACAGTTGCACAGACTTCATGATGGATCAACCATCCTTCACCATTTTTGTCCAAGCCTTTCTTCATGCTTAGCTTAACCTGGGCTGAACCACACTGGTTACTGGTTCTGCTGTGCAATTCAGTGCATCCTTCTCCATTTCTTTTCACATCTCTCCTGCTGCCTCCTTAACAGATGATAATCTGCATGGCCAGACTTCTGCACTGGATTTCTGATCCCTCTTGGCACAGGAAAGACTGACGGTAGGAGACCACTGCATCTCTGAAGCCTGACAGAGACTGGGAATCTCTTTATCCAAGATCAGCAGATACTACTGCACTGCAGCAGCTGTCCTTTTGAGTTTTTTTGTATGATGGTCGAAATTAGACTTGCTGAAAAATGCAGTAAGCAAAAGGAATATGAGGTTTATTTTATTAATCAGCAAGTCTCACATATATCAATGAATCAGATTCCATTTCTTACTTGATGTTCAAAGTACCCAGCCATTTTGAAGCACCGCTCCAACTTAGTGCAGTTGAGAAGGGGCTATGTACATCTGTGGATGGTCTTCAGTATCTCAGACTGAACAAACAAGATGTGGAGGATGATTAGAATTAAGTCTCCTCTCCACAACTGCACCATCCACCATCAAATCTTAGAAAGGCAGAAGTTCGGTAAAGCTGGCAGACTGCATGACAGACAGTGTTTATCCCCCAGGTCCAAGACATGAATGCATGTTAATTAAATATAATGCTATCTGTTCTTGTTGTTTAAATAGCTCTGTAATTTGTATGCCAGAGGCACCTTGAGACTTGAGAGACTGAAACCACTTAATTTTTCTTGCCATTTGTGGTATTAAAGAAAATTTCTATCCTGGTTTTTAAATTTTATTGTGTAAAAGACGCTTTTTTCCATATTACTGTTCTCATTTCCTTTATTATATAGCTACATAAAAGAGAGTCCTGAACCAGGTTAGCTCCCAGTATGAAATTAAGGCTATCTGTTTATTTTCAAAGCAATTAATGTGCGGGCAACTGGGACTGACTGAATCTCATCATCTCCACTCAGCTTGTTCCCAATGCATCACCTATTTTTCAAGGTTTACTGTTCATGCTCCTTATGGCTCAATTTTCAACCACACTTTTCAGAAACACTGTTCTTTGCACCTACCAGGCACATCTTGCAATACACGGGACAATATAAAAAGGATTCTTTACCCACACACACGCACACACGTATCAAGGACTTGATAAAATCTGGAATAGCAACAGCCATAATTACTTGAAATAAAATCCTACCAAAAGTCTTGATGGGACACTCAAACCTGGTTAATCCAAAACACTTTGCAAACTATTTTTATTCAAATTAAAAAGACTCAGGTAAACAAAGTGATGGTACATACATGTTATAACCTGGTTAGCAGCTTAACCTTCAGGAGTACAAGATCTAATGAATAGCCAAGCATGGATTAACCAGGTCCGAAAACATACGCTGAAAAAGAAGTCACCAACATCAACATTCTGAATTTTTACACAAACAGTAAATTTTCTCATGGAAGGGAAGGACCGAGGAAGAGAACAAGTAATTATTAGTTGTCTCCAACTGGTTACGAAAATACCGCTCCTACGTTAATCTATTTTCCACTCTCACAGAAGCCAACCATTTCCCATACATACTTTTATTTTAATATGAAAGTTTTGTTTATGCCGGTACAATGAACGGCAGTGGAAAACAAATGAGGGGTTCAAGCACCCACAAAGAGAAAGAAAGAGAGAGACAAACAGACATGTTGGTTTTTTTTTTTTTAAACCAGTCAGAAAGTTTCTTTTGCTGGTTTTGAATTCTAGACTGTAGCCATTATATCCTAATTTTTACTGCAATCGACTGAAATGCCTCCAATATACAGAGACATGATTTTGAAATAAATAAACAAAGCTTAAAATAATTGATTAGGGCCAGCCCAGTGGCTTAGCGGTAGTGCTCTGCACTGCCTTGCGGGAGGACCCAGGTTTTGTTTGCACTTCCCATCTCTTGCTCCTGGGCCGGAAAGAGCAGTGGAAGTTGGGCTTCAGCTGCTCGGGCAGG